AAGCGACGGGGCGAATCTCTCCGTCATCACAGCGAATGGAGAGGATTCCGGAGATCGCGTAATCGGAAGCGTCGGTTTCTACAATGAGGGGGGCGTCGGGTAGCCAATGCGTGAGGATAGGAGCGGAAGTGAAGGCCTCTTTCAGGGTGTTGAAAGCGGCGCGACAGTCGTCGGAGAATAGCCAGGGGGCTCCTTTACGTGTGAGGTGCGTCAAGGGGACCACAATGTCGGAGTATTGGTGAATGAAACGCCGGTAGAAGTTAGCGAAGCCAAGGAAGGATTGGACATCCTTGACTTTACGGGGCTCGGGCCAATCTTGGATGGCTTTGACTTTCTCGATGGACATGGTGAGTCCGGAAGGAGAGAGGCAGTAACCGAGATATTCCGTAGTGTCCATATGGAACTCGCATTTCTTCGGATTGGCATATAGGCCGTGTTTGCAGAGTCTCCTAAGAACTTCTCGGACATGCTCCTGATGCGAAGCCATGTCTTCCGAGTAGGTAAGGATGTCGTCTAGGTAGACTACCACAGAAACGTCCAGGAGGTCGGCAAAGATCGTGTTGACGAATCGCTGGAAAGCCGCAGGTGCATTCGTGAGACCGAATGGCATGACAAGCCACTCATAGGAGCCATAGCGCGTGCGGAAGGAAGTCTTCCATTCGTCGCCTGCTGCAATGCGAACCAGGTGGTAGGCATGCCGGAGGTCGAGTCTGGTATAGACCGTGGCACGGCTAGGTGCGTCAAGGAGGTCGGAAATGCGGGGAAGTGGGTAGCGATCCTTTTTGGTGATCTTGTTCAGCCCTCGGAAGTCGACACAAAGATGGAGGGATCCATCCTTCTTGCGGACGAAGAGGACCGGTGCCGCGTGAGCGGAGGTAGCGGGACGAATGAAACCGGAGGCCAGGTGCTCATCTAAGAACGCCCGGAGGGCCTCGAGTTCCGAAGGAGAGAGAGAGTACATGGTACCCAAGGGTGGGGAGGTGCCTTCCTCAAGGTCGATCTTTAGGTCATGCTCACGGTGCGGTGCCAGCGTCGAGGCCTTGCTCTTACTGAACATGTCCGCGAACTCGTGATACTCCTTCGGAACGGCCGAGAGGTCGACGGAATCGGTGTGGGGAGAGGCAGCCCTCAAGCAGCTTTCCTCGGAAGGGATGGTTAGGCTGAAGGATACCAATCCTTCGAGTCGGCAAGCCTTCGCGAATGTGGAACGGCTGACGAACTCGATAGATGGTAATGGAGGAGTAGCAGCCTGTGACTGAGGTGCTGGCGAAACATCAGATGGTTGGATGTCGGACGACGGCAGTGTTGCCGGAGACGACGGGGGAGAGCTCGGAGTGACTGTCTTGGTAGGTTCGGAAGTTCGGAACGTGATACTGCTTGAGACCCAGTCAATCAACGGATTGTAGCGGGTAAGCCAGTTGTGTCCTAGGACTAGGGAACATGATCCATCCAGCGATGTGACAAAGAAAGTCGTGGGGGTGATGTTTCCGGAAGCGAAGCGGAGGGGAATATCAACGGCACGGGTTATGATTGAGTTGGTGCTACCGTTGAATAGGCATAGTTGTAGGGGTTTGATCTGGTATGTCTTCAAGGCCAGCTTTTTTACGAAGGTGTCATCGATGAAGCAGTCCGAAGACCCAGAATCTATGAGTGCGGGTACGTTCTCATAGGAGCGGAAAAGTTTATTTTGTGTCCTACTATTGGACGGAGGAGAAACAGAAGAAGAGAAGCGGAGAGAGGTGGATCGATCTACGGAAGTAGTCGGAGGGGGTGGAGGAGAGAGTGGTACATCAGCAACACTATCTACAACGGGTAGAACATTGCCCGAAGGGTCAACATTGAAAGGAGAAAATAGACCATTTGAGAGAGAAAAGGAAACGGGAATGTGGAGGGAGGATAGGTCGGAAATGGAAGACGCGTTTAAACGCACTTCTTTGAGCGCACGGAAGGAAGGATCGCAACCCCCGGTCCATGCGGAGTCCACGGGGGTGCGGACTAATTTTTTGCTTCTGCGGAAGCGGATCCTTGCTCCTCGGTCTGGGCCGAACGGGCCTTAGATGCGCGAGAAGAAGACTTGGGACAATCCTTGACCATATGGCCAGACTGACTGCAGAACATACAAAGTTTCTCGTCGAGACGGCGCTTACGCTCTTGTGGCATGAGCTTGCCGTTGTCTCCGAGTTTAGAAGAGAGGTCCGGTTTAACGGAGCTGGCCTCGGACTTCTTGTTGTCCTTCAGAGGCCTACTGCCGGAAGCGGAGTTGAAAGAGGAGGAGGAAGGGACGGGGTCGGAACGAGAAGCGGCGGTAGACTTGTCGAAGACGTTAGAGGAAGAGGGTTTTGCGTGACGTGTAACTTCCGATTTACGCTCCCAATAGTGCGCATCGAGAGTTTGGGACAGGGTGCGAAGCTCAGAGAGAGTAGAGGGTTTACCTACTCTGGCAATATCATCCTTGATACGTTCCGGCAATCCGTTGTAGAAGAAACGACGAAGTGCGGCTTCTCCGTAACCGTGGAGTTGAGAGGCGTGTCGATTGAATTCGACGACGTATTTGTTGATGTGGTGTCCATCCTTCATGTCTAACGTCATTAGTTGAACCTCGGCGTCGCCCACAGGATCGTGAGGGCCGAAGTTAGTTTGAAGTTCGTTAACGAACTCTTGATAGTCATTCATCCATCGCAGACGAAGCGTGGAATTCTGGTCGAATAACAGGTCCGGCTCAAACCAATCGAGGGCCATTCCCTTGAGGTAGGACTGCGCAAATATGACTTTAGCACGGTCACTAGCGAAAGCGAGGGGACGGTCCTGGAAGTTGAGCTCGCATTGGACCAAGAATACTCGGAGTTCTCGGGGATCCTTCCCGTCAAACTGTTCGGGTTCGCGGACCTTGGTCCGGAGAGCAGAAGATCGTCATCATCGTCGTCGTCCGGTGTGACGAGCCAGACTGGCAATGGCTTGGGCCAATTGTGTAATGGCCACGTTGGAGGTGGGTTCGGCATCGTCGGTGGTTGGAACAGTGGGGATGGGAGGATCAGCAGGAGGAGGGTCGACGAAGTCGGGGACCTCGGAACCGAGTCCAAAGAAGTGGGCGGGATCTATGGGTTGTTCCGTGGTGTCTCCGAAGTCGGAGTCTGCGACTGGTGATCGATTCCTAGCGGGGCGCATGATCGGAGTCGATGGGAGAGGGGTTTCAAGGTTAGAAAAGCTTCGAAACTCAACTGGGTTTCTCGCCAATCGACTAGGACCAGGCTGAGAGGGTTCTGGGGAAGGTGAAGCGGAGTTGGGGACTAATGTGCATAGTTGCGAACGAGTGCGAAGGACTTTTGGTGCCATACAAGACGTGTACTAGTCAGGGAGCAGAAAAATACTGTCAGAGACCAGATTTAAGACGAAGGAATGTCTCCGTAACGGAGGGCTTTGGCCTCAGCGACTTCTGCCAGGAGCGCTGTGCCTAGTGACACGTCCGTGCCCTAACTTACTGACTGGCACTTAGAACCTAGTGGGGGTAACTCTAGTTGATTTATCTGCTGGGGCGTAACCTATGTACAAGTAGTGTATATATATGGTTACAGTGGAGACAGTTCCGCAATTGGCGGAGCCGGACAGAGCGGAGCTAACGGGGTTAAGACATTAGTGTCAGGGATCGGCCCCTGACCCCGCTGTCAGGGCACCCAACCACACCCCAGAACCACCTTCCCAGACCTCCCCATCCCTACATACCTCTCACAACTTCAACCCGCATGTGAGCCCGCGGGAAAAGTCACGTGGGTTAAGGCGAGCAACTCGCCTTAACCCATGTGACACCTTTTCCGAGTCGCGGGAACATGCTCGGCTTCTACCCGGAATCACGTTACGAACTGTACAGTACACTTCCTTTTATAGTAGCCAAGCGGGGAATAGGGAAACTTACCCTTCTTCTCAACTCAATCCCCGCTTAGGCAAGTTGTAGTTACCCTCTGTAATACATGACAACTCAATCCCCGCTTAGTCCCTTCAGTGAGTTTGAGGAGCTGAGGACGGGGTCTAGCGCCCAAGCACCCGAACACCACACACACCTAGGACCGAGGTCGGGCTGTCCCTGATTGAGGACCGAGCCCTGACAATTAGCCGACTGAATATTACTGACGAGTCGGTTCGCGGGGTTAGCGGAAAGGCAGGCGTTAACCCAGAAACGGAAAGGAGGGATAGGCCCGAAGGTGGACTCTGCAGGGCAGGTGAGTGTATTGCCCAGCGGAGGCGGGAGTGCGCTAGCGGACGTCGGAGCTGTCCGGAAGTCTTCGGGGCTCCGTACTTAGGGAGGCGTAGGTAATAAATTGAAATGAGGGGGTGGTGACCATCGAGGGGTACCGAGAGGTTTGCGGAATACGGGGGCTCCGAGGTTGGTGAGGGGGGAGCGGAGTTAGAACGGAGGGGTCGGAGAGCCCGGAAGTCGATGGCCGGGAATGGATATGACATGGGTCACTGAAAACTGGTTTAGGACACTCAAGGGAGTGTCTGCTGGGCTGTGGGTGGGGCTCCAGGTGGACTCTGACTGTTGGTCATCAGGGGAGATATCGCGCATCTCCATCTCGGCAACAAACACATTGCTCTCAGCAGCCTCAGAGCTGCAGGTCTCTTTTTCCTCCTCTCCTTGGGTGAGATCTATCTGTGTTATAGCACTGTTCCTCCCACTAGAGTTTGTGCTCAAGTTGTTCAGGAGGGCTGAGAGAATGGCCTGCCCAGATTCCTTGCCGGAAGTTGGAGGAGGGTTGAAAAAATCAAGGATTGTGCATTTCTTCCTGTCAATCCTTGTCCTTTTTCGCATCTCCTGGACCCTCCCACTAATAGTCCTCTTGATTGCTGCATCGCAGTACCGGCTGCACTCCAAGTGTACACCGTTTACTGTACCCACATGACCAACTACTGGCTGGGTCCTGAGCGTGACACAAAATTTTCAACCGGCGACTCAGTTTGATGCGTGACACCCAACCGGCCAGCCGGGCCCCAAAAGGGAGGCAGTGCTAATTTCGGGAAAATGGCTGAGCCTGATGAGGTTGCTTTGGCTCCCTCCGACCTTGGTCATGGAATGCGAGCTAGAAAAACACACAATTGGCTATTTTTCGTTTCGGAACATACCAATTACCCGAAAAAGGAAATTTGATATTGCCTTTGCATAGCCACAAGTGAATGAGCATTTTGGCGTGACATGGGACCATTTGACCGCTTGCCTCGTGTGACGCGTGACAGAGTCTTCAAATGAGCCTGACCTGCGAGCCCGCGTGACGCGTGACAGGTAGTTGGTCATGTTGGTACAGTATGGTGGTCCCAGCATATGTGACTTTGTTGCCCGGGATTTTTCCCTGGATATTGGCTAACTGAGCAAGCTGTTCCTCAGTATCGTGTAGGCACTGGGAAAATGCATTCTTTGAGGATATTGCTGGGTTGATTGTTTCATCAAGGTCTGTGTCACTGTCCGCATCACTGTTTGCACCATCATATGAGTTGGAATTGACATTAGCATCAGGCCAATCTGGAAGTACATCGTCCCCAACAGTCTGTGTGTGCTCTAGGGGGATTGTGTGGATTGACTCTGTAGTCGGAGATGGGTCTACATGTAATTTCTAGTAAAGAAACAAAAGTAATGAATCATGACCCAATAACAATATATGGTGAACCTTACCTTCTGAGAGTACTTTCCAAGGTTATTTGCTCGCTTACGCTTTTTCCCTAGAGGCATAATGTGCAATGTTGGAGGGGAAAGGGTGTGGGCGCTTACGTGCTTTCCCACTTCGGCCTCGGCAAATTCCGAATGAATTGATTTCGCCATTCCATGCACACCAAAATTTCACTACTGAATTTTCAATCGCGGTTCCCAAGTGACAAGCATTGAAAGAAGAACCACTTCCGGGCACAAAACAAAAAAGCCCCTCTCACTTCTCACTGAGTACAAATATCAAATTTTAGAAACCGGGAATGTCTTCTTTACTGCTACTCTACATAGTTCAGGCTGTAGCATTTGCTAGATCAAGTCGTGTCCAAAGTGAGAGGGTTAGTTCATTCTGGAATAGTTTGCATCCGTAAAGTGATGACTTGTGCACGTCACCAGTCTTACAACTCCCCCTAACATCGCAGGGCACATAGTTATCAGGACGTCCTCAGATTTTCCCACAGTCCATTTTTGGCAGCAAGCTGCATCACCAGGACGTCCCAGGACGTCCACATTGAAATAGGCCATTTAGGCCCTATTTGAAGCGTAAAAAACACCCCTTGATAGGGTGGGTTAATTGGCTGACTAGCCTGGGCGCGCGAATACTACTATGAAATGCAACCCCTGGCCCTGGATTACCAGTGAATCTGAGTGATGATCATTTCAAGCATACTTTTTTTTTTTTACAAAGACAAGCAAGTCTCGTGCATTTCTACTGCTAGCCGCTTCCGTCAGGTCCTTTACACCACTGGGATTGGCAAAAGGCCACATCAAAGACTACGCATGTCTTTGAGCCGTCCACATTGCACACCGTCCTCCGCCCAATGCCACCACCGTATTTAACAGGGAAGCACCATCCTCTTTGCCCGTCATCGCTGGACCACTCGTCAAGCCCGTCGGAAACCGTAATGTTACCACCGCAAGGTGCAGCCTTTATTACTGACCCTACTGGGATGCGCTGCTGGTAGAACTCGGACCTCGGTTCGGTTACTTTCACGCAAATGCCATCGCCGGGTGGGTCTGTTGGGAAACGTTGGTTAAAAGCAAATTTCATTTCGGGCTTCACTTCACCTTGGTTCGATGGGATCAAGGTCAGATCTGGTCCGCCCGATATGGGCTCCAAGTCGTAATTACCGGCGCAAATGGCCACAGCAAGGTGGAAATCAGCTGCGACAATAGGAAGTAGAGCGACTGGGATCAAGGCATTACAAAATCGCATTGTGACTTTGCTACTATTATACTGGCAGGTAATGAATGCGATGTGAGTAGCTCTGTGCGCGACGTGAATTAAGGAATACTAACCTCGCTATCAATCGGAACACTTGGAGGGCTGAGGGAACGCATCCTTCAGAGGCTATATAGGTTGTTCTGGTGTCTTCTCAGTCCTTGAAGAATGAAAAATAATCTTCCTTGCTCGGCCCACATGCGCTTGTGTCACGCTTGCATGGTGGGTCATTATTAGTAACTGTGCCGGAAGCTGATCATATATTATAGCACACATGCAACATTCCAGCCAAGCTGAGATATCCCCACAGTGCCCGCATGATTTGACAACCGCTTCGTCCAGTACCATAAGCGAAGGTTAACCACAATTGCAGGTCGGTTGGTGTTGCCATTCTTTTTATGGTCCCATTTTACCTCCAAATCATGGTTTTGTCTTCGGCGTATGTGTGTGGTTCGTTTTTCGTCAATCCATGGATCGAGGAGTCGGCATGGCGTGGGATCCGCATGATATTTTGCCATGGGCATGTTGATACAGTTGAAACCGTGGTAGGCCATAACTGAAATAACACATTACCCATAGAAATTTCTGTGAACTGGTACTGCCTAACCCATAAACCTGCCATCCCCCACAACGCATAACGTGCAGGGAAATTTTTATATTCGAATTTCGCGAAATTTGATCTGTGAGGTTGACATGTAAATATTGAAAGGTTATTACTTAATGGTTATTACGGTAACATTTATTAACTTTGGGAGAATGATGGGAGGGACTACATATCTCAGTCTCAGCTCGGCTGGAATGAAACTGGGGGAAAGGTGGCGGCACCATTAACCGACTCGTCTGCAAGTTTGCAACTGCGATGACCTTCGCCGATGGGGGATAAGGAAGCCATTGACAAATGCGGGCATGTTGGTGTCTCAGCTTCGGCTGGAATAACGTTTAATTTTTTACTACATGTGTGTAATGCATGTTTACGATTGGATGATGCCTGCCGACACAATTGATGACCCACCATGCCAGCGTGACACAAGCGCGTGCAGAGCAAGGGCTGCTAGGGAAGATTATTCTTAGGCTGAAAAGATGCTGGAACCTCCTATATAGCCTCTGAAGGATGCATTCCCCTCCCCTTTTCCCAGTCCGCTGAAGCGTTCAGCTTGGCAACAAGGTAGGTATTCCTTAATTCACATAGCTACTAACATTCATTTCCTGCCAGCATAATAGTAGCAAAGTCGCAATGCGATTCTGGAATGCCTTGATCGCAATCGCTCTAATTCCCATTGTCGCAGCTGATTTCCACGTTCTCATGGTCACGTGCGGAACGCTCAAAAACTCGGGGCCGGGCTTACCGGATATGCTTTTTCTCTCATCGAAAGGTGAAGTGAAGCCCGAAATGACATTTGCTTTAACCAATGTTAATTTTCCCAACAGCGGACCAGTGCGATAGTATCATCGAGGCAGGCAACTCCACTTCCTGGGACCCGAGGCGCATCCCCTTCGGGTCAGAACTAACGGCTGCACCTTGCGGTAGTAACGTTACGGTTTCATATCGGCTTGATAGTTGGAGCAGCCAAGATGGACGGAACGGAAAGTGTTTCCCTGTTACATACGGTGGCTACCCTGGGGAGTCGATGTGGTGCGGACTGGACGACAATACCGAGACAACATGCTTCGCCTCCGATATAGTCTTTTGCGAGTCCTCGGATGACCATTGTGTCAATTAGTAATCTTCGACATCGATCTGAGAAGTATTCAAAATTCCTTGTGTTCGTGTTCGCGAAAAAATACGTTTTTGAAAAAATGATCATTTTCAATCCCCAACAAGCTTTATCATTCGTGTAGTATCCTTATATATATACCCTTTCCATGTTTCGCTGTGTACTTCACACCGCTCCCTAATTAATTTTATCACCGTTCTGGGACAGGGAGAGCCATGAAAGAGAGAAGAGTGAACGTGTGAACCTTTTGTAGAGGATAGACTGGAGGGTGTCGAGGTTGGGGGACAGTTGTAGCGTCTAAACCCGACAATGGGGATGGCTTATTCCTGGTGCCGGAGTGCTCCACTTGATGTCATCATGAGCAACCAGTTGGGGTTACGTATACTAGGCAAGCCGCCAGTGGCGCCACAATATATAACGCCACTACTGCCTTCCGAGGAACCCGGCATTCCGTTTAGGCTTCGGCGCTAATATATCAGGTTCTACTATTGCTAAGATAAGCGCTGCGTTCGATTCATTGGACAAGTTTTAATTCATGTTGATCAATTCTCGAAGATCGACACAACTGGATTGTTTGAACCAAGGGCCAGGCATTGCATGGCCACAAAGCGAAGCGAGGCTTAATTACTGTTCTTCCTCACTAGAGTGAATTTTCGATGGGAAAGGACGATCAGTTGCAGCGGAAGGGTCTGCAGGGCAGCGCATCATTTAAAGGTGCACGCCACAACACCTCGTAGTAATCCCCGGATGCATAGCCATATGCAACCCGAGGCGGCGACAATTCGTGGTAGAAGTGCTGTCCGGCCCAGGCTCTGGGTCATAGTACGTGATAACATAGTGCTGGTTACCGTAGAGCGCCCCTCTCCCAAGGAGGGACAAGTAGGTTACAACGTGATGATGCTTAGTGGGGAGGATTATTTGAGTCTATTGGATCATAACGGATTGGGAATAGCGGCAAGAATCTGACTTGAATGGACGAAACAAGAGAGGCAGCTGCGTATGGCCACCGATCGACTTGGGCTCCGTCTCGAGCAATTTTGTGCCAGGGAGAATTATGGAGACGTGTAATTAAGGCAGGTGCGGGCTCACGTCGTGTCTGGATCCTTGGACGGGATCGGGCATAGACCGTCAATCATAGTTCGACGTTCTCTACCCGCACGTACGATTCCCGGCTACATTCTGCATCAATCTCAAAAGTGACATGAATGAATCTCCCTCGCCACAATCGCAAGCGAGAGAGGACTTGAGAAAGAGGGATCACACCTCAGGGGGGAAAAAGAACAGGAGGACCAAGGGAGGCGCTGAACTGGGCTAAGTCGGCAGATCCTGAATGAGATCAATTTGACCAAGGAATAGGTTCAAAACTGTCTAGTTCGAACTGACAAGTGCTGAGCGAGCTGGGCAAGATAGGATGATGATGATATGCTGTGCACTAACGTGTTGCAATGATTGGTTGAGCAAGGGAAGTTGGGAGACGTAGATATGGGCACGAATATTCCCTAGGGAGTGTAAGAAGAACTTTTGATGCATGTACATGGGGTGGTAAGGCGGAGCGCGTCGGAGTCGGTGGAAGCAATCACAAATTATGTAATCACGAATTGACTCACCCAACTGCGTTCTCTCCACACACCACGCATGCTTGTACTGGGAATGATAGACTCGGTCATTTTTCAGTTTCATCCACTCCGCGCCTGTTGCCCTGATGGATCAGTGACCTCTTCCGTATGCAGTCTCTTATCCCCCGTGGTTTGCTCCGCAGTGCAACTCATCCGAAACCCCCGGTTGCCTTTGACACGAGTTATTTTCGCCCCCCTGGACGTCTTCCACTCGGAACGACTGACTGTACTAGTATAGGATGGCAGATCCTTATTCTAGTATGAATGTGATGGAGGAGAAACTGCGTTTGTCAGAATAGGTCAGTGGTAGGTCTAACTCATACCGGGCATATCTAATTTTGGTGGCTTTGCTCTGGTTATCTCCTTCACTTTCCCCAACCTAACCACCCCAAAATCCGGGGAAAATAGAGGTGCAGTTGAAATGCGTTCCCATTCGCAATACACCAACTCACCTACCTATCACCACTTACACAATTTGACGACTACTCTCAACTTCGCCCGGAAGCACCTAAGATGCCTCTTTCGATGACCCTTCCGAAATGTCATTCTATGGATTACGGCTTGACGTATCGGATTCTCTTAGCGTACATCGCTTACCCTTCAAGTTGATTGTTTGCGTAGCTATTCACATCGTTGCTCGACGCACTAAGGGCCATTTCATATTTCCACGCCGCTGCACTCCGATCTGCTGGAGGAGCAAGTCTTGCCGGCGCACGGACCCCCGCATCCTGCCGCTTGACCACGTCACCCTTTTATTCCATAATTACCTGATTCCTATTATGTTTTGTTTACTACAAATACTGTACATAAGTGAATGACTAGCTAAGAGCTCCTTGTTGAAATTCTTGTTTCTTGATACGCTGTGGACCGACCATTGAATACAACGGACTATATTTCTTGCGCACAGACATTTCCTTGTAGGATTGCCCGATGCTACCGACCATGTTGATGGACGCAGTCGAGGATGGCTTAAAAGCCGCCTCGCGCAATTTTTCCCTCTTCTCTCCTCAGTTCACGTTGGAACTGAGGTGAGATATCTATCTCTTTGTGCCCTGTATGTCTTTCTGATGATTGTACATACTACCCTAGCGACTAGGTGATTATCAATCTTATTAGTTCACGTACTTGGAACTGAGCGCTTATACGCGACTAGTTCATAATTCAAATACTCCTTTAGCACCTGCACTTTCATTCTCTCCATCCAACGATCCTCCGCTGAGACTTCCGTCCCGTGCCTTTCGACTGGTTCCACCTCCATCTCAGATGTGCAATCGCCAGTAGAAAAAAAAAACACCGGTGATACAACGGATGTCAATGTTATCTCGGTCAGCCGCTTGAACACGTGTGCATCCGGAGCAAGTCCACTGAATCTTTATTTGAAAGGCTATCCACTAGGAGTGGTTTGAGCGCTTCGCTTCCTGCACTCCACAGGATACCAGAGGTCGTTGTCGCCAATATCGTAGTATTAATTACCGGACCTAGCACTACGGGTAATATCGGGCATAGTACATGAAATACACTTCATGGACCGCTTACAATCCTAAACAGCGTTGCGGCGCAAAAGTCGTCAAGTGTATGTACTTCCAAGGAGTGATGAGTAAGCAATGACGGGCACAACTGGGAAATGCTAAATGACTTGGCTAATATCGACCACAATTGGGGCCCTTGCCTGACCCTGGAGCAGAAATCGTGTCCCATCCCTGCTTGACTGAGGGCGGAAGAGGCACAGAGAATCGTATGGCACTTGATCGCCATACCAGGCTTGCCGGGAATCAATCGGTCCATAATCCCTTGGAAGCTCGAGTTCTGCTCTGCCATTGAGCCACATTGATCCGTAGGGTTCGATTAATGGGGTCCTTGTTGCGGCAGGCAAACGGAGAAGCTCAATCCTTTGTTCCGAGTTGCTTGGCGAGAGGTCGTAAAATGGGCGCTTGATCCAGGACTCATCGGAGTCATGCCCTGCATCCACCTCAGAATGGTGTGCGTAGGCCGTGCCACTTTCTGATGAGGGAAGAGTGGCTCGAGCGAATATAGGGTCAGGGATGACATATGAGTGAGTTGGAGGGACGGTGGGATTGATGATCCAACGATAGAAGTCCGTCACCCGATAAACCGCGATGCACTCGCATGATTCCGTCGACCAAGTAACAGCCTGGGTCTCATCAAAAGCACCAACATATCGTGCCCCCGGAGAGAAACCAAGCGTCCGACGGTTCGGAATGCCATCTGACACCTTATTATCAGATTGAGAAGATGGAGAGATAGGAGGAGAGGCGAGACGCTGAATGGATGGACGCCCAAAAACAGATATGAGCATCATGCTGTCGTACCAAGGGTTGTCGGGACTTCGTGGGACTCGTACAACAAATAATCCATCATCCGAGACTGCGGTTCCAGCAGGATAGGAACCAGTGGGAAGAGTGCCAAGATTCACAGGGGCCATGCCATCACCGAGGATCGTTACATTCCCATCATTATCCTCAGTGGCGACTTGGCAACTGCCGTGGACAAATTCGATCCAGGCTGGTAAATTGGCTGAATGGCGCTGTAATCGGCAGATGGTGTGCTGGTGCTCGATATCGGCCACTTCGATGATCCCGCTGCCAAATCCGAGTGCAATATAGTGACCATTGAGGGAGAGTGCAGCGCATGTCACGATGCCATTGCGAACATTAGGTTCGTGAAATTCAGCTTCGTAATTGATTGCCTCGTTGACCACCTCTGGTAGTTCCTTCAACGTTGCCTGCATGATCTCTTGGGCGCTGAGCAAATCCTCGCTTAATGGAATGGTGCCACCAGAGAACTCGCCAAAAGCGGAGAAGATCCGGACAGGATCGGCGAGATGTCCATATTGTTTGTAAAGGGATGACGAGGGTAAGGCAAAAGGGAGTGCCGATCGATAGAGATGCCATGGTTCATTCGCAGCAGTGAAAGCTACCTCATCTAAACCTCTCAGAAGTTGGATCGAACTGTAATCCTATGTATCAAAAATGACATCAGACACGCTTCAGATGAATGGTTCATACTTACATTGAACTGAAGGAACTCGTCAGGAAATAAAGTACCGTTCTGATGTAGTGAAAACATAAAAATGTTTTGCAAGTGCATGAAAGTCAAGACGTATTTTTGCGTAATGAAGGAATTAAACTCGTTCTGCAATTCATTGGACTGCTGTGAAAACAGTTGCAAAGGGTCCAAGTGCCGGTTAAGAATTCAATACCATAGTAGAAGCACCTACGATAATCCTTTTTTTTCGTCATAAATTCCCTCCATATTCTTTCATCTCCTAAAGGGGATTCGTAGGTATTCCGAATGCATCTTGCTTGCAATAATTGTTGAAGAGTCGAAGGAGCGGCAATCCAAGGAAGTACCCTTTCATATCATCGATGAAGAATACTTTGTCCTTGTCATCGCCAATTGGTTCCCCTGTGATGAATTCCTTAGCTGTCGCATGATAGAATTGATGTCCTCTGTGTTCCCAAGGGATCATCGATGATGGAGCTAATTGGTTCCAATGTTGCACGGATCTCATCTTCACCAATCTTGAAATGCTGTGATATAACAGAGATGTTCATCGGATGATGCGCCGCAACAATCGTGCCAACCACTAAGCGATACATCTTGACTACATCTGGGTGTATGTCAGATGGATCCGGCATATAGGCTTGTCGAAGTATCCGCAAGTATTCCTCCTTGAGGTTGGCAGGTGGTTGGTGTGGTTGGTGAGGTTTAGGAACTCCCGGAACACCGACTGTAAGGAGCGGCCACGCCGTGTCTGCAGGCCGATATCGCGAACTCGGATAGACGCAATAATAGGTAACCCCCGACAAGCCCGAACAAAATCATCGAGTTGCCACTCCGTTGGTCTCCATGAAGATTATTGATGACGTGCTGAAGGCCATCCTCAACCATACGCCGCACCGTGTAGAAACCTTCATCGTTCATGATCCTGTCCAGATCTTCACACGGTACGACGTGACCCTTGTTTCGAGCCGTTGACCAGGCTGAAATAACTCCTGGCTCGGGACGACAACTAACTAGTACAGAAAACGCCGAGGGCAGCTCCTCAAGAGAAACGACTAGCCTCACCAAGGACCTGAGCGTCTCCTGATCCCCGCACTCATCTAGACCATCCAAGATGATGAAGAAGCGTTGGTCCTTGCCCGAAGAAAATATGTCCTTCAGATCGCGCATTGGCTCGATCATTAGAGTATTGATTTGTTTTTCTGGAGGGGCATCCTGAACGAACATCATATCCGATTGCCGAAGGCGTCTAATAAGAGACAATTTAAAGTCCTCATTGAAGGAGGCAAGTTGGCAGGCGAGGGTAGAGGGGAACAGTTCGATAGAATCCAAGCCTGTTCCTGTCCGGTTCTTATCCCAAAAGAATGACGCTGCCAGAGTACCCTGCTCCTTAAGAGTGGATGCGATACTCATGGATATCGCAGTCTTTCCCGTTCCAGGAGATCCTCGTAGCCAGACGAATCGGTTCTCAGCTTCATTCAGGAGCCTCAATAAGGATTCGCGAACCCTCTCTTGCGTGTGGGTAGGCACTCTGATTTGCTTTCTACATGAATATGCTCGGCTGGGGCTCGCTTGAGTTTGGATATCTCGGCTAGAAGAATCAGTGATTGGGCAATCCATAAGCATGTACACAACTTAGCACATACATTGAACTGATGTATGCTCGGTACGAAGCAGAATTAAAGTTAGTGATCTCAGCTATGGTGAGTCAGAATCCGACCATAAGAAACTCTCGAGTATGCCGACCTCATATCGATGAGTAGCATCATTCAGGCAATTCTTCATATTGGTTATTTGCTGCGTCATATCGGATGCTTGAAGTCGCTTTGTCTGGCCTTTTTCTTTTTGGACCAATTCGATGCCTTCCACTTGTTCTTGCAATGCCCTACTCGAGAATGAGTGAACACGAAAAGAGAAGATGAGATACTACGTACACGCAAATTTCCTGCACTAAGCTCCTAATCTCAGGTGGGACTTCTTCAGTCCACTTCCGGAGAGGCTCAAGCACCGAGTCGTGTGTTTTCTGAATCACCTCATACAGCCAGTTGAGATCCTCGGCGTTGCTGCTGATATTCTACATGCAAACAGGCATGAGAAGTGACCATGGTCACGATCATCAGCGATTCACAAACCTCATAAATTTGAATCCATCTCAGAATCATACTTGGGATCTGATCGAGATTTGCGATGGAAGAAAACTTGAGATTAGCGACTGCAGTTTCAAGGATGAGTTTGATGGCGCCGATGATGGTTTTCTTCCGATCGTCATCAATCCAACGATGTGCCGATTCCGCTGACGCAGATAAAGTAACCGGAACTGATGATTCGATATCTGTAGGTGCATGTTGCGTGCCGATGCTTGCGCTGTCAGGAGGTGCCCGAGGCTCCGAACCCCGGTCAGCACCACTGGAGAACCGAAGAGCCGACATGCTAGGGCTCCCAGGACGTGATCCAACTGAACTATTATGATCTCTGCGTACTAATCTGTCACTTGCAGATGGGAAAGGGATGAGTCTGGCGCCGGGAACAGAGGGCCCGCGTCTTAGAACGTTGGTTCAATTCACTCGTAGCCCAGGTGGAGAATAGAGGGATATAACTGATGTACATATTGCGCTGGAAGCGCACATATTTATACAGGGCCATAATACTGCCAGGCGCAACACATACACGGGCGCTTGTTCGAATCCTCCACACGCCTCCACATAATTCCCGGATGTCTCCGGTGACTCGTCCAGTGCAGTTGCAACACCGCCCATTAGGAGGCTCAGAAGAGGGCTGTGAGTCGCCAAACCGCGCGAGACGAGGTATTGGTTGAATCCAAGGTGTCTGCACATGGTGCAGGCATGGCAATTACAGAGGGGTGCGTCACATCATATATGTAAACCCGAGGCTCCTCGCCATTAAGTAGTGGACATAACAGGAAAAGCAGTGTTTGAACTGCACCAGAAGCTAAGTAAGCGATGAGCTGGGTTCTCGATAGCAATCGACCTGCAAATCAATCATTCACCTCTTCCCAGGATTAACACGCACGTACGTGCCAGCTGCCAGCTGGGCTGTATGACTGGGCAAGCCACCGCGCCACGTGAATTATATGCATTCCAGACTGCGGCGTTAATTCATCACGCTCTATTAGTGGTGTTATTAACATGAGTGCTATATTAGCACACCGCTCCGATTCATGCAGAAGATTAACATCAACTTCCTGGAACATCATAGTCAAGAAGTAGTGGCGCAATGTTTCGGTGCGTAGGGCTAGGACCATCCTTCATTACAGCTACGTTCTTATGTACTGCCAGCAAGACTTTTGGCCAGAGGAAAGCATGTCGCCAGGGTTTCATCGTTCGATGAGCACCACTTCGTAGTTAGCACCCAGTTGTGTAGTTAATAAGTAGTACCTGAACGCGGGGCCGAACAACCCCGCAGGGGCGAAATTCCACCACGCTGTCGCAATAGGATAAGATTCGATGCAGTGAAATCCAAATCGTAAAGATGGTAACAGCGGTAACAGCCTAACTGGAATGGACTGAAGTAAGGTAGCTGCCCTCGACGACCAATCGACTTGGGCTTCGTCCTCGGCAATTCGCTTGCCCGGTTTGAACTTATCGTCAAGATGGATTGCAGAGGCTTTCAGTCAAGGCAAGCACTAGCCCACCAGGACTCTCGAACAGGGGTAGGCATGGTCTGCCTGTAAAAGGATTGCGAATGTTTCTAATGAACGAGTTTCTCACTATAGAAAGACAGACAAGTAGAATCAAACGCCAGCGCAGCAGCGACTGCAAGCGATGAAATAGGAGCATCGCCCATGCCCCAACTAGTGCCCTTTCCAATTTCCACGCGTACAAATCCCTTTAATCGACATTCCTTAGGTCCGAATCGAGTCAAACCATCAAGTCTGTCATCTGCTTTACCCAACACCAACTGCGCATGCAAATTCCGTGCTCCCAAATGGCTGAAGATGCTCCGAAAATAGGAAAACGCTAGCGGATATTAGAACCACGTAGGAAGTCCACGACCAAGTAGTCATCAATGATGTGGTCGCCTCAGAATGTTAGTCGCAGATTATGGCCATAGACTCCCGACGCACATCCTGTGGGAAATGGTACAGGAAGCGCGAGTTGCATGTATTTGGCTGTATTAAGGTGCCCAGAAAGTGCAAGGATGGTAGGGAGACGGATGATAGAATCGGCAGCGACATGCTTCTGATCAAGTTGAGATTGCACCTAGAACCGGACGTGCGGCAACGATCGCTCTATCCATGAAGATGGTTGTACACATAGGTTGCGAAGCTGATCCATGAGCAAGGAGGCTGGGAATAAAAAACAGTTGCCCAAATGTCTAAACTTGAATCTCCCCCACCCGTGATTGGGAACAAGAAGAAAGTAGCCAAGCAACGGGTTCAAAATTGTCTGCTTCGAGCTGCGACAGGCCGGGTTGCCAGACGATCAAGACGGGATGTTGGGGGGATCACTGGATCCAAGCATCCCAGTGCGGACTAACGTGAGTGATAAGGGAAACAGAAGTTGAAATTGACATGCTAATCGGGGGGTGGCGTTACCAATTGATTACATAATCTCAACTTCGCTGGCCTCGGACAACGTCCACCGGAGCCCTTCTCGGTTGTCGAAGCGTGAAAAGAAGTTGATTCACCCAGGGTAAAACCATAACATGGTGGTGTTGGAGGAACAACTTCGAAGTCTGTAATTACTATTATTTGCGTTGTCCTTCCTAATCAAGAGTCTAACACTCTTGTCCAACCGCCCTCTCCAGGTGTTTTAACCCTCAAAGTCTTCGTCGGCGATCGACATCCATCCTCCTCTGCGTACAGTGATGCCTCGTTCAGGCCTTTACACATTGGCTGGATGACATTCATTGGACTTTGGGGCCGCCCATTACCGTCTAAAAGTACACACCTATCTTGGCTAAACTTGTCGCACCCTTGTCGCACCACTTCATCCTCTCCACAACTGCCCGAAAAAGCGCTGTTCCTAGTCTGTGGCCTAGACCCGTACGTGCCGTCACTTGATGAGTTTGCGTACATCATCGCGACGTTCTTATGGACCTACCCCAGGATGATGAATGCTATCGCTGGTCCCCGTGCACGGGATCTCACATTAAGCCAAATGCGAGGCGCATTAGGGCGCTTGGATTCACAGCTGGCCCAAGTTAGAAAGCTTTGAAGCTAAATCCTATCTGTATGTCATCGTTCGGGTTGGGTTGGCATGTATGGAAGATTCGATGCCAGCACATATCATACTTTTCGTGAAAATGAGGGGAATATGAGCTTTGCTTTCTCAAAAACAAACAAGCAGGATAAGTATCTCCAAAAACTTCCTGCACCGGCCTGGGGGATTTTGCCACTACTCAGCTGACACGCATCATACGAAAGCTCAGTCCGAACTATCCATGGCCCTCCCTCCGATTTGATTGTCATCTTAAGAGCAATGGTGGTTTCTAGCCCCGAACTTGGCATACTGCCATATTTGCGGTAGTTGAGAGCTTCACCAATTTATCGCGCTTCCTCCGGCGCCCTTATCTCTACGGATGGAACCCTAATATAAACCAGTCGTCACTTGGCGAAAAAAGCTTATACGCGCAATGAATAACGCGACAGTCCAGTCACAATGTTAAGATAAAGTTGCTCTAATAATACAACTTGGAAGGATTGATATCATGCGTCGAGTTAGGTGTGTTTATGAGTGTCCAAGCAATAAACAGCATGGGAACCGTAACGAAGACCGAGCAAACACCGTATCCTAAATAGGGCAAAAGTCACCAAGCCTATCGCTAGGAGTGTGACGAGTGGGCAATAACGAGCGCACTAAACAACTTGGCTAATATCTACGACAATTGGGGCCCGTAACTCTCCCTGCACTAGAAATCGAGTACCATCCCTGCTGTACTGGGGGCGGTAAAGCTTCAGAGGATCATATGGCACTCGATGACCGTACCAGACTTTCCGAGAATAATCAATCGGACCATAGGCCCGTGGGAGTACGAGTTCTTCTCTGCCATTGAGCCACACTGATCTGTAGGTACCAATCAATGGGGTTCTCATTGCGGCAGGCAAACGGCCAGGCTCGACCCCTTTGCTTGGTGAGAGATCGTAAAATGGGCGCTTGATCCAGGACTCATCAAAGTCATGCCCCGGCGCACAAGCTGTGTCCCCTTCTGCCAAGGGAAGAGTGGCTCGAGTGAATGTAGGATCGGGGATGAGATATGTGTGTGTTGGAGGGACGTTAGGATTAATCATCCAATGTTCGAAGTTTGTCACCCGATAACCCGCAATGCACTGGTATGATTCCGTTGACCAGGTAACGGCCTGGGACCCATCAAAAGCACCAACATAACGTGCTCCTGGAGAAAAACCAAGCGTCCGACGGTGTGGAATGACTAAACCCTCATGAGAAGGCGGGGAGAAAGGAGGAGAGGCGAGAGGCTGAACGGATGGAACCTCCGAGACAGATATGAGCGCCATGTTGGCATGCCAGGGGTTGTGGAGATTTCGCGGGACTCGTACAACAAATAATCCATCATCTGAGACCGCGGTTCCAGCTGGATATGGACCAGTGGGAAGAGTGCCGAGGTCCACAGGGGCCATACCAGCACTGAGGACTGTTACATTCCCTTTCCTATCCTCAGTGACGACTCGATGACTGCCATGGACAAATTCGATCCAGGCCGGGAGATTGGCTGGATCGCGCTGCAATCGGCAGATCGTGCACTGGTGGTCGATATCGGCCACTTCGATGATTCCGCTGCCAAATCCGAGTGCAACATAGTGACCATCGAGGGATAGTGCGGCGCACGTCACAGTGCCATTGCGAACATCGGGTTTTTGGAATTTGTAATTGATTGCCTTGCGTCCTGCCTCTGGTGGTTCGCCCAAAGTTGCCTGCATGACCTCCTGGGCCCTAAGCGAATCCTCGCTCAATGGAATGGTGCCACCAGAGAACTCGCCAAAAGCGGAGAAAATCCGGACAGGATCAGAGAGATGATCATATTGTTTGTAAATGGACGAGGAGGGTTGGGCGAAAGGAAGCTCCGATCGATAGAAATGCCATGGCAGTTCATTCACAGCAGTGTAAGCTAGCTCATTTAGACCTCTCAGGAGGTCGACTGAATCGTGATTCTATCAAAAATGCCATCAGACAAGCGTCAGATGAATAGTTGACACTTACATTGAATCGAAGTAATTCGTCAGGACATAAAGGCCCAAACTGAGAATGGCTTTGCAAGTGCACGAAAGTCAACATGTATTTTTGTGTGAAGGAATTAAACTCGTTCTGCAATTCATTGGACTCTTGTGAAAAAAGTTGCGAGGGTCCAAGTGCCGGAATAAGTAATCAACAACATAGGAGCAGCGCCTGCGATGGTCTGCCTTTTTCACCATAAATTCCTTCCATATTCTTTTATCTCCTAAAGGGGGATTGGTAGGTATTCCAAATGCATCCTGCTCGCAATAATTGTTGAAGAGTCGAAGGAGCGGTAATCCAAGGAAATACCCTTTCACATCATTGATGAAGAATACTTTATCCTTCTCATCGCCAATTGGTCCCCCCATGATGAATTCTTTTGCCGTTGCGTGATATAAGGTGACTTTCGCTGTGTTCTCTGAGGGAAGATTGACGATTGAGCTGATTGGTTCCAATGTCGCACGGATCTCGCCTTCCCCAATCTTGAAAAGCTGTGACATAAAAGAGACGTTCATCGGCGCGACCGCTGCAACAATCGCACCAACCACTAGGCAATACTTTTGGCTACATCTGGATGAATGTCGGATGACACCGACATATAGCTTGTCGAAGTATCCGCAAGTACTCCCAGTTGAGGTTGGCAGGTGTATCGGTGAGGGTCAGCAACTCCCGGAACACCGACTGTAAGGTGCGGCCACGCTGCGTCTGCAGGACGACATCGCGAACCCGGATAGACGCCATTACAGGTAGCCCCTGGCAAGCCCGAGCGAAAGCGTCAAGTTCCTTCTTGTCTGGTTTCCACGAATATTTGTCAAAAGGGGGCTGAAGGCCTTCTTCCACCATACGATGGACTGTCTGGAAAGCTTCTTCCGCTACAACCTTGTCCAAATCTTCACATTGTATGTCATGACCCTTTCCCAAGCTTTATCCCAAGCTGAAATGACTCCTGGCTCAGGACGACAACTAACTAAGATAGAAAATATTGGTGGTAACTCCTCAAAGGCAAGCACCAGTTCCATTAGGGCCCCGAGTCTCTCCTGATCCCCGCACTCATCAAGGCCATCTAGGATGATAACGATGCGATCCTTTCCCGAAGACCATATGTCACGCATCGGCTCAATCATCAGTGTATTGATTTGGGTTTCCAGAGGGAGATCCTGAACAAAGACCAAATCCGGTTGCCGAAGGCGTCTGACAAGCGACAATTTGAAGTCCTCATTGAAGGATGCAAGTTGGCAAGCAAGGGTAGAGGGGAACAGTTCGATAGAATCCAAGCCTTTTCCTGCCTGGTTCTTATCCCAGAAGAATGACGCAGCCAGCACACCCTGCTTCTTAAGAGTGGATGCAACACTCATAGATATCGCAGTCTTCCCTGTCCCAGGAGATCCCCGTAGCCAAACAAATCGATTCCCGGCTTCCTTCAGATGCTTGAGCAGGGATTCTTGAATCTTATCCCGCATGCCTGGTAGGCATTCTGATTTGCTTTTTACATAAATGTGCTCGGCCGGGGCTCGCTTGAGTTTCGATATCTCGGCTAGGGGCATGAGTGACTAGGAAATCCATAGGTATCTACGCAGACACGTACATTGAACCGATGTGTACCCGGTACGAAGCATGATTAAAGTCAATGATCTTAGCTGTGGCAGACATGGTAAGTCGGGATCCAGCCATTCAAAAAATCTCGAGTATGCAAACCTCGAATCGATGGATAGCATTATTTAGATAGTTCTTCATATCAGTTATTTGCTCTGTTATATCAGGCGCTTGAATGGTCCTCTTGATAACATGCCTTTTCTGGATTAATTCAATGTTCTCTAGTTGTGTTTGCAATGCGCTACGAAGAGAATGAATGGATGCAAACGAGAGGAAAATAAGACCCGTACACGCAGAATTCCTGCACTAGGGTCTTTAGCTCAGGAGGAGTTTCTCCAGTCCATTTCTGGAGGGGCTCAACCACCGATTCTTGTGCTTGCTGAACCACAATGCATAACTGGTTAAGTTCCTCAGTGTTACCACTGACATTCTACATGTATGCAACATGTATGGTGAGGTGATCAAGATCAAGATCACCCAGACGATTCACAAACCTCATAGATTTGAATAAATCTAAGAAGCGTGTTTGGTATCTGATCAAGATTAGCGATGGGAGCGAACTTGAGGCCAGCAGCCGCAGTTTCGAGAAGTAGTTTGGTGGTGTCGATGATTGTTTCCTTCAAATCGCCATCAGATTTACGATGCACTGATTTCGCTGGCACTGATGAAGTAGCTGTGACTGACGATCCAAGTTCTTGTTGCATGTGGACGCTCGGGTCGTCGTTGCCAATGGCAAGTGCACTGCCCATCACTCGTGGGAAATTGGTATTGGGAGGGGACAGCGATGGCCGTGAGTCGTTCGTAGATGTCTGGACGGAAGCAGTTGGCATGGAATGTTTGGATTGGGATGTGCTTGATTGGTTTCGACGACTGGGAGCGGGACGGGGACTTCTCCGAAATGGCCTGAGTAGCTTGTCTCGGAAAGATGTTCGTTGCTCCGTGGTATCATCCTGCAAGACGCCACTAGAAAGTAGAAGGGCGGGCGCTGTAGTAAAGGCGCCAGAATGCAGCCCTGCGGGGCTGCCGTGGTCTTTGTCGTTCGTTCTGTCATGTGCGGTGGCAGGCCCGATGATCTCGTTCTTGGAGGCAGGCGGAGTTGAGACCTGCGACAGAGCATCAGGAGGCTCGGAAGGGTGCTGTGGCTTCTTGAACCGGGAGGAGATTTAGGATCACCGGGCATGATGTTGGTGTGGCTAGCGATCAGAACGGCGTGTGTTAAAGAAGACGTTTGGAAACAGGCCGCCCAGCTACTCTCACATTATATATACATGTTAACTGGCGACTGCTCCTCGTGGACGTAACGGGTAAAAAGTAGACCGCCGATGGAAATTAGCGAATCCTTCCTTGCTTCGAAACGACCACGCACGTGCACGCCTGGCTGCCCCATAAATAGCGTAAAGGGTTAAGCTACTCAGTAGAGGAGTGCACCAAGTCCAAAGGCAACAATACGCACTCGAATACAAACCCTAGCCATCTTGTGTAGTGATTCATGCACATAACGGTGAGCCCTCAGCCTGGACCACGCATACACAAAGGAGCGTGAGGCAAACAGTGGCCGCTTGAGAAGCTGAGCAATCATTGAATCGGCTTCTTGAGAGCAATAATCGCTCAAGCTTCCTTGCTTGCAAACAGGACATTCAACGCGCAAATGCGTGCCACCGACATGACGTCCCGGTGGGAACAAGGACTGAAGCTACTAGCTCACAAGCTACTCGATATAGAGTAGACCAAGTCCAAAGACAACATTGCGCACTCGCACACAGGACCTGATTATCTTCGTATATGTAGTGATCCACACACGTAACGTCGAGCCCTCAGCCTTGTTTCTATTTCCATGGAGCACCCAAGAATGGGAGAAAGCATATGTAGAGGGGAAACGGTTTTGCAGCTTTGAAATCGTTACTAGACGTTGGGGCTCCAAAAGGAAACTTTTGGTTGAAATTCACATGATCCTGACATTACGGGATTTCGCGTGCGACGGGCGGTCTCCAGCCTACTATCTCGTATTCTATCTCGTAATTCTTTGTTCACCAACCTTCCATGGAGTCATGCGATCATTCCGGCTGGCCAGCCACCCTCGCATTTTCCATATATTCAGTTCAAAGTCAGAATACAACGTCCGTACAACCCAAGATTTGGTGACACTGTCGAGATTCGCGGCCCAGTCCCCCTTGACGGAAGAAATCAGAGAATAACTGGGGTGGAATTGTCATGGCCGGTAGACAGTTAAGGCCAACAGTTGATGTCGAGGCTGTGGCCATGCGGTGAATTTCATGTTACCTAGATCTCTGGTGGAACCGGCATCACGCCATTCTTCCAGCTGTTTATATATCGTCTGGGCCTTTAAAAAGTAGCTTCAACCTCCTAGCTCCGATGAGCGAGCAGCCTTTTCAGTGTCTAGACATTTTTGAAGTGCGAACGAACGAAACTCGGACTGGGTTGGGAGACAGTAGAGCGTCCAAAACCAACAGTGGAGATGTGCTTCTGACCATCTAGTGCCGGAACGCTCCACTGAGTGATTACGGGTTACGTATACTAGGTAAGCCACTTGCGCCACACGAATAATGCATAATCTCACTTACTGTATTCCGACGTCCCCTTTTGGCCGTGGCGTTGATTTATAAGGTTCTACGATTGCTAACATGAGCACTATATTGATACAAGTGTTATGTAATTCATGTTGATCGATTCCCGAAGATCGACAGAATTGGATTTGCACTGTCGCGAAGCGAGTCCATTTCTCCTTTTCCCGTTAATTAGAGCTGCCTAGTCCATTCCAGACTTGGTCCCAGAGGGAATTTTCCGTAGGAAAAGTCGATCAGTTGCAGTGGGAGGGTTTGCAAAGCAGCAAATCATTTATAGGTATACACCATGTCCAGATTAATTCATCAGCGAGATCTGACGATTCGAACAACGCCTCGTAGTAGTAATCAATAAATTAGTATTGCCTGGATGTCGTCTGAGGCGGTGACAATTCGTGGTGAAAACGCTGCCCCAGGTTTTTAGGTCTTAGTACAGTGCTGGTTACCGTAGAGGGCGCCTGGCCCAGCGGGGTACAACATGATGATCATGGGAAGGACTATTTGGTCAGATTTGAGGCAGAAAAGTGTGTTGAACCAGTAAGAATCTGGCTTTCGAATGGACGGAATAAAAGCAGGTGGCCGGCTGCGTGCTGTTTAAGCACTGGGTGCGGGCTCATCTCTGGATCCTTGGACGGAATCAGGCATGGACTGCCAGTGAGGTTGCGAATATTGTTTCCAATGAATGTAAGCCAATCGGTATGAATTATCAAGCAAGGAGGAACAAAGAGAATAGTCGCTCGCAGCGCCAATATTGGAGGTTCGACGTTCTCTGCTATTCCCGGGTACATTATACGTCAATCTCAAAGTTCGAATAATGCCGTGACGAGACCTCCCTCACCACAATCACAGGCGAGAGGGAGGAGATGGGGAGATGTTTCAACATGCATAAGGGGGCCGTCGCGGGTGACGTCGGTGGAAGCCGCGGTGCGACTAGTTATGTAATCACGGCTTGGACTAGCCACAAACAACTTACACCTACATACGCCCAACCGCGTCCTCTTGGTCCACACACCACGCATGCTTAAAGACTGAGAATGGCAGACTCGGTCATTATCCACTCCGTGCCTGTTGCCCTGATGGATCAGTGAACTTCTTCTCACCACGCCGGGGCATTCAGCCTGACCTTCGAATCAAGTTGACAGCATTCTCCCGTGGTTTGCACCGTAGTGCAACTCTCCTTGTGCGCAATTCATCCGAAAATCCGGTTACCTTTGAAACGAGTTATTTTTTTTGCCCCTGGACGCCTTCCAACTCGGAACGACTGGGCCCCTCTGGACAAGGATCAAGCTCTTAGGATGCTTACTGTGAAGGGCGAGAACTGTGGTATAGGACATCGGGTAAATCCAATTTGGCGAGTTGGCCCTGGTTAAGTCCTTCAATTGTCATCCGGGGAAGACGAGGTTTAGCGTTCCCATTTGCACATTTGCGATATGTCACTCACCTACCTGTTATCGCTTACACAACTTGACAGCTACTCTCAACTTCCGTCAGGAAGCACCTAAGATGTCTCTTTCGATGACGCTTCCGAGATGTGATTCTACGGCTTGACGCGCTTCCGATGACTTTCATTTTTTCAAACTTACCCTTCAAGTTGATTGCTTGCGCAGCTATTCACGCCGTATCTCGATGCACTCGTCATGTTTATCTGATTCATGCTTCCGCGCTGCACTCCGATCTGTCGGAGGAGCGAGTCGTGCGGGTGCGCAGGCCGCCGCATCCTATTATTCTTCGTTTACTATGAATACTGTCAGTTCACACTTGAATAACTTGCTCAGAGCTCTTTTACCTCCCTGCCCCTTCATTCTCTCCGTCCAACGATGCTGAGCATCCTCCACTGAGATTTTGAGGCCCCAGCTCATAACGACACAATCCTTCGTTCTGCCTCTTTCACCCCGTACCCTTGGACTGATTTTATTATGTTGTCCACCTTCATCTTATGATCCCGCGTAAGAAGGGATGTGCAACCGCCAGTCACCACTCGAGGACACAGAAATAGTACACTTGAACGACACCTACGTCTTATTCGACGTCCTGGAGCATCGGATCATGAGAATGGGTTGTAGTGAAAGATTGGGACGCTGAACTATGAAGGCCTCGACTTGTGACACATCAAAATCGCTACTGTCGATGGTGAGAGGTAGGTGATACACCAGATGTCAATCTATGAACTGTTATCTCATTCAGCCGCTCGAATGCGTGTGCGTCCCATGGGCCGGGGGAAAGTCCCCTGAATTTTCACTTGAGAAGGTTATTCCACTACATGTAGTAGTAATATGAGCGCTTCGCTTCCTGTACTCCACAGGATACCAGAGGTCGTTGTTACCAATCTCGCTGGATTGGTTACCGAACCTAACACTACGAGAATACCGGGTATAGTACATGATATACACTTCAAGGACTGCTTACAATCCTAATCAGCGTTGCAGAGCAAAAGCCATCTGGCGCTCTGCCCAGGGAGTGATGAGTAAGCAACAACGGGCGCACTGGAAAATGCTAAATGACTTGGCTAATATCGACGACAATTAGGGCCCTTGCCAGACCCTGGAGCAGAAATCGTGTCCCGTCGCTACTGGACTGAGGGCGGTGGAGGTACAGGGAATCATATGGCACTCGATGACCATACCAGCCTTGCTGGGAAGCAATCGGTCGATAGTCCTTTGGGAGCACGAGCTCATCTCTGCCATTGAGCCATAAAGATAATCGGTTGAATGATAAACTGATTAGTGGGGTTCTCGTTGCGGCAGGCAAACATTGAAGGTAAACTCTTTCCTCTGAGTTCCTTGGCGAGAGGTCGTAAAATGGGTGCTTGATCCAGGACTCATCGGAGTCACGCCCCGCATCCGCGTCGGAATGATGCACACAAGTTGTCTCGCCTTCTGCCAAGGGAAGAAGGGCTCGAGTGAACATAGGATCAGGGATGAGATACGAGCGTGTCGGAGGGACGTTAGGATTAATAACCCAGTAATCGAAGTTCGTCACCCAATAACCCGCAATGCACTGGCATGATTCCGTTGACCAGGTAACAGCCTGGGTTCCATCAAAAGCACCAACATAACGTGCTCCCGGGGAGAAACCAAGCGTCCGACGGTGCGGAATGACTAAACCCGTATCATGGAATGGAGAAGGCGGGGAAAAGGGAGGCGAGGCGAGAAGCTGAATGGATGGAACCTCCGAAACAGATATGAGTACCATATGGTAGCACCAATGGTTGTCGAGGTTCCGTGGGACTCGCACAACAAATAATCCATTATCTGAGGCCGTAGTTCCAGCTGGGTAGGGACCGGTGGGAAGAGTGCCAAGGTTCACAGGGGTCATACCATCACTGAGGACTCTTACATTCCCTTCATTGTCCTCAGTGGCGACTCGGTGGCTGCCGTGGACAAATTCGATCCAGGCTGGGAGATTGGCTGGATCGCGCTGCAATCGGCAGATCGTGTGCTGGTGGTCGATATCGGCCACTTCGATAATTCCGCTGCCAAATCCGAGTGCAATATAGTGACCATCGAGGGAGAGTGCGGCGCATGTCACGATGCCATTGCGAACATCAGGTTCTTGGAATTCAGCCACGTTCTTATCCGATTCGTTGATCCCCCCTCGTTCACTCGACTGTGGCTGCATGACCTCTTGGGTCCTGCGTAAATCCTCGCTTAATGGGATGGTGTCACCAGAAAACTCGCCAAAAGCGGAGAAAATCCTGACAGGATCAGAGAGATGGCCATATTGTTTGTAAACGGATGATGAGAGTAGGGCAAAAGGAAGCTTTGATCGATAGAGATGCCATGGTGCCCTTGTGTTGATGAGCGACACTTGTGATCTCGGAGCTGGACTATGAGCAAATACTCAGTCTCAGCTAATATGCGTGAAGAACTAAATATATTACCTATGAGCAAATACTAGAGGTAATATACATAATATAAGTTACAATGATAAAACAATGAGGGAATGTAACTAACCTCAGTCTCAGCTAATATGCGCTTGTGTGTGGGCGAAGGCGTAACGGATAGCGTGGCGACGGCCCTGACAGGAAGTCGAAGCCTCTTGATTTGAAGCGAGCCGGTAGATACAAAAACCCCCCCCCAAAAAAAGGAGGCGATGGGGCAGGTGGAGGGTAACGATGAAGACAAGTGAGAGTAGCAGCAGAGAAGCACCAACAAAAGAGAAGAAGTGAAGTTACAAAAACAAGGCATGAGCCGAAAAGAGAAAGACACCGTAAACATCCGGGATCCAACTCGCAAAGGGTAACCAAGGCTAACTGCCTTATCCAATGCAAGACCGAATATTCAATGCCAACCAACCACCCTAACCAAAACTAATAAGAGAATTAGTTAGAAATATATGTTAGAGTCATAGAAAAAGGAAATAAACTCCAGCGTGCGTGGACACAAGAGAGATCAAAGACTGTAGAGCGACAGCGTGCAGCGGATGCAAGAGGTGGTGGCTGAGAAGCCAAAGCGTACTGCGGATGCAGAAGAGAAGGCACGGAGGCCGAAGCGCTCAGCGGGCGTGCATAAAAGAAAGAAGGCATGGAGGCCGAAGCGTACAGCGGACGCATGTAAAGAGAAAGAAAATAAACCTACGTACCGATCAAGCAGCAGAAATCAGAAATATGGACACAATTGCATACCAGACAACTAAGAAAAACTGAACATCATGGATGAACAGTCTAAAGACATAAAGCAATGAATATTGTGTACAGACGAGGACTTGACCTAGCAAAGGGCACGGCGGATACCCAGAAGAAAACTGAGGCACTGAGGCTGGCGCACACAAGTCATATTTAATCTCGTGCCTCCATTAAATTTAAATGAAGAACTGAGGGAAAAGGAAATGAATTCAAATGAATGAATATATCCGTGGCCTGGCACGGATTAGTCCGAAATAATATAAAGGAGGTCTTGTGACTAAGTAGTCACATGGTGGATTCTGGGCGAGTTGCTCTCCCAGAATGTTCCCACACTAACGCAGGAATGTGGCTGTTCAGGTTAGCTCCATTGGAGTACCCTCATAGCACACGGTTCCTCCAACACCTTGCAGCAGTGGGAGCTAGCTCATCCAAAGCTCTCAGAAGTTGGATTGAATTGTGATTCTATCAAAAATGACATCAGAAAAGCTTCGGATGAATAGTTTATACTTACATTGAATCAAAGTAGTTCATGAGGAAATAAAGATTGTTCATCGGAGAGTTTGGACAAATTGTCTTGCAAGTGCATGAAAGTCAAGATGTACTTTTGCGTGAGGAAGGAATTAAACTCGTTCTGCAATTCGTTGGACTCTTGTGAAAAAAGTTGCGAAGGGTCCAAGTGCTTGAGCAAGTGTTCAATAACATAGGAGAAGCGCTGGCGATAATCCTCCTTTTTCACCATAAATTTCTTCCATATTCTTCTATCTCCTAAAGGGGGATTCGTAGGTATTCCGAATACATTCCGCTCACAACAATCGTTAAAGAGCCGAAGGAGCGGCAATCCAATGAAATACCCTTTTGCATCATCAATGAAGAATACTTTGTCCTTCTCATCACCAATTGGTTCCCCTATGATGAATTCTTTGGCCGTTGCATGATACAAGGTGACATCGTTTACGTTCCCTAAGGGAAGATTGATGATGGAGCTGATTGGTTCCAATGTCGCACAGATATCGTCTTCCCCAATCTTGAAAAGCTGTGACATAAAAGAGACGTTCATCGGATTGTGTGCTGCAACAATCGCGCCGACCACTAAGCGATACTTCTTGGCTACATCTGGGGGAATTCCAGCTGAGTCCACCACATAGGCTTGCCAAAGGATTCGCAAGTATTCCTGGTTGAGGTCAGCAGGTGTATCAGTGACACTAAGCAAGCCCCGAAATGCTGACTGTAGGGTGTGACCACGCCGTGTCCGCTGGCAGACGTCACGAACCCGGATTGATGCTATAACAGGCAACCCGCGGCAAGCCCGGGCAATCGCATGAATTTCCCAAAGTGGTGGTTTCCATGAAGATTTTCTAATGACATCCTGAAGACCTTCTTCCACAATACGGCAAACTGTATGGAAACCCTCATCATAGGCTATCTGGTTCACATCTTCCCATGGTATGACAAGGCCCCCATTTTGAGCTTCAAACCAAGCTGAAATGACTCCTTGCTCAGGACGACAGCTTACCAGCACAGCAAATGCCTGTGGGAGCTCCCGAAGACCAAGTACCATCCCCATCAAGGACTCAAGTGTCTCCTGATTGCCGCACTCATCAAGACCATCCAAAACGATGACGAAGCGATCTTTAGTATCCGAAGGGAATATATCCTTCAGGTTACGTATGGGCTCAATCACTAGAGTCTTCATTTGTTTTTCTAGTGGTAAATCCTGGAACAAGGCCAAACCCGGCCTCTGAAGGTGTCTGACGAGTGACAATCTGAAGTCCTCGTTGAAGGATGCAAGTTGGCAGGCAAGGGTAGAGGGGAATTGTTCAATAGAATCCAAGCCCGATCCCTTCCGGTTCTTGTCCCAGAAATATGACGCTGCCAGGACGCCCTCTTGCTCAAGAATGGATGCAATACTCATGGAGATCGCAGTTTTTCCCATCCCAGGAGATCCCCGTAGCCAAACGAATCGGTTCCCAGGCTCCTTCAGGTGTTTGAGTAGGGATTCTTGAATCTTAACCCGCGTGCCTGGTAGACACTCTGATTTGCTTTTCACATAAATGTGCTCAGCCGGAGCCCGCTTCAGTTTCAATATCTCGGCTAGGAACATGAGTGATTAGGAAGTCCGTAAGTATCTATGCAGACACGTACATTGAACTGATGCGTGCTCGGTACGAAGCAGAATTAAAATCGATATTCTTAGCTATGGCGGACATGATTATTCAGGATTCAATTATTCAAGCGTGCGAACCTGGAATCGACGAATAAAACCGTTTAGGCAATTCTTCATATTCGTTATTTGCTGTGTTATATCGGGCGCTTGAATGGTCCGAGTAACAACATGCTTTCTCTGGACTAGTTCAATATTCTCTACTTGTGTTTGCAACGTGCTACGAAGAGAATGAGTGAACGCAAACGAGAGAGAGACGAGATCCGTACACATGGAAGTCCTGCACTAGGGTCTGTAGCTCAGGAGGAGTTTCTCCAAGCTACAACAAGCGAAAGAAAATCGGTGCGTCCGATTTGAATGAATGGCTTGCCGGGTCATGTGATTAACCTGTTTAGGAAATCGGAGGCCGATTATCATTTATTTGTTGCCATTCTGGGACCATCACATGACCCTTTCATCCAAATTGGGTGCGCCGGTTGAATGATCTCGACATTACGGAACTTCCCGTGATGCTTCTTCGGCAAACCTGCACGCGATGGGCGCCTAATGGGAGCCAGGTCTCCAACTCCCGCGTGCGATGCCTCACAGGCGCAGTGCGGCGCGTCTCACATCAGTCTATAAAGCAGTTAACTATAGGAGTGTCCTCTGCCGTCTTTGTTTTTATCTCGTATTCTTTATTCACCAACCCTCCATGGAGTCATGCGAGCATTGCGGCTGACCAGCCACTCTCATACCAGCATTTTATCCCTGCGTCCATAATTGAGTCCAAGGAAAGCGGCCCTGCTACCAAACTAATTACACTCTCCATACCGAAAGCTTTAGCTCCTGAGGACTGTCATCCAATATATTCGGTCTACATCAAAGATGACGATCTTCAGATAGAACGCCCGTATACTCCATTGTTTGGGGTGGAAAAGAATGGGGAAATGGTTTTCTGGATCAAACGGTATGAAGGTGGAGAGGTCGGAAGGTGGTTACATTCCAAGAACGTTGGTGACACTGTCGAGATTCGCGGCCCAGTCCCCACCTTGAGTTTGGCCAAAGAAATGGAGAATGACTGGGATCAAATTATCATGGTGGGCAGTTAAGTGCCTTTTATCGCTGATAGTTGATGTCTGAGGCTGGCCATGCCGTGAATTTCATGCTACATAGATCTCTGGTGGAACCGGCATCACGCCGTTCTTCCAGCTGCTTCACCTCTTTCTGCAGGACGGTTCGGGTAAAGCGGTGACCAAGCCACACATCACCCTGCTTCATTCTTCCCCTAATCCCGAAGAACTCCCACCACCTATTATTCTCTCAACACTCCGATCTCTTGAACAGTCTCATCCTGGTGCTTTTACCCTCAAAGTCTTCGTCGACAGTCCACATCCATCCTCTTTTGCGTACAGTGATGCCTCATTCAAGCCTTTGCATATCGGCCGGATAACAAAGCGGGACATCAATGCTACATTGGAGGAACTTGGGCTTTGGGGCCGCTCATTGCCGTCTAAAAGCTCGCTCCTTTCTTGGCTAAACCCCTTCTCATACTTGTCGCGCCCCTCTCACACCACTTCATCCTCTCCACAGCTGCCCGAAAAAGTGCTTTTCCTAGTCTGTGGCCCAGAACCGTACGTGTAGTTACTTGCTGAGTTCGCATACGACATTCTTATGAACCTACCTCAGGATGATAAATGCTATCGCTGGTCCCCGTGCGCGAGACCTTACATCAGGCCCAGTACGGGGTGCATTAGGGGCGCTTGGATTCACTGCTGGCCAGGTTAGAAAGCTTTGAAGTCTGTATGTATCGATCGGGTGGTTGACATGTGTGGAAGACTCTTGATGTCAGCATATGTCCTCTAATATTCTTTCAGGTTTCCATGAAATTGAGTTTTGCTTCCTCAAAAATAGACAAACAGGATGGCGATTCCCGATTTCCGAAAGGCAGATGAACTTCCTGCATAGGCCGTGTATGGCTGTCACCGTTTCTTGGCTGGCGTGAAAAGCTCAGACTGAACTATCCATGACCCTCCCTCCGTTTTTTTAGGAGATGCTTCGCCACAGTTAGCGTACATTGAGTACGCCCCAATACGCATCTCTGACCAGTGACATCTACGCGACAACGAGAACACTAGGCGCTCGTTCCCAATCCGTAATTTGAAGAAACCATACGATTGACCTACTAACCAATTGAGGCCAACCTCGACCTCTTCCGGGATGCTGAGCCATGGAAATTATCCATGGCCCTACCATTGAAGGCAGATTGCAAGTTGGGCGCAGTGTGCGTAACCCCAAGTTCTTAAGAGCCAAAATGGCACTTGGACACCAGTTGCCAATACGCAGAGGTGACACCCTTGGCCATGGCGGCTTAGCATACTGTTGCAAATGCGACAGGTAAGTGGGACGCATCAAATTATCACGCTTCTCCGGCACCCTTGTCTCTACAGTCAACATTGAACAGAGTCGTCACTTGCACGAAGGGTAGATCCTATGCAAGTGCCCGGAGCGATCACAATGTTAAGATAAAGTTGCTCTAATAATACAAACTTGGAAGCCTTGATGGATGAAGTTGGGTGTGTTTATGAAAGTCCCAGCGGCAAAGAATATGGGAAGCTAGAATGTAAGTAATGGAAGACCGAGCAAAACACTGGCATAAGCGAAAAAGCGTTGAAACAGGATGCCCAATCACCGTCCAAACAAAAATCGCACATGGCGTCCCTGATTGCTGTCCTCGGCTGCAGAGTTCACGTCATCGCTCCCATCTGAAATCGGTTCGGGGAGAGACGTACGAGGGACAGTCGCTTCAACGTCTCGCTGGTGCTCGTGTGGTTGATAAGGGCTTAGACTATAAGCACCCATCCCAAACGCGTGCTCGAGGGTCCTCAATACTTGAGAATGTTGCACCAGATCCTCGGGCGTAGCTTCCCTCTCAACCATTGTGCTCCGTTGAACGTTCCACTCCCATCGCCTAACCCGCCAAAACCCGAGGAACGAAGTGATGAGAATGAACCATCCTAGCGTCATCATCATGAAGGAGAACCAGTCATTGGGAGTAAAAGAAATCTCCCCCCCATTCGGTTCGCTCAGATCATGAACTACTGACGTGATGTTTGCGCCGGGCGGAGGGATAGTGCTGGCGATGCTCAATAACCGGGGAAGGATACTCCGGACAGAGGATGAAGTCGTTTCACTTCCTGGGCCACCCCAAGAAGCAGTGATTGGGTCATCGCCAGCCACGGGGACGACAGCGTCTGAACTCCTCATATAAAAACCATACTGAATGAACGTGATACCAAGGCCGGCTCTACTCCCAAACTTGGCTGCATGTGTGGTGTGAAGGAGGAACGTGAGAAGGAAGCCAACGAATTGGAACGACACCGAGACAAGGAGATTCCACATGAAGGAGAACACACTCCCGACAGGAAGACCGTCAATGATCATATCACCGTCCATTGGGCCACTGGGTGCAAGGATAGTATTTTCCCAATACGGAGGAACTGCGTCCGCTTGCGCCGTCTGGTAAGACTAGGTAGCCGCCGGGGGGTCCGATTCAATGCACGGGGGTTATAGAATTAAAAAATAGCGGAATATACTCACCGGTGGCGCGTCTTTCCGAGCATCTTCAGGAGACCAGTGTGGATCATCAGCGGATACACCAAGTTCACCCTCATAGGGGGTGGGCCTCCAGGCTTAGCAACGACGTTGCCGAATACTCCATCATTGCCGAGGCCTCCACCATGAGTATCATGCGCATAGTGTGTAGGCAGGACGGCGCCGAGTGCCCTTCGGAATAAACCAGGCCGGCTAATCGTTGGACGAGCTGGAGGATCCGTCGGTAATAGGCCATTCGTGTTGCCGTACGAGTTTGGCAGCGCAAGCGCAGATGGCCGAGGTGGCGATCCGGGAGGTGGCATGTTGGCATAATCGTATTCGAAATTATAGCCTCCGGGAAGAGAACGAGTTGAAGAATGAAGCGAAGGCGTATGAAAAGGATCGTTTGAGCTCGTCTGTAGAGGGTGGGATTGAGAGTCTTGATGCTGATGCGGCTGAATAAGAGGTCTCGAGACATCGTTTACACCCTCGTCAGCCTCATCATCTGAGCCTTCAAAAGCGGCCTCCATCTCTCCTCTGATGGATGAGCTGGTATCTGAGTGTATCTAGACATTTAGTGAAACTGCGAACGAACGAAACGCAGGTTGAAGGCGGTGCCTGAGTCCGGCAATCCCCAGAAGCTGAACCTAAATACGGTAATGAGCATTGCGTAGTCTCAATCGCAGCCGTTTATGGTCAGATTGTTCAGGGGGCAGATGTAGAAATAAGGAGGGAAATGGTATTCAAGAGATCCAAAGGAAGGCAACAAACGAGATTGGACTGTCATTATACTAGTAAGTTAGTTCAAGAAAGGAAAGGGGTCTACAGATCATGAGGTGTTCACACAGAGGCTACGATCCTAGGAAGGCACGCTTCAGTATTTTTATCCAAAATCTATGGGCGAAGACGCTCACTCTTCAGCCTTGTTGAGGGCCGCAAGCATCTTGACAACCTCCTGTCGACGTTCCACGACTACACTACTCTCCTTCAACAGCTCGTTCAGAACATCCGGCTTATAAAGTTCCTGCAACAACTCCTTCTGAAGATTGTCCTTGGAATGATTGACAAGCGTCAGCGTGACAGATTTAGGTACCATATCGATCATTTCACGCTTGATGATGTTGAAGTACGAATGGATGAGCAATTCTTGAGAAAAGGGAAAAAGAAAAGTTAGGAGAGACTCGAGTGCTGAAAGCGCAAACGCCTATCATGAACAATCCTTACTGATGACTTCTGTTTCCATCTGTTCTCGCTCGTTCAATGCCATCTGAGGTCGGATCACTGGAGGAGGTTGATCCATGATAGCCGTTGCGGGGGAACCTGATGCCTAGCAGATGTTGAACAGCGAGTTGATACTTTTCAAATGTGCCCCAAACGAAATTACGAACCGGAGACTCAGGCCGTCCATTCACAAGAGCTCGCTTACTGGTCTTGCCCTTCGAAAAGAACGAACCGAAGAAACTCTGCTCCTCCTTTGGGAGATCGACATCTAAATCCTTGTTGTTGTTGATCGCTCCACGACTTTGTTTGGGATCGGGGGCTGGCGGCGGCGGCTTATTGGCGTTTATTCTCTCCATTACGATAGACATGGCCTGCCCGAAAAAAAAAAGAAGAAAATGCGCTCAGTATAAAGCCCCTCCACGTTCGGTAGCTGAGTCCTGACCTTATGACCATTTAAAAAATCGGGATGGGTTGTGTTAATGTAGCAAGCCTGCATTCTGGAGAAAATCTTTGTTGTTAGGTCGAGAACAGTCATCTTGTGGGACTGGCTGATACGCACGAGACTAGGTTGGATACTAGCTTGGTCGTCGGGTCCATTGCGCTCTTGAAAAAATTGATTACAACAATTTGCAGTCTCTTCTCCAGCTCCGGGTAGCGCTTCAGGACTTGCTGAAGAAATTCGATTTTAAAAAAAAAAAATCAGCTCACGCTTAAGAGCTTGCAACTAAAAAATTCGTACTTACTATGCGCGGTAAGATCTCTCCTAGGATTCGTGTTAGTTCATCATATACAAGCTGACAGCACTTCAAACTCGGTTCCTCAAGGCGCCGAATTTGCTGCTTGACAATCACTTCAAAGGCTGTAGTGCCTACGAAAAGGGCTGGAGTAGATCCCTTAAGATATACTTCATCATCAACAACGTTGCTCTCACCATTCCAGAAAACATCAAACTTACGGATGAATTGTAGAGAATAGTCCGAATGTCACCATCCTTCACTTGGTCAAATGGATCGAACGATTTGATGGCGTTGCTGTACAGTTCATGATACACAAAACTAATCCGCGCGCCCCCAGCAAGTTCGTTCTGAGCCAAGTCATCACGATTCCCATCGATGGCTCCACGGAACTCGGCTGAAAACTCCGTTATAGCAGAGAGGACTACACTGCCCTAGACATTCAAAAGTGCATTTAAAAAAAAACCGCTGTCAGAACCACCCAAAAAAAAAAACACGGGATGAATACCTACCGAACTGTCTGCGATAGGTCCCCCTAATGATTGCAACTCGGCAGAGAACTTCTTTTGCTGCTCGGATATGCGAACTTTGATATCGGGAAGGGTTGCTTTGATGTGATGCATCAGGATCTTGAGTATCACAACGGCCAAAATATAAAAACAAAAATAAAATAAAAATAAAAACGCCATAAAACCTTCGCTGGACGGCGAAGACAAAAAAGGAATGACGAACCAAGTTGAGCCTGCGTGCAAGGTATGGTGTTCCACAATACTGCGCTTTGCCGGAATAACTAGAATGTGATTCGAAAAATGCACGCTCCGCTTCGAGAGCTGCCGATATACTGCGCGAAGAATCAATATCGCGTTGACCTCGATTTACCTTGTGACGAAACAGGGTTTAAGTTAAGTTGGTGGTTTTTTTTTTTTCAGCACACGCACCACTGGACATATCCTAGCCGTAGAGGGATGATACGACCAGCTAAAATATCGATAACGTCCGTCCCTGCATCCCTGGATAAAGAGAAAAAAAAAGACGGAAGTTTTTGAGAATATGTAAATATAAAGATACAAGTCGACACACATTAGATCGATTTTTGTCAGAACACCAATGGTTCTTGTGCCTAGAAGAGAAAAAAAATCGAGATATGGGCACCAACCTGAGCGCCAATCGAGAAGCAATAATACTCACCTTCCGGATCCACCTCCCGAGCCATTTTCAATCCGTCGGAATTCGCCAGATCTGTATTTCCTCCAGTCACGGCGAGTATCACAGCATTTGGCTTGGAAATGTACTTCATGAGCATATCGCGGATTTGTTTCTCGATATCACGAGGTTGATCGCCAACAGGTACCTGGGGAGAGAGAGAGAGGAAGGGGAAGGGGGGGGGGGGTTACGAACGATCGGTTTGTTCTCCTACCAAGTAAGCAGATGTAATTGCACGCACTTTGGTTATTCCAGGGAGATCGACTAATGTAAGGGTTAGAACTAGGGAGGTTAATATCGAGTTAAGTTAGCTATGCCAATTGAACGAGGCGGAGGTGGTCACCGTTAGGGGAGAAAACGCGAAGGTTGATAGGTATGGGAGATATTCCTGAGCCGAAAAGATAAGTAATAAATATATGAAATGAGTCCTGGGGAGAGGAGACACACCAGCATTACGACCAGTTTTGGCCTCAGTGTCGCGAACGATTTCAGCCCGAATCTTCGAGAAGTCATGGAACTTCTCTCCCGGTAGGTGAAGGAACTCGCCCCACTCATCCTCATTCGTCTGATTAGCAGTAGGGGCTTTTGCTTTTTTTTTTTGTTTTTTTTTTTGTTTTTTTTTTTTGAAGAGATAGCAGTATGATCAGTCAACGCATGACCAATTCTGGGGAAAAACCAACGTACACGAGTCACCTTTCTTCGAAGTCGCGGGTCTATGGATAAGTTGCAAAACCTAATAAGGTATTGTGTGTGTTGAGAGAATTCCCTTATCTAGCCTCCACTTTGACACTCACTAACGGTCTCCTCGTGACGATGCCTGTCCCACGAGGAAGGAAATCACGCCCCACGAGGTTCTAGCGGATGGAGACGGGGACGGGGATTCATTTGTGAATTAACACAAGTGAAACGCGAAAAAGCAATACCTCCAACACGCTACTCTTTCCACTTGACTGACTTCCCAGAACGCATATCTGCGGTAAGTCGATTGCCGATGCACTAGCGCCCACGGCGGTGAAAACATCCTATAACGTTGTGGTTTGGCACGTTTAGTGAATGTGAAAGCAAAAGGACCTCTTGCAAAAGTTTACCTGTAATTTGTTGACGATCCCAACAATCTCTGTCCCTAACCCAGTAGCCATGTTGATTAGACGTAGAAGTGGAGGTCAGTAAGGCTACGCTTGCAAAGTTGAACGTGTGGCAGAGACGAATGACAGCTTCGCCCGGGAAAGTCCGGACGTATGTACTTCTTTTTTTTTTTTTTGGAGTAGCTTTTGCGATACGTTGTATTTGGGGGATCGACGAACCCCGGGAATAGATTAGGACTTGGACCGGGACTGCCACTGTGAGGAAATGCAATTACGCACGCTTGTGTGGGACTCCCGGGCCCCGATCACAGGCCACTAAAACCCCCCCCACTGCACTGCTGTTTAGCTTAGCCAGTTGTCCGGTTGCCTCTGTTCGTTCTGTAAGTTCCCGCTCCAGGTGTGTAGTACTAGATTTGTTGGTAGGGCCTTACGTCCATATTCCTTCCGGTTTGTTAGGACGATGTCCTGTCACTGGAGCTTGCGATCGGGGTTCATGACCCCCGGACGTCCGTACTTGCCCATAATATTGAGGCCGGATATCGTCTGTCGTGCGCCTTCAATTCTTGCAATGGATTTCAAGCGACCGCTCTATTCTTTTGATCTTTTGACACACCTGCACGCACTGGGGACGCACTGAAGTCCAAATTCACCACTTCCAAAAACCTCCGACGATCTGTGGGGGGGTGGGGGGGGTTCTACTTCCTTTTAATGGTTTTGCCTTGCTAGGTGGATGGGTGCTGTTGATTCTGCCATAATGTTTTGGGGGGGCTTCAGGCGACCCCCCCCCCCCCACACACACACACACACACAGATAATATGAAGGTTTGTTAATTAAAATATTATCCGCGCCATCGATCCCAGCTCGACTAGCGACGTTGCCCTCTCCTCTCCCGCTTCCCACAGCCAACTCACAGAATCGTTCCTCCGTGTCTAGAAGCAGTACTACTTGGATAGTTTCCTCCAATATTGCTTATTCTTTAGGAAATCGCATATGTAAGGTGGGCTATAAACACCATGGCAAAGGAAGGCATATGCGTTGTTCCACAGCATTATCACAATCCCCGGACCCCACAACGTATATATTAACTGGTACCTTCACCCGCGGATATAATCAATCTAGATCAGGATGAGACTATGAATCCCATTCCTTGGTCAGGGGGGTCCGATCATTAATGACGTGACATCGATTCTTTCCTGTGGGTCTTAATTCCACCATATATACAAACAGAACACATTGCGTACACACTTGTATATACATGCAAGGGAAAGTTTTCATCCCACTAATCTCTCGCTCAACTCGACGTACATTCGATCGCAACATGTGCAGCACGCCTGATCTGACAATGCATGCATGCATGCATGTTTTTTTTTTTCTCCAAGCTATATTTCTAGCTACATAATTACAACCACAACGTGAACAATGACTATATTCGAATCGACGATAGAACGAAGGGGGCTTTTCGATCGATCACATCCAAAAATATGAAAGGTTTTTCTTGAGAGGGGGAGGGGGAGGGAGAAGGGAGAACGTTGGGGGAACGTTGGAAGGAGGGTCAATTATAGGCCGGGTTCATTGCATTTGGCATCTGGAACACCGTCGAATCTTCAAAAACCAAATTTTTAGATTCCAGTTGGGGGGGTTAAACGTCTTCTGTGTCGTAAGCGAGCGTTTTTAGCTATAGCGAACCTGGAGTTCAGCGGATACCAATAATATCGCAGACACATCGATCGAACCTACAATTACATGTGTCGATCATTCGTGGGCCGGTGGCCAACAAGTTCGGTCAAGTTCGTAAGTATTTTTTTTTTTTTTTTTTGCGTCCAAGTACAATCAAACATCTTCAGTTTAGGGTTTCAGGGTATGGTCGACACGCCTCTTTGTTCGTTGGGTATCGTGCAGGGTAAATCGGCCCGGCGTAATATCGCGACGAACGTCGATCTTCCGCTCGTCCACACGCCTAACATGCGCCGAGTGAGTCCCACGATATTTTTTAGGCGAATGTCGATGATGAGCAGGAGCAGGAGCAGGACCATGAGCATGAGACCATGATGAAGGTGAGCTGGACGATTGCTTGGCTTCGACAGCGAGCTCGTATTCGGCGAGTACGTGGTTCGAGGAGGGACCTAGCGTTGGAATGGAGGATGCACGGAGAACGAGTGCGGAGGTCACAACAAGTACGATAGTGAAGAACAGCTTCATGGTGCCGGCCCCAGACTCAAAAAAAAAAAAACAATCACCAATGCTGCGCGCTGGGTAGTTAAAAAGGTTGAGGGTGCGGTCAGGGCTGTGTAAGTGAAGCGGTCATTGCTCTCTACTACAGAGAGGTGGTTTGTTACTGGGGCAGCGCTGCATTGATAACGGTCAACACTCTCTACAGTTTGCATGACCGCCAAGCATCAATCCAGGGTCATAATGAAAGAGACGCAACGTAGACGTTGCATGAAGGTTCTAAGTAATGAGCGGCCTTTTTATACGTAAACGTTGCGGATATTGGAAGATGTGTGTTTTTTACATCATGGTTTACGTGGCAAAAAAAGGCTGAGAGCTTGATAACCCGGCCTTCCTCGGTTTCGGGTGACGTAAACGAGTCCGATCCGAATACATTTCAGCGAATAAATGTGAGAAGAAAAAAATCAGAGCGTGATCAGCTTTGTGGGCAACTCCATCACCAGTACTACTATGCACTTGACCATCTTTCCCACGGAATCACTTAAATCTGGGTCGGGGAACGGAATTGCACGATTTCTGCAAGCCTTGGCTCCGTGGCGCAATTAAATGCTTGTCAACTCTGATCACTTGGTCTTTGATGCTTTTTACCCTACGCCCACGAAAATTACCCGCGACGTCCCCCCATCCTAGGTGTACCCGATTAATAGCTCAGCAACTGGCACGGAGTCGGAGCTGGACTAGGTTCGACAATGCAACTCTTTAGCAATTTAAAAAACGGCGCGACGGGATAACATGAACTCGATCTAGCTGTCGAACGATCACAACGTACGTCACCGTCATGTTTGCTAGCCTAGCTCGCCCTCACCTCACCTGAAGAAGCTGAAGGTTTTTTTTGGAAAAGTGATAGCAGTTGCACGGTCGATGAGCATGTGCATGGCTCCAAGTTCATGCAGCGAATGCCAGAACGTAAGAAATCGTTGGGGGTTGTCACCCTAGCTCACTGAACCGAACCTTCTTGGCCTGGACCGTCATGCATGGCGACATCTCATCTCCGACTCTCCATGCACTGTGCTCCTTCTGACCATTACGGCTTCAACACTGGTACAACTGCGCGCGGACGTCTTCCTTTCCTCCTTACCAGCTTTTTCGCCCGTTACAAACAATGCCTAACAATGAGCCCCCCACGATCAATCTCCTCTATAAGTGTAATAATGCCATACGATCGAATTTCATAGAACAAGGGGTTTTCAATTAGCACAATTTCTGGTCAAGTGCTACAACAACTCATTATCGCGTTCCCAAGATGGGTAGTACGCGCGCGCGCGTCCGCCCCTGCATCTGGCTATCCACGATCTATTGCATTGACTACCAGGGCATCGCATAGCCGGTCAGCGACACAACTCAACTGATAATACCCTGTTCTGCGGAACTTGTTTCTCAGCGTTGCTAGAATGAAGGCACTGCCATGAAAGGGCCCCGGGCTATCTCTGGCAAGATGTAGCCCCACCCGGCCCGGATTCCATCAGTACCCACGCCCTTCCGCCACCGCATCGTCATCGCCCCACTTGCTTACACACTTTGTTGCATCACCACTCCTGATGGAATCCCTGATACACACGTACTCCTTTCACCCACGTGCCACATCGACGCCATTACATACCTGCCCGGGCAACCCGTCCCTGACCCCACCAACCCTTATTGCAATGAACAACCCATATATAGAGGAATCTGTCTTCGTATGGATGCATGTCAGGGCTCCCCGTCCCCAAGTCCCTCCCCTCTATGAACCCATAGTTGTGACCATAGCTAGGGTTGGTTGAGAACCAGCAACTAGTTTAACTACATATATGCGCCCTTGATATATATATCACACAAACTCGTTCCATAACTTGATCATGCACCGCGTTGCCTTGAACGGAAATGCTTCTTATCCGAGCTGTTGCTTACTCCGTCCAACCCTATACACATTTCAAGCTCCGGAGCATCCGAACAACCCTGCGAGTTATGGGGTTATGTAAGTACAGATCGAATTCTCCTAGTAGCTATAGCTAGTCCGACTATCTTCGATCGTAAGGTTGACCCTGTGGCGTTTCCGTAACCTACCGATATGCCTCAGTGGCTTTGACCATAAATTGTTCTACCACAATGACTACCCATGTGAATAACCACCTATGCGAAAACCCTGGACGTTCAAAGAGGGATGTTGTGGCAGAGAATAATCCCCCCCCCCCCCCCCTTTCCTTACGCCGCATCGTAGTACATACGCCACCTCCCCTGCGAAGACTCGTGTTCGAACTCGTGACGAAAAAGGGTTTCAACATCCTCCAAAGCCACCCATCGGACGTTCTTGTTCTTGTTCTTGTTGTTTTTTCCCTTGTTGACGTATGCACCCCCCCCCCCCCTCCAGCCGTTTTTCGCCTCTGGCCGGATGTCATATATCATCTTTCATTTATAAGGGCAAAAAGGTATGGTATGGGCAGAGAGAGTTCTCAGCAGCCAGTTTGCATGGCGCCTCCTAGTAAGACAGGACTAGCCGCCGCCGCGGAAGGGGGGGGGGGGCACCCTCCTCTCGCCCTGGCTCACTCACTCACTCGCATCCTTCCCCCATTCTGTGTCTGTGTGCCCGAACACCAGGACAATGGGTGGTGGTGAAGGCGTGTGCTATTGACGACCGCTAGCTACAAAGTGGTGTAGAAATCTCTTTCCTCTCCAAAATCAGGGGGAGGGGGGGGGGGTGTACGTTGTACAACCAACGGCCGGTTAAAAACAAAACAAAAAAGAATCTTTCTTTCCCAGAAAACTTGGAAGAATTATGGGTTAGCGGAGTTTCCCGGACAATGGAGGCCCACGTAGCCAGATTCATTCGCATCAACAACATACGTGCCAAGTTTGTGATGCACCACCTTCATCACCCTTGGGGCATATGGGATGTTGAAAGAAGCTGTGTATGGAACCTTCTGATTTGGGTCATCTCCATGGCGTTTGGGTTCTTTTTGAGTTCCAGTGGTTGTGTGTGTGTGACATGCATGTCCTTGTTGGAAGCGGAAGCGATGTAAGGGGACAACTGAGTAAGAACGTCTTTGGGTTTTATCAACGGGGTGCTTCCGCACCCCCCCCTCCGTTATTTGGTAAAAAAAAGCCCTTCCAGCCGCCCTCTTGAAAAATTTGCTTTGTGTTCATAAGGTTAAATAAGGTTGGAAGGTATCCAGGATATAGAGATATTTTTAGCGGAAAAAGCTCTCAAATTTCTTGAACGTCTAACGGACGGACGGACGGGGGGGTCATTCTATCCTTTGAAATTGGACTCAATTTTTTTTTTCGGTAGAAATTTGGCGACATGCATGGAGGCATGAGTTGGCAGTGGTGCCTCGTAGCTTTTGCGTTTGCGGAATAATTCCCCTCTCCCCCCCCCTTGTCGTTGTTATACGGCCAGATCGGATCGGATTAGATATCGTTACTGTAATGTCAGAAAGTTATGAATATATATATATACCAATTCACCCTCCCCCCCCCCCTCCATGACCCGTGGTTGGCCTGAAAATTCGAACGAAATATAAAATCTCCAACATAAAAAGTCTTTTTAGCGCTCTTGGAAAACAATATTGACCAACGATCGGGAACCAGAAAAAAAAAAAAAAAAAAAACGATTGCTCCTCCCCAACGAACAAATGGTTTCTTCCACCGTCGACAACCTCATCATGACCATGTCCAATAATCAATAGCTCCCAACTTTCCTTCCCAACAACGTACTACCGTGCGGGCCTTGTTAAAATGTTTTTCTTATAGAATCGATATTCGACATGATGGGTTCGGTTCGATTCCAAATCAACCCCCCCCCCCCCCAAGTCTTATATATAGTGAATGGCATGCAGGAGGAACTTCCGCTTAACTTCGCTCCTCAGCTCTCTGAGAGAAAGCTGGGGGAAAAGTGCGGAGTCCGCAGGAAACGAGCAACCGGCAAGAAGAGAAGCGTCAGTAACCCCCGGCAATCAGTGCGAAATAGAATCCAAACCACCCCCCCCCAATACTAGTTCTTTTCCTATACTAAAATCACAATTAAGGCTTTCAAAGTTGCCATGAAAACCCAACAACTTAACCACAAAGGCCGGAGTCTCTCGCTCGGGGCCGAGTCGACGACGTCCTTGCCCAACCAGATTCTTGGAACGAGCTTTTGCGTCACAGACGAAGGCAGTAGAAATTGCACCACTAGCTCCCCACTCCCGCCCCCCCAAAGCGACGGCAGTCAAAGAATCCCTGAGCCTAAGTGTGGATGCCAGCCTATTGGGACCAGTGCCAGGCGGTAGGAAGGGCTGGATAGCATGTCAATATCTGTAAATGCTCGATGAGATAATAAGTAACTCAACTTGTAGCTCTTCATTACTGATAACGCCCGTTCAGGGTTATATGTAAACAAATCAGGGGTGCATGTTTACTGATGGAAATAGAGTTATCTCTACAGATATGAACGTAAAAGTTGCAATGGGATTCTGATTGCAGCGGCGCCTAGGATCCGAGTAAGGTTCCTTTCTAATTCCTGAATTAGTTCCAACCAAAATGAACTTCAATCCTATAACAATCCTTGTAACACCACTTGTTGTGATGGAACACGTATGCGGTTATTGTAGTGTTGTCTCCTAAACGCCACGACACCGATCGTTGGGACTGAGCACGATCTGGCATCAGTATTCGCAATGGAGAGGTTCCCCCTGAGACGGACTTGTGGTGAAAAACCAAGAAGTGACGAAACGAGACACTACGGCAATAGAAATGACCTCTTGTGGAAAGCAGATAACAAGAAGGATCCAGAAACGACCTTGGTAAGAAAAAAAAAAGGAGGCGACGAGCCAAGAGGGAGAAGGAGACGCACTAGCATTCGCTCGTTAGGAAAGCTCACTTGAACTATTTCTACCCCTTATCCAGCTCACAGTGAAAATCTAGAGGCCCCAGCCTGAGCAAGATCCCGCCTCGAGAGTCATTTCCTGTCGTCGGGGGGGACAGCAGCGAGGGAACTCGATATTGAGAGCGCGAGTAGTAGTAGAATCGACCCTCATGTCCCCTCGATCCCGCGGTTTTCCAAGTCCGATGCGCATCGCTCTTCTACCTGCAACTCCCCCTCCAAGCACTCGAATGGCAAAAAATTCGCTTACACCACCACACCACGTCCTTGATCGCAAGGCACCACTGGCTTGGTTCCATGTCCATCTCGGATAATTACTTTATCGGGGAAGTCCATCAGGCTAAACTCAATTTGTCTGTCCCAGGGGGACAGACCTACATGTTGCCCTGCTGTGAATGGATGATATTGCCTGTGATCGGCACCGCGAGCCCGAGAGGGATTCGAGAATCCCAGCCTTTTTGCTAATGGATATGCGTCAGGCTACATACCCGTGGTCTTTAGAGGATTTGCTGCGGTGATGAAGCCCGGCGCGGACCAGACACAGCCAAGTGAAGCCTGAATTCACGCAAATGATGCAGCTTCCATTGATGCAACACAGCGGCTTCTCAAGCCACCAAGGAGGTTGGGCTAATTAAACGCTCCATCTCCAATCACACACAATAGAACTCTGATCCAGAATAGTAACTGCGCCTTCGGGAGAACCAACCCCAAATACCAATAGCCTTGTAGGTTCTCGAAGCGACCTTGTCAGCACATTATACAAGAACGTCAAATTAACGAAGGGATAACAGGACAGAGGACGGAGGCCAGGAATCACAAAGGTCGACGGTCTCGAGCAGGGGCTCCGAATCACGAGTTTTCAAAGCAGTAAGTTTTGCCCTTGGCTTCACTTGATAATAGTAACTCTATTGGCAGGTAGAACAGCTCTTTTGGCGATAGAGCTCGTGTCTCAAGAGATGTGCCGAAGACAATGGTTCCAAGACAAGAGTCAGGGCAGGGATGATTGTAAGGCCACAGGATGAAGCCAAGGCAACTAGTTGAAACGACCAAGGCTATAGTATTAGCTTGTGCCACAATGAGATTGATGAGAGAAACCCAGTCAATTGGAATCTTAGCTATGAAGCGAAATAAAGTGTAATAGTTGGTGAGCCTCACAGGCGAGGTATCTACGGATTCTAGCTATTACTTGACCTTGACAGTCACAATGAGACGTCGGTTTCACGCTCTCCCTGCTACGAATGCGGGGGAAGAACTAAACGATTGAAACTCGTTCCACTAACGCGGTATCACATCCCAAGGATAGACATGATGCTTAGCTAGCCCCAGAATGACCGCGGGGGCCTCGGGTTACTGAACCAAACGTCAATATAACTTCGCCACAAGCGTGGCAACTTTGGTGGTCTCAGCGAAGTTCGCGCATCGTTAAGTCTCCCTCATTGTTTGCAAGCGACCGGCGGCAGTTGACCGCGATATTCCCAAGATCCCTAGTTATAATTCGTTGAAAATGTTCAGGAGACAGAACGTCAAATAGCATGGTACCTTGGGTATCTCCGCCCCAAACGCGAAGGGAAAGCGGGACCCATGCTGGCCTGGCACAATGGGAAGCAAACGATATCGCAGGTAAAACAATCGGAGCGTTGTACGGCCGGAGACTCTCCCTGGAAAAAATACTTCAGTTTTTCTTGACTGCATTTCGCTTCCCACTGTGCGCTGTGCGAGTCCACGTTGGCTGCCGTGAACGAGCGGCACAATCATACAACGCTCTCAACACACTGGCTCGCTCCCAGCGCGGCAACGAGCGAGATCGAGAGATTACGGAAAGTGTAAGTGTTCGGCCTGTGAAGATAAGCGATATCGTAATCGAAATATGAATTCAGCAGCTGCACTCCATCATGCATTTACAGCATCCATCTTATGATCCACCTCCTACCAACGCACACATTGTACGTTGGCCAGCTCAGTGACCCCAGCACCACTTAGCTTGTTCGACACACACAAGTCGTCTGATTCGCACATTGGTGAAGTTGCCGTAACAACCAGCCCGTCACATAAAATCATTTTATATTTCGGAACCATTGTTTTCCAACGTGAGCGACTGGCATCGAGTTCTGGAGCACCAAATTTTCAAATAGCTTTCGCATGCAAACACAGAATGCAACATAGGAATTCCATTTCAGAACGAGGAAGGAAAGAAAAAACTACATGTACACGCTCCGTCAACAAGCAGAATCCGCCATGACACCAGGACAGAATCGAAATATTGGGTGGGAGCAAGTCGTTGCGCGAAATTCCTCAAGACGCAAATATACAATGACAAGGACGACGAATACGACTCATGCGTTTAGCATTTGCATTGACCCGGGGCGCAGTGGCAGCTGCAGATCACAAAGACAGAAGGTGCTCATGAGTCTCGAGAGGCTTTATAGGTCAAACACATGGATAACGTACTGTTCCCCGCAGTGGCACTGGGGCTCGCCGCAGTGGGTGTTAACTGGGACTTCGGTGATCTGGTTATGCCGGACGCTGCATGAGTACCAAGCAAGAGGCAGGGAAACATTGGCGACATCACCGTGGAATACGTACAGTCTGCATTATGAAGTTCGAATGTGGATGTGTGCGACAGAGCTAGAGCTTTTCCGCTGGAGAAAGGGGAAGTGGGCCAGCTGGGAGAGGTATTTATGCACCTCTGCGTCCATTTCTGGCTGCTTAGGCATATGACTTGGCTCATTATCCAGAAGCAAATATATCATGCAACTGAATTAATCGGGATTTACCGTGGAGTGATTACTTTTATGCACGTCGCCCACCGGATGAAGAGCGAATACCAGTGTCATCGGTGTCACATATGTAGTGATGAGAACTATGCGACATTTGTCAACCACCCAAATTACCGCTAACTAAAGTGCATCAACTGCAACGGAGAACAACGAGTCGAAATTGCCGCAAAAGGGCACAAAAATCATCACTGATGATTCCTTCATGTTTGGGACAGCCGCACCGCCACCCGCTTGCGAGGCCGCGAGACAACATCCAAAAAGAACCCATGATTGCCAGAAGTTTTCACTCCAGAGGTGGAGCGGCTAATCGGTTCACTAAACGCGAGAGGCAGTGGCAAGAAGAAAGGAGCATAGCAAATCTACTTCAGTCGTCCTGCCTATCCAGGTTGTCGATTGATGCTTGGAATGTGAATATAAAAGTCCCCATATGTCAAGTATTAAGATGGCGTGCTATGGCGTGGGGTACGATGACTGGGACCATCTTGGCCTTAAGGGGAGAGCCTCGACATACCTCCGTAACAAGATGATATACCGATCGTGGCCATAGGCACGATGGTCGGCGGGGGTCCGATCTCCTTCCCCTGAGTCTTCGAATGGCACGTAGTGCAAACCCTATCATTAGAGAAGCCCCATGCGAAGCCCATCGCTAGTTTCCTGCAATGCAGACGACCAAATAGCTGAGCTTCATTTTGAGGAGACGATTTGGTAGTTGTTAGCATAGTCATTTAACTTGGTTGATAGCGAGAAGCGTTAGAAGGACATGCAATGACATGGAAGCCCCTAAAGAGATATAGAAACCATTTCAGAGGAAGTGCCCAAAGTAGCAGAGCGGTGCGTGCAATGGGGTCACTGGTTTTCTAGAGTGCCGTTGCATTTGCAGGCAGAACCGATGCTTTGATTCATCTCCTGAGCAATTTGCAACCACAGTTCATAGGATATGAGCCAACGTTCACCGGCTACATATGATTAATTAATTGCTGCCAGTCCGTCGTCCGAGATAACCAATAAATGCAGGACGCATGCAACGAGGCAGGGGCCTGTATGCATGGCTCGTAGGTCTGAAGAAGCAACAGGAGCCCTCCAGGACAGCCGACTGTTGAATATCTAATATAGAGGCTGGATCCTGCCTGGTGTTGGATAGACAAGTTGTGACATGTCTTCGCGGTCTATATTTACATGTGTTTGTGTCGATAATTCTATCGAGTCCCCCAACCCCTGGTGGTGCTTCAACACCGAGCAGGGATAAAAAGACAGTGGCTTGGCCAGCCCTACACCGAAGTGTCCGATGGTCATTCCATGGAGCCTATTTTAGCAAGTGGCCCGGTCCTTGGGAGTGCGATTCCAAGCTAGTAGCACCTTCAGCAGAGCAGCAGTATGGAGGGCGAAGGTATATGCACCCTTCTTCACTACGGGCCCAAGAAGCCACTTTATAGGCTTCTGAGGTGCCTTGTGCGGTACTCACAAGCTGTGACCGTGACTGCGACAGCTGAGATGTTGGCGGCGCGCGAAACGATGCGGTCCTCCTGCTGTCAAGCATCAGTATATCTTCGTAGTGATGACAGTAAGCGAGACTAGTGTTTCTCACCTAGGAGACCCCGCCACTGGAGTCTCGGAACCAGTCCCAATAGACGTTCTACGAGACATCAAGGACAGATATGTGCGATAATCTGATTGCATCAAGATTTGGTCAAGTTCTGCGCCACTTCAAGGTGCCTGACGAACCTGGAAGTTTTATTGGCGTCAATCATGACTTTCTTGAATTTCTCCTTATTTTTCCTAGTGGCTCGCACCTCAACGGCGTCAACGTACTTATCCACCCTCTCCGCTGCGGTCGCTCGATTGGCGGGGATAATATTTACCTGATAGTGGGGCAACTATACTTGAAGACTGCGATTTTTGGGACCACCAACATTCCAACGACGCGTAAGCCTCAGCGCACAACCCCTATACCGCGTGTCGTGCATCCCCTTCTTCCCCCAGCCTCTTAGTGCTTGTCCCATTCCTGATGTGGCACCGCTTAACGTTATTCCACAAAACTCGATAGTACCAAATAATAGTAGCCTCCATAATGGGTTTGTGACAAAGCATCCATGGGCATTATCTTACAATTGGTCCTCTTCCATGCACTTTGATAACCGACCGATGCTGACTTGCCGACGCATTGTACCGTTCATGTAACAGTCAAATTTAAGTCGATTCGGAGTACGGCATTTCGATGGAACATTACTCTTGACATGGGAGGGACGGCATGAATTATATTGACCCCTATGTAGTATTCTTCTGCAGACCAGCCATCAGTCAGCTTCAGTCCCTTGCCTAACGAGTGGCGTATCTTTGAAGCCCCTCTTGTAGGTGAATTTGCCACAAGGCTGGTCCAGCTTCTGCTGGGGGTTCATACTCGCATTCAGTCCTCGCGGCTCTCGGGAAAGCGGAGGTGCAGAAGCGCATCGCCATTGCCGTTTTTCCAATACTCCTGGCAAATTCCGTGATTCAGGAAACGCGTCGCACAGTCACTTGCCCAGTTCTATTACGTAGGGCATAAACCATCTGTATTTCCAAGCTTTCGACACCGGTTGCAAGTTGAAATGAGCCTTATTGTTTGTTTGTCAGCCTCTCCAGTGCTCAAGAACCAATTTCCCACGGTCAAATGGCTTTGTGAACCGTAGCCAAAGTCCCGAGAACGGAGATGGCGAGACTGGAGGCTCATTTCAACTTGTAGCTGGTGCCAAAAGCTTGGTATGGATTATATATGATATCTGAAGTAGCTCCCCATCTGCTTCATTGGGTTGTATTTTTGGAATTGTTGCGTTTGAGCCACTTTTTTAAATATCGATTTGCCCCCTATATAGCTACGTGACATACATGAATACATTTTCCCTACTTCGGCGCTTTCCAACGCATGTTGGCTCATGAACATTGGTCAAGGATTGGGCAAGCAACAGCGCAAACTCTGAGACGCAATTTTTGAATTCCGGGGTTTGCCAAACTTCCGAAAACAAAACCGCAACAAGTTATAGCCGCGTATGTTACCATGTAAACAACGGGCAGAAGGACCGAGCGAGGATCCGACTCGCCACTGAGTAGAGCATGAGCATTATGTAACTATGTAGAATGCTCGCTATAATCAGCGTTTTGTCGTTAGGGATACCAAGATTTTTGCGCTTTCACTAGCTCCACCCTCTCGTTCAAGTGCAAATGGGCCAATTTTCCTTCATTATCTTTGGGTTGTTTGCGGGATTCCTGCGGCTCGTCAGGTGTGACAACAATATAACAATATATGCAGACAATCAGGCACTGGACTATAGAAATCCTTATGCGAAAGAAACAGTGTCAGCCCACCCATCAACCTTCAATATCTCCATGCCAAGAAACTGACACTTCTGAATGATTCTATCTTACTTAGTTGGTACAACAAGTAGGTCGACTTTTGCATCTATATGGTGTGCATTTCTTGATAGGTCGAGATGCGTGCAGGGACTATGGTTGTCCCGTCAAAGAAACACACGGACAGAACGCCACGGTATCTTTCACATTCAACGGTATATGGAATTGCAGGTATCTTCCACGGCGCATCTAATGAACTCCCAAGGAACGTCTGTCCAAGCATGGCTGCTGAGCGCCAACACAACATCACGCGCCGACTTCTATATCGATGGCGTTTACAAAGACACAATGAACACTTGGAGCAACACTAGTTATACCGACTGCTTGTACAAATATTGGAACTCGCCCCTACTGCCGGCGGGCGAGCACACAATCACCACGTCCCACGGGAATTTGGACGGTCACCACCCGAATCTCGATTTTGTGAAGTACACGTGAGTTTGCCTTGGAATGTGCCAGAATCCACTATGTTGATGTGTGCGTGGAAGCTACGTCCCTAGCTCCACCGACAAAGGCCATAAGTTATCACTTGGAGCCAAAGCAGGCATCGTTTTGGGTGGAATAGCAGTGCTTTCCTTCGTGGGCTCCTTGTTCCGGTCTCGTCACTATATCGAGGAAACTACTACTTCTTACTTCTCGAGGACCCAGAGGCGTGTAGTGTAAGTATGTGTGGTTGACATGTGCGCCAGTGCATCAGTTTCTATGGGCCTATGCGTATATCGGGACAAGATGACACAGTGCATGCGTGGCTGGATAAGTTTTTCACCAGAGAGGTATCCAGCATGTGGAACGCTAGAAACAACCGGATGGTTGATATGAATATTATGTATGTTAATGTAAAGCTGTCCACCTGAGAAGGGTCCAGAAGGGCAGAGAAGATCTTAACGCAGCAAAGATTTGACAGAGCGCAAGTAGCACTAGCAAAGCCCCCAAGCTGGTTCTGAGCCATGGAGAATCCACACGATCAGGTCATGCGGTTTTCCACTAGTAAGTTTTGCTCGTAATTGGTGTCCGCTGGATTCAGGCACCTGGGGAGACACGATTGGGACGTCTGGAGCAAAAACACCAGAATAGCCGTATTGAAGCTCCCTCGCGGTGGGGGCTAGGATGCGCTGAATATGAATATCCATCGGGATCGACATTCAATTTTCACTCTTGTAGCGACAGGAAAGATCAAGGGGAAGAAAAGACACTGAGAGTGCGCCACTTCGCCAGCGGTGGCATATTTTGGAGCGGATCGACCGGGAGTCGACAGGAATTCGGTGGAATAATGGAGTCTTCTCCCGGAAGAAGTACATGTAAAGCGACCTAACCCTCTGTACCCGAGTAGCCATTCTCGGGTTGTCACTCATTCGTTTTGTCTCAATTCTCCGCATTGTCAGGACTTAGAACACTGAACCATGAGTCTGCAACCACTTCAAAAGATAGCACAGAGAAGGTAGTAGCAGAGTATTTGGTGCGGAACAAAGCTTTAGGGATTGAAGTCACTGTTAGTCAAAAGCAGATTATTACATAAGATCCTGATCATGCACTCACGAACAACACACGCGGGTCCGCGGGGCTGGACGGATCCTGTGGTTTACAGCAACATAATTGTACAAGCAAGGAACGAAAGGCCAGTAATACATTTCAGTCACAATACGGCGAGCAAGTTACCGCCAGGAATGTGAGAGAGCACCCCTGACGGCTTAGGATATATGCAATTGTCCTTTGCGGAGTGGAAACTGTAAAGAGGAATATCGGTTAGGTTCTAAAGCCCAAATACGTCGAAGAGTGGGCACGAAGCAACCCACGTGTCCTTGAAGTGGCAGTACTACTAGTTCTAGTGGTCCAAGTTGAACCAACGACAATATATTCACCGATCGCGGCAAGTGGGTCGTCGGCAAAAGTAGGTTACTCCCGGATTGTGTGATGACTGGCGTAAGAACTGTTGACACTATCAGGCTAAGCCACAGCGCAACAACGGCGATGTTGGCGCGCCTCGTCGTGCACCCTCCCTTCATCAGCCTCTGAATGCATCCCTTGGCATTCCTGATGTGGCACTGCCTTGATATTGTTCCATAAGATAAGCAGGGTCAAATTCATATGTGGCTTAACGACAAGCTAGGCATTCATGAGTAGCCGGCATTACTTATCTTACCCCCACCATGGTTGGTCTTCCCCTACACTTTGATGACCGATGCTGACTTGCCGACGCCTTGTACCGTTCATATAACCGTTAAATTAAAGTTCGACTCAGGGGTTCAGCTCAATTCAAAGGCAGAACCTTTCCAACATGACATGACATTACTTACATAATTACACCGCATTCTTGACGTGCGCGCGCAACGTGGACAAGCGTGAATGAACTATATTGACCCCTAATACAGTGTCCCCGCAGCAGTGATAATAGTATCATGAAAATATCGGTTCAACGTAAGAGGATCGACTGCCGCTCATGTCCCTGTGCAGGGGGTTGCGCTAGCAAATGTGTCTCAAGTGTCTGATGCGGCTTCCGCTCGGGGGGCATTCGGCTCGTGACTGTCGAGCAAACGTATGGAGCTCGGACCGGGGTATGCAGGGATCTCTAGGTCCCCAGGGAGCCCGGGGGTGTGCACTCGCTATTGATTAGAACACGGGCACCAAGTTAATTCTCAGCCAGGAATCAATATAGCTAGCAGATCTCTTTCAAAGTTCCATGAACAACAACAGACTGGAGGGACGAGTCCTATATTTCACAGCGAACACGATTGTACAAGCAAGGAACAAGGGCTAGTAATACATCTCAGTGACAGCGCAAGCGAGGCGCCACCAGGAACCATGAGAGAGACAGCGCCCCCCACTGAGGGTGTAGGTGATCCTCTAGCAGGTGCAGTTGTCCTTCGCGCAGTGGCAGCTATAGAAGGGTATCAGTTGGGTAAATACGCTGGGGAGTGAGCCCGAAACAACTGACTCGTCCTTGCAGTGGCAGTGGTCCTGGCCGCAGTGAGCGTTAACTGGGAATTCAGTAGTCTGTGGCCACCGATGGCGATAAGTGGGCCATCGTACGAGACGGTGGATAAGTTGGTTTACTCACAGACTGCATGATGATTTGTGATGTGGTGAGAACTTGTTGTGGTTATTTCGCGAGGTGTAGAGATACTCTCTGAGGAAAGAACGAAACCCGATGCACCAGGCCAATATTTATACCTTTTGCCCCCCCATCTTACCACGATCACCTGGCTGGTCACGCCAATAACGGTCGCATGATGGACATGCCTTTATCGCCCATGGATCCGGATCCGTATCTTAGATCTGTACTCTGCCACGCTCTTATCTCAATGGTGGATCAAATGTGGGGCAATTATATAATAGGTTGGCGTCCGAAGAACTGCGTATCGAAAGAGTAACTGAGAACCGGTGAACCCAAACGATATTCCCCGAGATATATATCCGCCTAGAGTCATCCTGGCTGACAAGAAGACAAAAACCGTCGATTGTATCTGAATAGCAGTAACCTTGCAGGCACGGTTTGAAGACAGAAGCCCTGGTTGCACCAGCTGGAAAGCAAAAGATAGTCACTAGAACGTGTGGGTTAGGAATGTGGGACCTTCGAAATTGAACAATGAGAGATATTGGTAGCGAATATTCGCAAGAAGCGCGAAGTAACCATGGAATATTATGTGGTCGCCGCATTCGATAACACCCTCCAGGATTTCTTCGGATCACAGATAGAGCGACCCAGTATTAGTAATACTAATGGTATTACCCCCAAAATGGTCCTGGTCTTTTGTTCGAGCAAGTTCAGCGAAGGCTCCAGCCTTGATGGAAGAACCCATTCTCGGATCTAGTGTCCGGCCGGAAATCGACAGTCGTCGAATGGATCGACAACACAATCGTAAACGCATTTATCGGCCAACAGTATAGTGGCCGTAAAAGAAAATACGATGCTGTGTTCATATCATCGATATCCTGCAGTGCAACTGGCTAGGACGGCAATGGCGATTGGGACGATCACCGGAAACGAGCGTTATAGCTTTGCTCAGAGTACTCGTGTGGGGCCAATCGCCTTTCATTCCACGAAAAAAGGGGCTCCCTCATGGGATCCTGTAGTGCATTTGAGTCGATTACTGTAAGGAGGCCGCGTGGGCAGAGAAGGCAGTTGTTAGGGTAGCAACGTTTTAAACGAAACGTGTATTTACCATCATTTATATCTCAACCCACGATGCTGAACCAGTTCCACGGCGGGAGGAAGGCCAACGCTGAGGGAAAGATGAAAGGAAACATTGTGGGGAAACTTGGTTTTTATGCTTGTTCGACGTCTTGTGCGGTACACGTCTTTGGAGTTGTGCGTTGCTGTGACCGGGGTTGTGACCGTGACGCTCAATTCAAACGGGTACCCGTTGACTCCTAGCCTCCTATACTAAAGGTCCTACCTTCTTGTACCGTAAAGGGTTCTCTCTCATTCGGTCTCTCAAGCCCAGCTTCTTGCGTCCTGACCGAACGGAACATCAGACCTATTCATTCCTACGGTATGGGTGGCAGAGAGAAGCGAACGTGTCTCCGTGTCTTAGCTTTGAAAGAAACGACGCCGCAATAGCCCCGACCAATCCCAGTACAGTACGAACGTTCTATTGGCAAAACGAGATGAGGATAACCAATTGTGCTCCATTCTTGTGAACCACTTCATTTCAATAAAGTTTTCAGAAACGAGGGGCCACCTGTCACCTGAAATTATTTTGGCAAACACACCTACTTGAACTGCGGCTGTTGTTGTTGTTGTTGTTGTTCAATGTTCGTTCTTCTTCCTTCATTTAGATGCCTAGAAAGCGGCTTCAGAGCACCGATGAGCTAGATTCACCGCGCAAAACCAACGCATCTGCGTAGTGAAGAAATTCCTTGATTCGGACGTGTATGAGTGTTGGGGTCGGGAGGTTGCGCTTTCTATCGGTTTCCGTGAATCGAGCTGGATGAGAAGAGGCACTATATCCGGTAGTGGGACTAAAGTCGCCAGGGGGTGGAACGAGCCCCGAACTTGCCTCAGATGCTGTGGACGTGCGAGGCTCCGGCAGGAGTTTGAAGAGATGCTGTCAGATCCACGTCAAGTTGAAAATCCCTCCTGATGCAAATTCCGAAGGTAGATATGTCCATCTCGAAGGTGGAATTAGACATCCAGGTGGTAGCGAGGGAGCGCGTGGGTGAATCAGAAAGGAGGTCAAGTAAGTTTCATCTTTGCCTGAATCAGTGGCTGCAAGTTAATACTGCGTTCCCCACCGAATAGTTCCCAGACTAAGCCCAAGGATCTACAAGCTCTCAAGGCTGACGCGACGACGAAGCAGGAGGCACTTGAGCGACTTTTCGAAACACTCCAGCAGCAAGTTAAGGATAGCGAGGCAAAGGTGAAAGGTAAAAAATTTTTGGGGGTTGCTCGCTTTGCAGTATCAGCTTGACAACAGAACTCAGGTTGCCGTGGAACAGATTGAAAAGCTCCAGCTGGCAGGCCTGCTAAAGCAAACCAGGCTGCAGTACGTCACAGAATGCCATCCTTGACAGCCTAAACAGGCTGTGCGCTGCAGGGAGATTTCAAAGCTTTCGGCTCAACATCACTCTGGTGGCGGGCTGAGCCTAAAGTTTTTATTTTTTATTTTTATTTATTTTGCACTGCACACAATCCTTGTCAAGGCGTGTATCTACATGGAGATCTTTTGTCAAGATTACATATCTAGGATAATGACCTCGAGCAGTTCATGAACAAGGACCATGCTGACCCCGGTTCGGGTGTCCTTGGGCACAACATCCTTGCCGTGTCAGGGTACGTGTCTACATGGAAATCTTTGTTAAGATTACATATCTAGGATCAGATTCGTAGTCGTTTTCACTCCAGTCAACTGTGAAACCCCCTATTGTGACTAGGAGGTCCTTGGCCAGTGGTTTGAGGTGTGTTTTGTCACACAATACAGAAAAACATGAGCAGCAGTGCCATTGGGACCTGATGACAAGCGCTGTTAATTTCCTAACTTGTCAACAACCTGAAATGTTCCCTGCCCAATTCATTCCCACGGTGCGCCGATGGGGGTCTGGTTCAGTCCAGACAACTCAAGAAACGCCAGCATAAGAGTCAACCCGGTGGCGTTTCCCACGGCGTGGGCAGAAGAGAAGCGAACGTGCCTGGCTTTGAAAGAAAAGACGCCGTAATATCTCGACGAATCGCAGTACGGACGCATTATATTGGCAAAATCAGGTGAGAACCAATTGTTCTCCATTCTCGCGAACCACTTCATTTCAAAGCACTTCGTTGTCCCTCCTGTCACCGTGAAATTATCTTGGCAAACACACTCACTCGAACTGCTGTTGCTGTTGTTGCTGTTATCCTTCTTCGTTCTTCGTTGTTCTTCCTTCATTTAGATGCCTAGAAAGCGGCCTCAGAACACCGATGAGATAGATTCACCAGCTGATCTCGTGCAAAACCAACGCATTTGCGTAGTGAAGAAATTCCTTGGTTCGAACCTATACGAATGTTGGGATGGAGAGGCTACGCTTTCTATCGAGTTGCCACCACGTTTTCGCAAATCGATCTGGATGAGAAGAGGTAAAAAAATAAAACATCAGTGCTTCGAATCTGTCAATCTCTCCATACCAATTGTTTCATGCACTCTTTCCAATGCCCATTTGGCTAGGGAGTTCTGTTGTAGTGACTTTGTTTGAAACTACCGAGGAGACATCGTCGTCCAAGCTAGACGGAGAAATAGCTGTCGTTTTACAACCAGATCAGATAAAATCCTGGAAGAAACGAGGGCTTTGGTTCGTTATCCTTATCCCTTACTTCTCATCTCGCTTGTGATGATTTACCGTTTTACGAAGGCCCGCTTGTCTAGACCCAAAGGTGGAGGGGCCTGAGGATGAACTTGATAACAAGTCTGAAGCCAGCGAAGGCGCGACGCTACCAGATCCTGAGATCGATGAAGGGTCATTATCATAGCGCAAAAGGGGAGAAATTAACAGAAGGCCCGTTTGCACAACGGACGTGGCCACTGGTGATTACATGTGGATCTAAAACGAATTCCATTCTTGTATTGTGCTAGGTCATCAATCAATCGGTAATGACTTATCCAGATTGGCGAAGCCCTCGAAAAATGCGCCAAACAGAGTGATGTAAGAATCAACATCTGCTGACCCTGCCGTTTCTCGAATAGAATGCATTGAAAGCATAGGCGTCCCTACGTCCACCACCCTAACTCCAATTTTTGACAATGCTGGCCCTATGAACGCGCGGAAAGCAATAAGAAGTCAGCGATTACGGGTCTAAGGCGGGAAAACCCACCAATGGTGCTACCGCATGACATGTCGTTTCTGACTTCAAATTCCTGCACGTTTCCTCCACGCTTTTCAATTAGTTGGCGAACGAGAAAAGTTCCGATCGCGTCAGTCGAGTAACGCTGATCTGCGTTAGTCTTGATCACAACGCCACCATTTAATTTTGGTCTATGATTCTCCTCGTGTTTGGATGAATGATTGGGATGCACAGCGTGACCCATGTCAGCCGAAATGAGGAGAGAATGAGCGACTGAGGCAGGACGATATATGATTAGAGATGATGTTTAATTGATTGGGAGCAAGTTGCATTCTCTTACTTGAGCTGGATAGCAAAGATGGTGTTGGTGATAGACGACTGAGAAGTTGGGGTACGAGGGACCCCTGTGCCCCGGATGCGGATACCGAACCGACCTGTGGAGGGCAGGTGAGCCATGTGCTGCGCTTGTGAACAGTGAGCGCACACTTACTTCCTCGTGATTAAAGCATGCAATCACTTATGGTGGTCCTTAGGAAGCGCTCACATCTACCAGAATCGTTGACACTCACCATTAACCTGACCCGCTCGCGAGGACTCCACACGAGCAAAGTTCTCGCTGGAGACGCTTTCGCAAATGGCTTCTACCGCGCAAAATCTTACATTTACATGCGTGAGAGGTGGAAATATTGGCTGAAATGAGGGCTCACGTTGACATGAGATTGTCCAAGCGGGGAGAGAAAATAAATTCGTCGTTCAGTCCCCCGAGAGTGCTGGGCTGAGTGTCGTATAGAGACCTGCGCAAACAACCATGAGAAGAAGCTGAGATCTGACAATCATTTCAATACTCGCAGTTCAAAGTCATGTATGTGATCTTCTGACACATTAAGCTCTTTCGCCAGAAGCGAAATAAGCTCAGGATGATGGTTGTTGGATATACTACTTCCTTTCGGGAGTGAAGAGTGCTTCTTGGGCGCATTAAGCTGCTCATTGATGAGAGATAGTATTGGAACAAATTCAGTCTCCTTGTTGAATTGTAGGGAAGTATTGACACTTCGATCGAGATGGATTGCAAGCGTGGGGATGCGAAGAATGGGTCGATCGACTTTGACGAGACGGGAAGAAAATCCCCCATCATCGTCTGTCGTTATGACTCTGCCAGCAATGGACAGATCCCTGTCGAACCACGTGTGCCAGATGCCACCTCCATAGAGTTCGCACGCGACTTGGAGGTATCCAACATTTGACTTCTTGGAAACTGGACGGATCTAGGAGTAACGTCGAATTAAGGTGGACTTAACGAAAGAAGGGGTGGGGGACGCACGCGAAGGTTTGGAGAATCAGTGTGTGTACCAACAATCGAAACTCCCGATCCAGGTTTGAAACCGATTGGAACAGTAAGCGCGATCAAGGAGCTCTGGTTTCTTTTCAGAAAAATCCACCGAACCGATTAAAACAAGTCATAAATCCTAGAAAGCCAGTAACCTACCTGGTGTAATAGAACTTTCCTCCTCCTTTCAACGCGGAATCCCAGTTTGCATCGCTCTCGTGCAATTTGACAAAACCAGATTTCTCTAACCTACTGGCCGCATTTCTTACAGCATGGAAAGGCGTCGGTGACGCGTTCACGAAGGTTATGAACCTCTGGGCTGCGCCAGTGTTAGGGGCCATCGCCACCATCGACAGACGAGATCAAATTGAAATCTGAAAAATGGGTCAATTAAATTGAGAGCTTAAATGAATTAATTTACCTCACGTGATCCGGGCCACAGAGCATCTTGGTTTTTGAGCATTCTCTGTAGGTTATGCCTAGATCGTACCTGAGGCATGGAGAAACAAAGGTGATCATTGTACGGATCCTTCTGAGTGACGACAGTTAATCCCCTTGACATCTCGCAGGCATTTGGTCTTGTGTGCAGCCCCAGCTCTAATGCGATCTATGATGGTAAATTGGCTTATGCGCCAGCACTTGAAGATGTCCTTGTTTGGGATGTGAAGAAGGGTCAAATGGTACGCAGCCTTTTTTTTTTATTTATCGTCCATTTTCAACAATTCTACTTTAGATTGGGATGTGGCACGAGACGGGTCACCGCTCTGAAGTTACCTGTATGCTTCAGTCACCCAGGAAAAACGTCTTTGCGATAGGCTATGCTGACGGTTCGATCCGCCTATGGGACTCAAGTACTTCAACCGTTATTGTGACCCTGAACGGTCACAAGAGGTCCATCACTGCCCTCGCATTCGATGGGACTGGTGCCAGACTCGCATCTGGTTCTCAGGACACAGATCTCATCATTTGGGATGTTCTTGCTGAGACTGGGCTCTACCGGTACGAGTGATACGTGCCAAATGTTTGAGATTTACTACTAAATCATCGTCATTCTTTGATCAGTTTACGGGGTCATCGCGACCAAATCACTGCCATCAAGTTCCTCGACCTCACATCCAACGCAGCATCAACATCGACCCTCTCATCTTCTGGATACGTATTAACGTCATCTAAAGATACCTACGTAAAATTGTGGGACCTGTCGACTCAGCATTGCATACAAACTGTTGTGGGTCATCGTTCCGAGGTTTGGTCCCTTGCCTTAGACGCTGGGAACGATCTTATCCTTACTGGTGGAGGTGACGGGGAGCTTAAGGCATGGCGCCTGGACCATGAGGCTCTTCAGGCTGGGTTAAAGGCGTCAGAGACTGGCGAGGTTGGTCCAATGGTTTATTCGGCATACAGAACGGGTCGATTCAGCTAATTTTAATATTTAGTTACCAAAAATGATAACTCCCATATCAACCCTTCCTTTGGCTGCACGTCATCGCGTCTCGCAAATTGTCTTCCATCCTACACAGCCGCTTTTGGCTGTCCAGTCTCATGAACGATCTGTACAAATCTTTCACATACTCGGCGAGGAAGAAGCACAAAAGAAGCAAGATAAACGCAAAAAGGCGAAGCGGAAAGGCAAAAAGGATGATTCCAATGAGATGGAGGTTGATGAGGAATCGACCACCGTTTCACTCAAGGACCTTTTTACGCCTTATTTGGTCGTTAAATCAGATGCGAAAATCCGATCTCTTTGTTTCCCGGACACCGCGAGTGCTAAAAGCGAAGTTCAGGTGTGCATCAATCTACCGGAAGTTATCTCCGTCTCATCGCCTGTCCCTATCCAGCTGTTCATTGCTCTCACTTCAAATACTCTGCAAGTGTTTGATATACCGTCCCCGAAGTCCACAAGGCAGCGAAATACACGCCCAGAAGCAACACGGACATTTTCGTTGGATTTGCCAGGCCACCGGACAGATATTCGATCACTCTCCCTAAGCTCCGATGATCAGGTATTGGCTTCAGCCTCCGATGGTGCGTATTTCTGTTTAAAAACAATCCTGTTCCTGAGGAAGATAAAAGGTCTGCTGAAAATCTGGAATTTGCGGACGACGGCTTGCATCAGAACAATGGAATGCGGATATGCAGTATGCAGTGCTTTCCTGCCAGGAAATAGACAGGTAAGGTCAAATATAGCATGATTTATGATCACTGACGTCGTTATCTCAGATAGTTGTCGGCACTAAATCTGGAGAGCTTCAAATCTTTGATGTAGCCAGCTCCACCATGATCGCATCTATCAAGGCACATGAAGGCACCGTGTTTTCGATGCATGTTCGACCTGACGAACAGGCATTAGTCACTGGCAGCGCTGACAAAGACGTCAAGTTCTGGGAATTTGAGCCTCTGGAAGGAGTGAGTGGCCCATTACACCAATTGCGTACAAAATCTAACCTCTTTCCTGGACATAATTTGCTGTTTAGACAAATCAACTCTCCCTCGTTCATGTCAAGACCTTGAAAATGACTGATGACGTGTTGGCCGTAAAATACAGCCCTGATGGAAGATTGCTGGCGGTTGCGTTGTTAGACTCTACTGTGAAGGTATTCTACCAGGACACGCTCAAGTTCTTCCTGTCCCTCTATGGGCATAAGGTCGGTCAGATTCTCGTATCAGGCGGCTCACCTCTCCCGCTCATATCATTGTGCAGCTCCCTGTCCTATCGTTAGACATCTCAACAGATTCTAAACTCATCGTCACATGTTCCGCCGACAAAAACGTCAAAATTTGGGGTCTCGACTTCGGTGATTGTCACAAGAGTATTTTTGCACACCAGGACAGTATCATGCAAGTTGCATTTGAACGCGATATAGACTGGTCGAACGGTGATAAAGGGCACAGTCACTATTTCTGGACTGTGAGTAAGGACAAGATGGTCAAGTACTGGGATGGTGATAAGGTATCTTCTTCACTCGAAGCACTGAAATTGCTCCGAACATAACTGATAAATGACCTTCCAGTTTGAGAACATACAAAAATTCAACGGTCATCATGGCGAAATTTGGGCATTGGTAGTTAGCGGTGCGGGCAAGTTCGTTGTGACTGGTTCGCATGACAAGTCCATCCGAGTATGGGAGAAGACAGATGATCTCGTAAGGATTCATTTTTGTTCTTGGCCACGCACCAACCCAGTCCTCTTAGTTGTTCCTTGAAGAAGAACGTGAAAAAGAACTCGAGGCACTTTATGAGGGTAACATGGTGGATGCCATGAATCGAACAGATGCACCCATTGGTAGCGGTGTAGAAGGCGCTCCACAACAGCTAACAGCAGAGGCAGGGGCAGTCTCGAAGCAAACCCTGGATACTCTTATGGCAGGGGAGCGCATCGTAGAGGCCTTAGAGGTTGCTGACACCGAACGTCATGCGTTTGCCGAATACGAAGAGAAGAAGGCATCAATGATGGACCCAGGCTCGTTACCTCCTCCGGCAAAACATCCTGTCTTGGCTGCATTGAGCCAGTCTCCTGAACAACATGTCTTCGGCACGCTGGAGAAGATTCCCAGTGCAACGTTATTTGATGCTTTGCTTGTTTTGCCCTTCACGAAAGTCATCTCGCTTTTCGAATATTTGAATGAGGCGGCTCTTCGGGTAGGTCCTATCCCCTGCGCTATCGGAAACATTGTGCCATGATTCTCATATCTCATTTTATCCATGTCTACCAGAATTGGAACATAGTTCTTGTATCAAGGATCATGTTTTTTCTTCTCAAGACGCACCATCATCAAGTTGTTGCAACTAATGCCATGCGCGTTACTCTGGTCCAGTTACGCAAGCGGCTCCGCAGTGCTATACAGAGTCAAAAAACTCAGATCGGATACAACTTGGCGGGCCTCCAGTATCTCAGACGGAATCATGAAGCAAAAGTGACAGCGGAGTTCTGGGAAGCTGGCATCGATGACGAGGAAGAGATTCGGAAAAAGCTCGCTTCGATGGAGAGGAAACGCAAGCGAATCAATGTGAGGGCGTGATTGATCACCATCGTACCCGCAAACGACTATCTGTTCCCTATTGGCATTATTAGATTGCTTTGAGGATAATACATAGTCAAAGACAACTGCATGGATTAATCACAAATTTGCTTTTGAGACAGACAGCGTTACGAATACACATGCTGTTGAAAGCAGAGTCCGAGTGCTGTTGAGAGCAAAGCATTGCAACGGAAACAAAAGATGGAGGTAGGGGCTAGCGCCTTTCAACGTTTCGGCCTATTGTTACATCAACAGACGGGTAAGAATATTGCTTTTGGTCTGCGACAATTGTTCGTGAAGGTTCTTGGCTTCCTCGGGACTGACGTCCGAAATATCCGCCATCACATACGCGACGTCGCCCTTTGAATCCGAAAATTGTTTCTCGACGTTATGATTGCTGAGAATTTCGTTCACTTTCCTCAGCACGCCAGGTTCGTTCTTATGTGAATGGCATACTCGAATGATCGATGGCTGATCATCCGAAATGGCCCGTAAATCAACTTCAGGGAAGTTCACCGCCCCAGGCGTTGTACCATACAGGAGATATCGCGAGAGGGAGGTGGATACCTCGAGGCCGATCATACGCTGGGCCTCTTCGGTTGATCCACCGATGTGAGGAGTGAGGATTACATTCGGGAGTGAGCGGAGGGTAGAAGCCCAAGCGTTCAGCTGGTCATTGAATACTCCTGTGCCGTTGGCGCCGGGCTCCGCGGGAAAGACGTCAATTGCACAGCCCGCAATGTGACCCTGCTTCAGAGCCGAGATAACAGCCGGTATATCGATCACACGACCACGGGCGTTATTGATGAGATAAGCGCCACGTTTCATATGGGCGAGTTGTTTGACGCCAATGAGATTGGTGGTCTCGGGTGACTCGGGTACGTGAAGGGTAACGAAGTCCGATTGCCCAAGTAGCTCTTCAAGGGTATCGAGTTGAGTAGCCGTTCCAAGAGGCATGATGTATAGTACGTCGTAATAAACCACTCGCATTCCGAACGCCTCCGCGAGAACAGAAAGCTGAGTTCCAATGTGGCCATAGCCAATGATACCCAGCGTTTTCCCTCGAAGCTCCCAACAGCCTTTGGAGACCTTGTTCCAATTGCCTTCCTTCATTTCACGGGCACGATCGACAAGTTGTCGGGCCAAAGCAATCATTTCGGATATTACCAGTTCCGCGACTGATCGAGAGTTGGAGAAAGGGGAATTGAACACTGGTATACCACGCTTGGCAGCGGCAAGAAGATCGACTTGATTCGTTCCGATGCAGAAGCATCCAATCGTAAGCAGCTATGATGATCCAAGCATAATGCGACGAAGCTTAGACAGACAAGATTGGGGTGGCGGAAAGCTAGAAACATACCTGAGTGGCATGTTGAAGGACTCTTTCTGTGATTTTCGTCTTACTACGAATGCCAATGGCATGATATTCGCCAATCTTTGCCACCAACTCGTCTTCAGACCACGCCTTGGGATTGTGTTCCACCTGAAAACCGTTGCTTTTGAAAGCCTGAACAGCCTCCTGACTGATATTCTCCAGTAGAAGTAATTTGAGTTCCTTTACCGCGAACGGTCTAAGTACTTTGGGCCTGGTTTGACCCAAGGCACTCATCGCAGCCTTCAACGATCCAAGGGCGATCGGTGAGTGAGTCACTGGGGAGACAGTGGGACTTGATGACACATTATGAAACGAGCCGTTCTTTTCGCTCGATATTGGGATAGCCTTCGACATTTCAGCGTAACGGGAGGTGACTCGGTGAGGGACAAGAAAATTCACAGTCGACAACTCCGATCATTATCAGCGCTACCTTGTGGTGCGGAATCTAAATTAAATAACGCACGCATGGGCCATAATTAATGCAAATGCGATTAATAATTTCGGAGTCAGTAGTGTTGGAACTGGAGCGTAACATGTTGGATCCGTCGCTTATCCATCGGTTAGTGTGTTGGCGGCCATGCATGCCATCCATTTTATCCGATACTTCCCCTCTGTCCTAGCCGCAATGGCCATCGCTGCTTGACGCCTTGGTCTAGGCAGGATCCCAGCCTTGGTCTTGCCTGAGCTGTATATAAATAACACCTGGAGTCGCGTAAAATACCATCTTAAACATGGTAAAATACTCTCTTTTTTCCACAATTATCATGGCATTTTACCTTCAAATCTGTGGTCCGTATAACGATGGTAAACGATCAATTTACTATGGTGCATTTCGTCATCCGACTTCGTTGTTTACGATGTTTTTGAATGGTAAAAAAACGCTGGCCATTTACGACTAGGTTATGGTAATATACAGTGGAGATGGCGCCGCTTCTAGTGGACAGTATGATGCGAAATAGGAGGGATTGTGTAGAAAAGACCTTGACTTGAACGGCAAGCCAGGAACAGATGGGGATTGAGTAATGGGCGAGAGATGGATGTGGACTGAGCGGCAATGGAAAGAGATTCGAATCCCAACGAACGTGCACTGATGACTGAGGGGCTATCATGGAGATGGCCCCAAGTTTTAGCAGCGGGTATATATAGGTACAGGGGGCACGATGCATGTGGGTGCTGCAGAGATAGGGAACACTTGACCTTATTATCTAGAACACGAGGGTGGGCAACTGTTCGACCTGTGATTCACAACAACATGGGTGAAAGACGATGAACAGTTGGCACGCTTGAATTGAAAGACAAAGACGTAATAGGAAATCGAAATGGGTCTGCGGACCGACGAAGCAATTCCTGGAGTAGTACGTAGTAGAATTCACATAATACTACCCTGCAGTGCAGGTAAAGCTAGGAACACTTCGATGTTGATGGAGTGGCTATGAAGTAATTGACAAGAGAACACAGACCCAAGCAGCCAGCTAATGAGCACGCCATCATCCCCCTCTTATTGTGGAGTCACACTTCGGATCGAGATTCCGTAACTAAAGCGACAATTCTTCCGCCATCACTGAGGCTGAACCTTGATGTCAATCCTGAGGGTACCCTATATCCAGTCAATATCAGCAGCATTTACCAGAGTCGCCCATCGTCGTCTTCGTTCAGTACTGGTCTTCCGTTGGGGAGCACCTTTGTGTTTAATCGTGACGTATCGTCATCGGCAAGAGTCAATTCAGGAATCCGAGGAGAGGGGTTGACAAGAGTAGTCGAGTCAGAAACAGTGGTAACAGCAGATAGCGCAGGCGAGTTCGGAGGACAGCTGACAGGTACCGGTAGCCCAGCAAGTCTCTATTATGAACCTGTTGGGATATTTCTGTGCTCTACACCACGTAGATCGTACCTTGGGGAGGTGGAAAGCCATCGACGAGGAAGCAGTTACTGGGAACGAAATGTAAGGTGCGTAGACACCTTGTTCCTTGGTCTAGTGGTCGAAACATATAAGACAGACAAGCAAATGACCGAGAATGAGTAGCACCTGGGATAAATCCACACAAGAGTCATATTGGCGTATGTAGGAGCTTTCTTTCGTAGCCATGTCCTCATCAACAAAATGTACCCGAACAGATCTCGCAGAAAGTTTATGGTCCCTTTGTTCTGAAGCTTCGTGGCTGATATCCAGGCCTGGCATACTCTTAGAATGCCTTAGAGTCTTCTTGATCATAATAGACAAAGATTTGATTGGAGATATTCTGGGCGACTCTCTCGAATCATGCGTGATCTTGCGCAGGATCTCAAGAGTGGATGATGAGGGGTGAATGAGTGCTGGTTGAGGAGAGAGAACACTTTCCTGACCATCCAATGATAGCAAGCTTCATGAAAGTTTCATTTAGTCGGTCGCCAGACACCGACCCAACAATTCCATACTTACGGGCGTGAAGGATTCCGAGGGGGCCTGATAGGTAGAGAAACCGAGGAGTCCGTGCAGGGGGGAACATTGACTCGAGCAAGTGCATGAGGGCAAGGGTGTACAATCCCATCTTTATTGCTCGCAGTACTCGAGAAAGCGGACAGAACAGTTGTCGTAGGGCGATACTCAGCATCCCCCTGCAAAGGGTAAGCGCTGGAAGCAAACGTGGTGATAGAAGAGGGTTCGTTTGACTGCAGAAGCAAAACAGGTTTTACATCAGGAAATAGGACTTAGCAGGGGGTAGCTTGGAACCGCGGCTGACAAAGGGGCTTTGAGACTGAGGAGACCCAAGAGTAGGCAAATTTTGGGTGCTATGGGTGTCTCCGACTGACGCAGCTTCAATAGACGGGTGATTCGAAGATGACTTCGAATATGGGATGTCGAAGGCAGAGTCACTCGAGTCTGAAGCCTGATCGGGAAGAGGGGAGAAGTCTTTCTCCAGATCCACACTTTGGTGATCATTGTCCTCAGAAGCGCCGTAGATGTCGTGGAAATTCATCACTTCGGTCTCTTTTTCATCTGTATATATGGAACCGGATGAGATCGTCATAATGGTGAGTCTCCTTGTTGCTATGTTCAGTTGTTCCAGGGAGGAAGACCGCTGAGCCTCCCCAGCAGGTAAGGTTTGAGACTTGCGGTCGCTGCACTGAATAGAATCGGACTTATTGGAGGACGGCGGGCCAGGGTTCATCAGTGAGTAGCAAAATTTGTGTCGAATGGAGCTGTCGTGGTTATGAGCATGTAAATCATCAAGTCGGGAATCAGCCACTTGCCTAGCAAATTTGCTCTTTGGAGGAGACTTCAATTTGGTGGATTGTTCTGAGCTTTTCTCGGAGATATGCGGATAAGGGGAGGTGGGTCGGGGAAATGACGAAGGAGGATGAGGACCCGAGAGTAGGGATACTAGGGACAGACTGTGCGGTACTGAGGCGGTTAGGTGAAGTTTTACGCGATCCAGGAGCAGATCTGGTGTCTCCACGACATTGAAATGTTGCAGAGGACGTGGAATGGGACATCTGAGACTTTTTCGTATATCTGAGCGCGCTTTTCAACCTAGTACGCGTCATTAAGTAACGCGTCAGAGTGTAAACCTGAAAGGATACCTGGAGCTACTGCTTGTTGTAGCACTCGCTGCTGTATCCCCATGCTTGCTTCGACGTGAGCTATGAGCTTTGCGGATAACGTGCTTAAGCACGGAGCTTATTCCCGCCCTGCATGGTGGCGAAGAGTGATCGTGTACGGTGCCTTTGCAATTTACTCCACGGCCATCAGGGAAGCGGGCCATCAAAAATTTGAAAGGAATGTGCGAATAGTAACGAGCGTGATGTGGAAGCCGTAGCAGTTCTGACACTGAACATGAAAGTAATAAGAAGAGTCTTCTCCTTATGACATTGTCGTCATTTGTTTCCAATCGAGGTCTCACGCGATTTACGCCTCACGTGTTATCGATGTCTCCAACGTTGAACTCCCAAGCGCCAGAGCAAGATGAAGCCATTTGAGTGGAAGCCAGGTATGGAAGGCAAATCCCCTCCATTTCGTTGCCGTATCACGCTGCGGGCTAGAACATGAGACCGTCGTCGAGAAGCTTGCTCGCACTAACGCGTTAGAGTGAGTGACATATCACGGTGTGGCATTAAACCACTGCACACGAAACCAATAGAACAGACTGGGGCAACCTCAGATCAATGCTGAAGCACCTGATTGATCGCGTAAGTCCCTGTTGCGCAGGTTGGCTCTAGTATACTGAACTGCAGTAGAATATAAAGGATATGATAGAAGATGTGGGTGGTAAGCATGCTTCACCGCCGCCACCTAGGCCGAGTACGCCTACGTACAATGCTTCGGCGGCAGCGGTAGGGCCACCTACCCCACCGCAAAATGCATCACCATTACGAGGACTGGTGATTCCTCCCTTCCCACCACGACACCCCTCAGATGACTTGGCATCAAGAATCTTGCCAACTCATATGTCATTCCAGGAGGTGTCGAAAATGAGAGAAGATCTTTTCCGTCTTCTGGATGATTTTGAGTGCGTTGCACCCTACTCCACCAACTGGGGAGACTTACAACCATGAATAGAAACGCACCTTTCACCATCCAGCGTATATGTGAGCTAGCAATTCGGCCTCGAGAGCACTATTCTTCTATTGGAAAATATATGCGTGCTTTGGAGAAAACCTTGCTTGTCACATCAACATGGGACGAATATCGCTTCGACACTTACACAGAGGATCCATCTTCGCCTGCATGGTCAAACCAGCTTTCTAATGAGGCCCTCTTGCATGCAACAACCCCGATATTCAGCCCTATCCCTTTCCTCACGCCGAACTCCGGTGCGCCCATGGGAAGTTCCACATCAGGCTCACCACCCCCGCCATCCCCCTTGACGCTTGATAACAATCCAGACGTGCCAGCGACTCCTGAAGGCGATGAGAATATCCCGCCGGCAGGAATGCCCATTTCTGTCGTGCGTTCTCTGCGCGTCGACGAACTGGATATCAAAGACGAGACCGACACATTGTCAGATTCACAAGCTTCAGACTCTCCTATCACGCAGCCAAGGATGTCTGATCGACCTTATTCCTTTTCTGCAACTACCACCGTACCCTCTTCCACAGGAGAAACCGCACGAATAGGAGGACGATCGCCACCACCGCTTTCAGAGCGCTTTGTTCGCTCTGGGACACCTGAGCCAAGCCCGGAGCGTGCCCGTGAAGAGGTGAAAAGGCAGAAGTTAGAGGATTCTGCCAAATCAACTACCGAGGGAGGTTTTGAAGGTGGGACGAAAGAATTGGATACAGCCTGACCCCTCTACTTGCACCAGAGTATAAGTTCCCCCGTTGAATGTCTTTCATGATCATTAGAGCAGTGAGGTGTTTATATCTCCTATGTATCTAACAATGACAGCCAACCCGTAACGACACCTCTCATTTCATCATTTCTATCAGAGCACCCTTGTCCTCCCAACTCAGTTGAGTGCGTTTCAGTTTTCCCAAACCGGCAACAAGAGCCTCACAAGATTCCTTGAGGATCTTATTATCAGCAAGGGCCATTGTCGTCACACTTACGATGTCAGAGACTGCAAAAGTGGCGGCACTCGGCGATTCGGAGGGCGGGAGGAGACGAATTGAAATAGATTGGGGAATTAGATTTGTGCTTATTTGGAATAAATGCGCCGTCGGGTTAAGTATTGAGCTAGCGGATGGAATTGAGAGGGCTAAGGAAGGCGACAGTGGTGTTGGTGGATCATATCTGGGGAATAAGTAAGAGACTAAGCTCGCCAATACCGTCGTAAGGTAGCATACCGAACACAAATAACGTAAATACTGTATCCTTTGATAGGAACCTTAACCTCGCTACCGAATACGTCTGCGAACTGCAAGAGAGCCCGGCCATTGCTGGTGGTGCATTCCGGAAACACGACGACCGGACGTCCGGCAGACCTTCTAATATCGTCCAAGGACCTCGCACCAGTTGCATCTTCGTCGAAGGGCGGCAGTCTGCCGGTAAGGCCGATCATACGGAGCAAGGAGATTTGCTTGAAGCCTCGGATTGGTGCACGAGTCCTGACGGCTGCGGAAACAGGTGTCGACATAGATATGTTGGCCGAACCCGTACCGGTTTGTCTGCCAGTCTTTCTTGACGGAGAAAACGTAGAGCCGGGGGCAGGGTTGCTAACGGGTCGTTCTGCAATCGGGATTACGAATGTAGGATTGAATCTGAGAAACCGGTCATAGGTGAATGATGGCCAAGATTAACTTGCCAAGCCCACCTGAACGCGAGCCAAAGTATTTCTACCCAGGAAACCCAATTTGACACAATCAGGTCACCGGAGAGAGGGGCCCAACTCTCCGACGACGCATCTTTCCCCGCGCGCCTAAAATACAAAAAACTGAGTATCCCTTTCCCTAGGATCCCTCAAAACCAGACTCGCCCTCGTTTCCTCGACGTGACAGTAACGGGGATCCAGTAGAAGCCGATGATAAATAAAGCAAGGCGAGTCAATAAGGACGTCAACACTCCAGAGACGAATCTATATAAAGGCGGCACCGGGAGCTGGGGAATATGTAAGGTAGCTGAAACAGGCCTAAGTGATCATGGGGCTACTCGCAAATATCATGCACGTTCCCTTCACCAGGAGGATGTACAACAGCGTGACGAGAAGGACCAACACTGTTCGAACAGCCCCAATCAAGTATCCTATCGGAAGGACTACCCTAGGTAGCGCATCCGATGTTTGTGGAGGAACCGGGTTCAAGAAAGGCTTAAAACATCGTAAGCTGTTGAACCCCGCCGTCACCAAGCAGTTGACATTACTTGCAAGCCCGTCGCAGCATCCTAATAAAAGTGAGTCATATCGTCAACACGAACTGCGATTATGTTGCTTGTGCCCACTCTGAAACCCGAGTACTTTTCCATGTGAACGAAAGGGCGTCTCCAGTAGCGCCCTCGGTGACTTCCGCTCGCTTTATTCAGTCGACGGCCACGATGTCAGCCACCTTCTGGGAACATGCTTGGATCAATGCTCAGCCTAAACTTGAGTCCATAAGACAAAAGATAAACACCTGGCCATACGTCCCTCCACGAATACTTCGTGTGGGACAGTTGGATGCCGAATTGCTTGATCAAGAATTGGTCAATATGCTCAAAGATCCTGTCAACAAATCTCTCGGGAAAATGAGGGTGAGGATATCTACACTTGCCTAAATGCCTTTAGTGACCCTCTACGCCCTCAGTCTATATTTGAGTCTCGTTTCGATCCGGAAGTTGTACTCATAATATCTGCGCTGCTGTACAAATACTCAGTATGGGATCACGGAGCAACATATGGCGCAAAATTGCAGGACCTAAGATATGCTTCCGTATGGAAAGGAGAATTTTCTGCTCGATCACGTTCGTTCCACAAATCCCAAATCTCAGTCAGTTTCTCAACAACTGCTTGATCCGATAGCTTCAGGACTTCCAAGACGAGCACTCCTACTACACTCCTTTTTGACCATCGTAATCCCCTACCTCCACGCTCGCGCGAGGATATATGCGCTAAGTGGGGCGTGGCCGGACGCCCCATCCATCGACTGGAAGCGCCGAGCGTGGGAATTGCTTGTCCATCTTGAGACCTTGCACTCGACTCTCAGTCTACTAAGCTTTGTGGGGTTCCTGTATAACGGGAGGCGAGTGTTCCAACCCACTTCCCGTGGACAAATCTGATCTCTTGATGCAGACATAGGACAATTGCTGACAGAGTGGCCGGGTTGCGGCTCGAACCCACCCATTCCATAGCTACCCGCAATGTTAGCTACGAATTCATGAACCGTCAGATGGTCTGGCACTCATTTACGGTGCGCAATCTGATTACAATCAAGTGCGATGACTAAAGACCTTGTCTCCCATATCCCAGGAATTCCTAATATTCCTGTTGCCGATCATTAACACCCGTGCAATGAGACGACGAATGCAACGCGTATCAAACACATTGCGACCCTCTAACATACTTGCAATGATCGGTTTTTCTTCGACCGCGTCTTCCTCGGCCTCCTCGCCCCGACGAGGGAAATACTGGTCCTTGCCAGTCAATGAGTGTGCCATATGCGCTGAGCGAGCCGCGTATAACATTTCAAACATATCGGCTGATCCCACAACTCTCGCGTATGCTCGAGCACAGCGTGATCAACCGACTGCAGCCGACGGCAATCAAAATGATGATATCACACCTCCGACATACCCAATTACAAATCCTTATATCACAAATTGTGGCCACGAGTATTGCTATTTCTGCCTATCGGAGAAGATGATACAACTATCAACAGCAAACAACGTTGAAGTTGGGGATAGAGGGTGGGAGTGCCTACGGTGTGTCGGGCCCGTGACCAGTAGCGAGCGCGTCAGAGGAATAGATGAAGGCCCAAGTGGGGGAAGCCAGGACGGCATGAGTGAGGGAGAGGAAAGCGATTTAGAAGGTGCAGATGAAGATGAGGACGACGAAGTATCGAGGAACTCCTCGGTATCTGTGAGTTCATGAGTATACCACTGCCTTACATATAACTATCGGCAGATAGGTGACATCATTAGCCAGTAGCAGTTACAGAGGTGTTCTGTAATCGTTATGCAAGTCCATTTAGAGCTATAATTATATCATATCATAGGCTTCGCTTCCATCGACTAGATCTTTGAGTTTACCCAGTGAGCGAGCTAGACCATAGATGTTTGTAAGTATTTGGATAGCCGTGGACGAACGTTCATACCTAGAAGGGGGTAGTGGCGCAGCATTTCTAACTGGAAGTCAAACAGCCAATTTAATCCATCGGAGACGCGTCGGTCAGGTTGATTGGGCAGAGTCATTAACGGAGATGGCACGGTTGATGAGCCTGGTTTGGGCGTCCGTCCAGGGAACCAACGTGGTCGATGGCACTCTCGAATCAGAACTTCAGAAGCCGTATAAGTGTGCGACTACAAAGAGGTATGAGCAGTTGCAAGAACAGACACAAGAAGTACCGACGATCATGTTAAGTGGGACATGAAGAAGACACGTCCCAGAAGCGTTCAAGCGTATAATCCGAGCGAGCCTCGCCAAGCTCAAAGCTGCTTCGACTACGTTCGCGTATGCTATGTCATCCTTCGGGGCCAGTATGTTCCACAACTGTATGGCGGCAAGACAAACGCCGAAGTGCGGACGGACAAGAAGATGATTAATTTGACTGGTGATTTCGCCGGGCAAAAGGCCTTCCGGTGAATCAATTGGAGGAAGTGACTGTCGGAACAGATCTAACCGATCTCCCAGATTGTATAACCGTTGTAAGAGGGACGACGAAGGGCTGTTGTTCAATCTAGCCGCTTCTAGAAATCAGCAACGGAAGGTGAGACCAAAGAACAGCCTTGGGATCAGGAGGGACTGCACCGTCGTATTGATCCCGTAGCCGAACCGATAAGTAAACCATGAGAGAGGTGCAAGAGAGCAAGTATACGATATCCTTTTCGCCCAATGTCGACACACCCTGAGGCCGACGATTATCCCAGGATATTAATAATATATCTTACATATAAATGCCGCTTACGTGCAAGACGTTATTAAAATAATGAGCTTCCATTTCATTAACGAACTATCACCAGATGAAGTCAGCTACTATTCGGGGCCGAAGACGAGTGACGAGAGATACTCTTTCTGGAACAGAGCATGGCAGGTCAAACGTCCACGCATGAGCAAACTCCATATTACACAGAGCGCCCCACAAATGTCGCTCCTGAATATCGACATAGTGGCCAGTTTGCTCGAGGGCAGCACGCTCCGGCAGACCGCAGCCGACAGCAAAGGACACGGTTGTCGCCGAAACAGAGTGCGATTCCATTATTCTTCCTAGGCGGGCAAGATATGTGCACAGGACCAAGGACCCCCACATGAAATGTGTAAGTCTATCAGCCATTGACAGCGCTTCGTCAAGGTGCGCTCGTGTGCGAGTCAAGAACAAGGAATCATAGGGATTTTGACTCCCAAATGCTAAATTGCAGGCTACCAGATATATAGCATTCAGAAGTGAAGGATGGATTCCTTGTGGATGCGAGGAAGGATACCGGGAGGCTTGGAGGAATGTGGGTATGTCGAAGTAAAAGTTGAAGTGCGCCCGAAACGGAATGAAAACGCCTATTCTTGGTTTGTAATCGTCATATCAATTGACCACTATGGCGATGGGCGAGGCGTAGAACTCACAATATACTGTGGAGTTCATTGTCTGGCTCTGTGACTTGATTCCAGCGTCCGAGGCGATCCCTCAATACCTCTCGGTGAATCGTAGTCCTATAGCCGACCTCTAGGTATTGAGGCGTCACATATCTCACGGCGCTCGAGGCGGTAATTAGTTCTCTATAGAAAGGGATGACGGCCTCTGGGCCCTGCACAGACCCAACCGAGCTGTTAGCGATCTGCGCAACTGCGTCAAGGAGCTCGTGAGAATGGTGCGGAAGGGCCCTTGGCGTGACTCGTTGATTGGCGGATAGAGTCACCACCTCCAGTTCCAGCCGATGAATATCTCTTTGGAGACGATCTATGAGATGGGGGGGTTCCTTAGTCTCATAAGCGCAATTTCTGGATAGGCGTCCGCATCTTCCACACGTCGGCTTCGCTCCATCACATTTCTGGGTAATTTATGAAGGGGGGAAATCTGTCAGCGGGGCGGAGTTGAAAGAAGCCCTGTTGGAATTGTACCTTTCTACGACGCCGGCACTCATTACATGACCTCAGCGGATTCGGCATTTCAGTGAGGAATCGATGCTGCCCACTTCGACGTCAACTGGGTGCGTTTGTTGTGTAGGCGTGTGATATAAATTCGGACGGAAATTAGGAAGTTAAACCATCCGCGTAAGTGCGATACATATATAGTCATTTAGCCTCAAATTGGGGCCGAGCTCTCGGTGGACGATTAATCCCATCATGCCAGGGAAGCGAGCACTCGGGTATTTTTGTGATTGACCCTTCGAAGCATGTCACGCGTGATCTCAGAAACCGTATGTCAAAACATGATGATGAATTGTGTTGGCTTTTTAATGACAGAAAATTGGGTAACTCAGAAGCGCACCGCAGGTGCCCTCTCCACGCTCTCAATCGATACTTTATGTCCCACAAGTGTCCGGATATTATTAATCCCGTATCTGGCGCGGGTGTCATGTCAACCAGGGGTATCGCCAACAGAGCAGATGGACACATGCCTGATCATGGTGGGTCTTTCCAAACTTAGTCCCCAACCCAGCGCCCGCACGTCTGGGGGAAGCCCCATTGGTTCTAGCATTTCGGGTCTGAACATGCCACTGTTGCCTATTTCAACCCACTTGTTCAATTGCGGATGGAAAGCGAAGATCTCCAGTGATGGCTGATTGCGCCGCACCGCGCACAGCAAATACCTTCTTAGATGGTTGATTCTGGGTACGAGTTCCCATATCAGCTTACCTCCGTATAGGGGTTGTATGCCGGCTTGAACCGCAGATTTCTGATTCCCATCTTGGAGAAAAAGGTCTGCATAAAACCTGGGAAGCGGGCGGGCATCAGTGGCATTGGGGGCGGGCTCTTTGGCTTGGCACTAAACCTATCAAATCACCCAGCGTCAGACCAACGTCAGCAACAACGCCCTCAACTTGATGGAACTCTGCCAAATGGGTGGCATCCACCGCTTCGTTGCGGAACACACGATCTATGCTGAACATCTTCACAGGTTGGAAACCGCCCTTTCGGTTGGCAAGTTGATGCAAAAGTCGCGAACTTGTGGCTGTCGTGTGTGTTCGTAGAAGTAGCCGCCTGGATTCCGTGGGTTGCCAGGGCGCACGGTATCCTATTGACCTGCCGTCACCCTCAACGTGCACCTTCCGGACTCGCTCATAATAGTCACTGACTGGGGGAAGGGATTCAACAGGGTCTATGATATTGATCAGAGGGTGTACCCATAGATCGCAATATATCAGGTGTACCAGATAAGTAGAAGGTATCTTGCAATTCGCGAGCCGGATGTTGTTGGGGAACAAAAAGTGTATCGAAATTCCAGAAACCTGAATCGACGAACTGGGATGTGGCCATTTCCGCGAAACTTGTTGACACGGGCATCAGCAGCATTCTTCCTGAAATCATTCCAAGCCGCTTACCCCATCTCCAGAAAAATGTTCCTAAACTCTTCTCGAACTTTGAGTAGAGGGTGCAACGCACCACCGTTTGTTGGCATTCCTTCTGCTTCGAAGTTGTACTTTTTGAAAGTAGCTGTCTTCCACGCGCCTCTGAGAATCGAACATCAGGGGCGGCATAGGATTCCGGACCAACGACATACGTTGCTAGCATCTCGAAAGTCAAATCTGTTTCAGGCTTTTCTGTCGATGTGCTGAAATTTGGGCCCCTGTTGACAGTAAACCACAATAGCTTCCTGCGGTGCCAATGCGATCCATCTTTAACGTTGTCAACACCGATGAAGCAAACAGACATACCGCTGCAGAATAAGCTTCCGCTTCTTCAGCTCACTTATGGATTTCTCTCCCGCTTTAAGAGTGCCAGTAGCCTTGATTTCCTTCAGCTCTTCCGAGGTAGCATCCACAATCGAAGTGACCTGGATCATCAGATTGAATCAATGTCATTTATACGATCGAAGACCCCAACGCACGATTTTGACTAAGGTGTCTCCCTCCTTGCCGATCCACCCTGCCTTGAATGCGCGACCTTGTCCGATCTTTGCGCTTTCTGCTCCAACAGATCCTTGCAGTTGTTTCACGGTCAATCCTTTCCCCTGACCGGTCAAAGGCAGAGCAGCCCACACGCGTGCTTCGTGCGACCCTTCCTCAGCCAGTTGCAATCCTTCGGGTGTGAGATCATATGTCATGAAGTCTTGAGTCGTGTAAGTGATCATCTTTGAGATAATTTTGGTGGGCATTCCATGGGTGGGAGATCTGGAGAACGAACCTCACGACTCAGCAACGAGTTTAGAGCCCCTTGTATGACAAGCTGCGCATCCTGTGTAGATGCAGGTCGCGATTCCCCGGGAATAATTATAGTGCGTGTATCCTTGATTTCCCCGTCTTTTTCTAGAGTATCTAATATGAGTTGTTGTAACTCTTGGGACATTCTTGTGCGAGATCGAAAAATAAATTGAACCGGGGGTTGCCTCAGAGTAAATCCTTGTTGTCTTACGCTTTCATCGTGCATGTAGCTCGCATGCATATCTTATTTAGAAAGTGACTCAACTAGCGTTGTCCAACAGGATGCGTAAATGCAGCTGAGTGTCTAGCCCACTTGCCACGATTCGGTTTGGTTCGGTTCTGAGGCGATTTTTTAGGGGCTGGAACCGATCCGAACCGGAGTGGCTCAAACGAGTTGGTATTACTATATGTTGCATGGGGTGCATTTACAACACTTGGAGATGTGTAATTTCAACCCAACATTAAGGATCGAGACTGATTCCCGCTCTCTCTCAGGCTGCATGTTCTAACGCGACACTTGCTTCATATTCCTGCCACTCCGGAGTCTTCGCTGCCTCTGAAGCCTTCTATCCTTAAGATAGTTCCGCTGTATATCGGCTTTGGTGATTTGAGTAGCACCAAGCTTGATAATCCGCTTGGGCCTCTGGGCCATCCGAGGCGAGTCGTCATCTGGGTCATAGCCCTCAGAATTGGAGACACAGTTTGGCAGAGAGTCTGGAGGACTGTAGACAAATTTGTCTGGTTTGTCGGCAGCATAGTGTAGTTTACCATCTTTACCCAGCGTTGAGTTTTCAGGATCCGTATGCCACTCCCTTCCATTGTCAGGGGTGTCTTCATTTATTGGATTAGCCAGTGGGGTATGCCCGAGGGGTAAGGCTGGTCAGCTGCCTGCCTCAGGGTGTATAGTGTTTCGAAGTCATGGAGGCTGGAGTCCTGCTTAGGTGTATAGTTCGATATTGCTTTCAATTTTTTTTTTCTTTCGGCCAACCTCAAATGGGTCTGATTTTGTAAAATCCCCAGAGCCTTGAGTGAAATATTATATGAATGCATGTGCAACATTACATTTCAACATGCTGAATAGACATAACGGTCTCGATGTGCATGTTTTAGTTAGCGTTTATGTATATAAACCATTGACCAGTGAAGACGGACTCTTCAGTTGGTTCAACACAGGTCGCCTCCCTATCGTCATGATCCCTTCTTTGCTCGAGTTCGTAATCGCATCACATCTTGGTCTAGTTCCCATCCTCTGCTATGTCAAGAGAGTTATGCGGGGTTTCCGTCAGCATCTAGTGATCATGCCTTTAGTATTGCAAGGTCTAAGGAGAATTAAGGTATTTATGGCCAAATCGCCATTAAATGAACAGTATTGGACACATCCCTCTCCAGGTTGCGTCGTATGTAATTCAGGAATTAAGAGTAAGAGGGACTTGTTAGGTAGTTTATACATCGGGAACCCGACGCGTCAGCCGAATTCCCTAATAAGGCCCCATAGGCGCTAGTAAGTACTCACATCTGCTTCCGCCCTCCAAGCGCCAAGGTGCCACATCACTTTGCAGCTCAAGCGTGTCAACGAGGTGACACAGTGGGCTAGTGCATGCCCTGAGATCGCCCGCCAGCCTTGTCACAACCGGCTAGTCACTCCCCAGTTGAAATGCGTCGTGAAGCAGCTGAACGCGGTGAAAGCTACGTTTCGTTGTCAGAGTTGCCACTGGCGTCACCCCCTCCATCCCAGCCAACTCTTGGGCTTGAAGTTGGAAATCTCTCATTGTCCCCTGTTAGTGCACTTTTTGATGCGCTATATCACAACAATGAACCAATCATCGCTTAGCAGGGTTCCTCCGTTTGCGGCAATGAGCGACTGTTCGCTGTTGCTCGGGAAACTACGAATGTTGAACTCTCTGCCTTAGGTCCCATCCTTGCATCATCATCTGTTGATGGCGTGATACCACCACTATGTAGGGCGAACATGTCAGAAGGTGCAGTAACACCCCGTCGACAAGAAGTGATCGGTGAGTGGATCGGTGCGTTCGGGACGCAACCAGGAGTAACACCAAAACTCCCAGGCTCAATGCAGTTTGCTGGCGTTGTTCTTATGGAACAGCCCTCACCCAGTCGGACACCGACTGTTAAGGCAGAGCGGCGAAGACCTGCTTCACGCCCTACTCCTAGCGTGCCTTCTTCAACACGTCCATCCCTATCTGCCCGTCCTTCGGGACGCACACCCGTTGCCGTTATGGATGCTCATCTTACCTTTGATTCCGTATCCACTCCTCTCCACAATCCTCCCCCGGCTCCACTTTTCAACTCTGATGACAGTACTTCCGCGACAGCATACTCCTCATCGATATCCCATGCACCTGCCCTGGTACCTGGTCCCAATGGCGCAGGTGTGGTAACATGGTATGGGTGTTCTTCGCATCCTGGAATCTCGTTTAAGGATCATCATGAAGCAAAAGAACATGTCAGTGAATACAATTGCTCCAAGACGATGATGCAACGTGAATTGCATGATCGGTATTGGTGCAGCAGATGCGGGTTTTTGAGTCACCGCAATTGTGAAGCCGAGATTTCTCAACATGTCGATGCGTGCACGACGAATACAGAAGAACCAGATGATCTGAGTCTTATGCTATGGAACGAAGATTCCCGGACTTCATCATCGGCTCCTCGCCGTAAACCTCGAAAAGCTCGAAGGACATCTAACATGTTGTCTGCGCGTGGGAAGCGTATAGTTAGTGAGAGTGATCCAGGTTCTTCCTTATCTCCATCAGTATCATCTATCCCTCCCGGGGAATCTCTGCCGGCTTCTGGGCGTTTCGCTCATGAAGATATGCCGGACTCCGTGCTGGCAGGCTCTGCATCGTCGATGGGTTTCCCAGCATTTGACGGTAGTTTTAATTCGTCTTCTATTTCAGTCACAACCTAACCGTTTCCGACCTTAGCTTTGGTGCCCGGCCCAGCCCGCATTCTTTCCTCCAAACCAGGCGATGCGGTGAGGAATGTGGCAAAGGGGAAAACTGCCGCAGTCGCGAAGTCGACAAAACGCGCACCGAGTAGCGACACGTCTGAAACGAAAGTTTCACATTCAGCTCAGGAGCATCCAGGTAGTCTCTCTTCTCTTATAATCGTTTGCCCTAATTACAATGAGTTATCAGAAGCTCTGTATTCCCGCGCCGGTCGCCCCTTACGTAGTGCTAGTATAAGGGCTCAAGAAGGTGGGTGGTGTCACCGATAGTGCCCTTCATCTTAATATTTCTAAGTAGTGATGACTGCGACGTTGCGAGAGTTGGGCGAATTAACTTCGACGCCGAAGAAGGCCGTAGTTCCGCGTTTATATGTTGAGAATCTGGATGCGAGTAAGTCGGTCCGCAGTCGTTGGTTCCTGTCCAATAACATCACGTCAGAATCGTCCAATATCAGGAAGAGGAAGCGCGCTTCGCCTTCAGCGTATCAGTCAGATATGGCTGGTAAGTTTTTTCTTGCGGAGATGAGGTAACCAACAATCTCTCACACAACTTATGCGGTAGCATCTGGGATGCAAAAGCCTTCTGTCATACCGCTTAAACCGATTCACAGGAAGCTGGAGGCAGACCCAAATGGAAATCAGAAGGTTTTCGTGCTGACCACCCAACCAAGTTGGCTACTCCCTGGTTGGTGACAGCTACAGAGCATGGCAACAGCACTGAACCCCGTCTCCCTAGTTTACGAGGAAGACAGCGTGCCCCGTCACGATAGGCGTTTTATTCAGCTGCGGCCTTGCAACTCGATAGATCCCCAGCCAAGGGCTGGGATGTGCAGACCTTGCCGAGAGAAGAAGAAGGGAGGCGCGTGCGGTTATATCAATTTGCGAGAGCTTTTCATGCTCGACGGTGCTTACGTTGGTCAAAAATTCGTTTCCTCGGAAGCCGAGGTGCCTTTGACCTTTGGGTCCTTCTTCACTGATGGTTGGAACCTGGATTCGCCAACGTCCATTACAATGATTAAGGCAAATTTCACACTTGAGCTCCGACATCGTCTCTCACAGCCCTCTCCAGACCTCTATCGCTAGGGCCCTGATCCCGTTGTTAGAACAGGAGCTCCGACACCTTGAACTGCCGAATTTGATTCGTCGATCTCGTGAGGTCTCGGTTCGCGCTACATGCGGTAGGCATGCGAGAGCTTGCTGGGGCTTATTCTCTGCCTGACCTCGTTTCTTTCAAGACCTCTGTATGACATCGATTTTTGCGGGTTGTTGGATGGGAGGATGCTGCGGCAGGGAGCTCTGCTCGGATTGTTATGATCGATTACGCGAATATGACCATGAGGCCCCCCAAGAAGGCTACGTTCATTTCCTGAACCGACAGGATCCCGAGAAGCGGAGGCGACTTTATTGCGGTTTCAATCAAGCCCACTATTCTAGCACTTTTATTCCCGTCTCACGTTTTGACAGGCCACACGTTGAAAGGGTGCTCAATGTCATGAAACTCCTTGCTCCTCCGCACGATATGTTTGTCATCCTCGTCCTAGCGCTGACTTAATGGTTTTAACACATTCGCTAATAGAGCCCTTCCAGACCGCAACGACGAGCTCCCAAGTACGTATGTCGCATTCGAGGGGTTTTGAAGATCGAATTAATGATGCTACTTCAAGGTTGTTTTGCACAACCATTCGAGACCCTACTCATCTCCAACAGCACTGTTCCTTACACCATTGAATATCCTTCAGATCCTTGCGGTGTCCCAAGCCACCCCCTCCTTGTCTTTCCTTTGGATTCTATCACCAATGACACCTTTCCGACCGTTTGGGACCGCGGAGAGCCTCTTGTAGTAGAAGGTTGCCTCAAGCGGTCGCAATCAGAGTGGACCCCGGAGTACTTCCGGAGGAACTATGGGGACCAGGAGTGCATCATCATAAATTGTCAAACAGAAGAGAAACAGGAGAGCACTGTTGCTGAGTTCTTCGCACAGTTTGGCAAGTACGCTGGGCGCAATGCATGCTTTAAACTTCGGGTAACACCTATGTGTTATTTTTGTTTCTAATATCTGATCCAACTTTGAACGCCGTAGGACTGGCCGCCAACCCAAGACTTTCGCCAAACTTTCCCTGAACTGTATGATGACTTCAGTGCAATATTGCCCGCCCCGATCTATACCAGACGCGATGGTATCATGAATATATCGGCACACTTCCCTATAAATGCTGTTGCACCAGATCTTGGTGATGACACTACTTTGGCTTAGTTGCTGGTTTCGCTGATAATTTTCTAGGTCCCAAGATGTACAATGCCTTTGAGGCAAGCGAGGGCGAGGGAGGCAAGGGCTCAACGAGATTACATATGGATATGGCTGACGCGGTGAACATCATGATGTATGCTGCCAAGCGTGCGGATGGTTCAGATGGTCATGCCGTGTGGAACATTTATCGTGCGGACGACTCAAAACTCATCCGGGAGTTTCTGGATGAACATTTCCCCAACGCGATCGAAGGATTAGACCCTATCCACACACAAATCCATTTCCTCGACACTGCACTGCGGAAGCAGCTCTTCGAGGAGAAAAAAGTCAAAAGCTATCGCATCGTCCAGAAACCGGGGGATGCCGTTTTCATTCCTGCAGGCTGTGCCCATCAGGTAAGTTGCTCGTTATCCCAATCATTGCTCACGCCAAATTATTCGGTCGCTAGGTTTGCAATGTAGGTGACTGCATAAAGGCCGCCGTCGACTTCGTCAGCCCAGCTAACGTCAGCCGCTGTGAGAAATTGACCCAAGAGTTCCGTGAGCAAAACCGGGCGGTCGCATGGAAGGAGGATGTACTCCAACTCAAGACTATGATGTGGTATGCATGGGAATCATGCACAAGGATGGAAGAAGAGGAGTCGGAATGTGATGTCTGAGCTGAAACATTGACGTCTACAAGCCACCCGGCCTAAATTGGATGAGTATGGACGCCGTTTCTCATAATTTACTGTAGTTTAGTCCCGATCGATTTCTGTCTCATGGTTCATTCATGTATTCAGACTCACAGTCCGCTGAGTGAAAGGGATCAGTCAAACCTACAAAATTGCATTGCCAAGTCACTCAATCGTACGTGTATAACCCAAAACATCAAAGACAACCCGAATCGAAATGAAACAGAAAGAAGTAGCAAGCGATAGTGTGATAAATGGGAGTAACGATACGTGGATACCGGCACTGAGGACTAATCTGAGCGGAACAACGAACGGGTTCGGCGAGCGACACGACGAGGGAAATGAATGGCATGCACGAAGCGGTTGGCGACTGCAGCCCAGATCCTACCTCGCAGACGCTCGCCGGCGCACCGTCACGTAGTGCCCTCTTCCGTGTTGCGCAGTGCAGGACTGCTCGAACAGCCCTCCCGAGGATCAGCGAAAGATAGTACACACTCCTTAATGGGAGGTTTCGGTGACTCAGAACTTTGAAGAACGGTCCTTATGGAAGGCAACACCTCAGGCAATGCGTTCTGTCCGAGAATGGCGACGTCGCGCTTACGCGGGACATCCGGACGTTCAATGATATCTTGCAAGGAGGCAGAATGTTGATGACGACCCTCATCGGATGAGCCTGGCAGCTGGGATGCAAATGAAGTGCTTCGAACGAGAATAGCGTCAGACCTTTGATTGGGTTTGTCCAATTGAGGCGAAGAAGGCCCGGGGACCGGGTCTCCCGTACCAAGCACATCCTCGCCCCTCTTGCGGGCGGCGGATCGAAGGTCAGTGCCAGGCAATCTCAACTCAATCGACCTCGCTTTCGCCTCCTGTCCAAACTGGAGGTCTCGTGCCTGATCTGAGTTTGCCCACAATTGCAATGCTTTAATGGAACCCCATTCGATGATCTTCTTATCCAGCCAGTGCAAAGAAACTGGTTTCGTTAGGAAGTCATTGCAACCAGCAGCAAGTGCCATGACTCGATCACTCTGCAGTGAGGAGGCAGTAAGTGCGACAATAATCACGGAGGAATGAAAGGGTGTGCTGGGAGTATAACTTGATCCAGAGTCGGAGAGCGGGCGACCATCCTTTGAAGGTGTGCTCAGGCTCAGTTCGGTAGCTGCCACTCTCTCAAGTCTTCGTATCTCTTTCGTGGCATCAATACCATCCATTACTGGCATCTGGATGTCCATCTAGATAAGGCACGAAGCTCATCAGTAACCGAGCCGCTGTTCATAAAATCATACGAACCAAAATGAGATGGAATTGCCCTGTCCGCCACTTCTCCACCGCTTCAGCCCCGTTATTCGCTGTAGCATATTTGAGTTTCTTCCTCCGCATCCACGTCGTCAATATAGTCTGGTTGATGGGGTTATCTGATCGCATGGAACCAATAGGACTTCAGGATGGAAAGTCAACGAAGGATGGGGGAATATACAGACCTTCAACAATCAAAACACTGATCGGAGGGGTGATAGCATGTGTTTTATGCTTTGGAGTTGGAGCATTACGCGTTTTAGCTTGGGATGATGATCGTCTCATAGACTTCGAGGATCGCTTCACCCTCGCAGCTAATCCAGCTAAGTTGGGCGACTTGAGTGTTGTCTGAATGACAGGTGGCGACAGAACTGGAAGTGGCGACCGTTCAGGGGGGTTTCGCTGATCGCTGTCGGGGTCTGCATTCTCGTCAGCTTTGGACAATGGCACGCGGAGGGGTCGCTCCCTCTCAAGAGTTTTGCCGGTTGGTGGGGGAGAAGATCTTCGAGGTGGAGGATTATTATTGTCGGAGCCCGTGCTGCGAAAGCTCCTGCGACGAGGTACGACACCAAGGGGTGCGTCATCATCCGGATTTAGTAGAGGTCGACGAGATGAAGCACCATGGGGGAGAGCAGAGGGGGGGCCGTAGGGAGAGGAGGGTACGACCGTTGCCGACTCGGATGGCGTCCTACCCTGGGAAGAGGTCGGACGGGAATGGGATGATGAAGGACGAGACCTTGTTCCTCTGCGGGGGAAGCCGGTTGTGGTGGGAGTGGTACTGGGTACCTCTTCTTCACCTGATCGATGGATCTGATCAGGAGTTTGCGTGCGGGGTGGTTTCAAGGCCCGATCTTCCAGTGCCTTCGTGTTCGCGCTTCCAGAAGATGTGCGTTTGGACGCACTGGGATTTACGTCTGTAGACATCCGTCGCTCTCGTTCGGTGTTGTTCCGTGAACGAGTGGCCGAGGTACTCGAGCGCTCTCTTTGAGGCCGCTCCACAGGTGGAGGCTGCGGAAGTACAGAAGACGTTGTCGATGCCCTTTGAGGCTGAAAGTAGATGCCTGCAGGCCGTCCATCAGGACTCTGAAGCACGAGACCCTTGGCAGCAGACGAGCCAAACTTGGCAGCGGCGGTCGAAAAGTAGCCTAATGACTCGGAGAGGGGTGAGGAGCTCATCGCGCTACCCGGCGTACCGGCACTCTGGCTGGTTGGCCCAATGACCACACCTTCGCGAGGCGAGCCATTGAGCGGGTTTAGGGAAACTGGACCCCATTCAACCGGAGGTGACGCCACTTGAGACGAAGTGCCCTGCCCATTCCCACGGGCATTCGTTGGCGATGAAGGGCCTGCGGAGCCAGGCTGGTTGGGACCCGTCCGTCGGCCGTGAGGGGAACGAATACTGTCCCTGATGCTATAAGATGGATTCATGAGCCCGCCAAGACCTCCGGGACTTTGGGGAGAAGTTGCGATAGGAAAGAAGTAAGGATCAACGAAAGACTTTCGAAAAGCGGTATGAAGCGCCGTAAGGAACCTCCGTGGACCGGCTGGCTTGGGAATGACGATGATATCGGGAATAAGCTGTGGGGGGACAAGAAAAAGAGCGGATTGGACCGTGTCTTTGACAAGTTTGTAGTTAGCGAGAGAGGTAATGTGCACAATAACTGTACTTGTAGATGTAGCAGGGGCTTCGCCAAGTGGGGCCGGCTGTTTGGGTGCACGTCCAACAGTTAATTTTGAAGAGACAGAGGAAGCATCACTAGTAGAGACCAGAGGTGTAGATGCACTGAGCAGCTGGCGGACCTGGGGTGAGGAGCGTGGTCGGTGATAAGAGGATAATGAAGGTCGCTTGCTAAAGTGAAGCGAATTGATGACATCGGGTCGAAATCTGTTGAGACGACGACGTAGCACGTCCACATCATCATCGATAATGACAAAGGAAGGTTCGATGTGTGGTGCAGACTCCGGCGTCTCGCCCGGTGTGGACGCTTCTGACGCGACAGTATCCGGAACAGCAGATACCGGGGCAGGAGACGTCACAGATTCATTGGCTGTGTGGAGTGATGTGGCAGTGGTCGACGCAAATCCCAAATCCGCCGCACGAACTGGCTTAGATTGCGCTGCCTGGGGGATCTCGTCAGACCATTCCATGCCCATGGGTACATGTACCACATCCAAACCCCAACTCGTCAGATAGCTGGTTAGGTACCGCGCAAAAGTGCTCGTTTCAGACGCATGAAACAGAACTTTCTTCCCTTTGAGAGACGTCTCCGCAAATACCGCAAGTTCCTCCAACGTCGGCTCCTTCGCAAAGGGCAAGTTTGTTGGTAGGGAAGAGGGCGTGCCATTTGGCTCATCATCCTCAAGTGATAACGACAAGGGGGTCGGGTCGGGAGTCGGAGAAGGGCCCCGTGTGAGTTGAATGGAGAGTTCATATGAGGTGTCCGGTACCAGAGCCGTCGTGGGCCTAGCGCTCGCAGTAAGCTTGGCGCCCACGCGCTTCATGAGCCGCCTAAGAAACACGCTGTCCAATTTGGGAGGATGGCGAGGCACGATATTGGCTTTGTCAACGATGGGTGCCAATTTGTGACTAATGTCGAACGTGCAAGACAACAGCGCACCTTCCTCGAGAATGGAAGGACTGATGATAGCACCTGGAGCAGAAGAAGCGAGAGGGTCTTCTCTCATGGGTGCTGTCGATGAATTCAGAGCAAGATGCAGTCCAAGTTCGATAGCGTCACCAGGTTTTGCCGAATTGACAATCTGTCGAACAACCTACAGATAGCCAAAGCAAGTTACTCATTCATCCAGAATCGAGGCTTTGCATCTCCATGCACTTACATGCGTCAGAATAAAAAGGATACAGCACTCATCGCCCACAACGTTGATGTGTTTCATCCCGACATCGCCATGGAAGAGCACGAGATCGATCTGGTTTTGAGCAGCCAGACCTCCAAGCACGTCAGCAACGGATTGGACAACTTCCCCAATATCAAAAGTGTCTGAGGCACGACCAATGGACGAGGACGCCAAAACTTCATCCATCTCGGACAAGGGGGCGAAGGACGGCAAATTGGCGGAAATGTAATTGAGATTCTTCATTGTCGTGATAAGAGAGAACACCGAAGGTGTGGGGATCTGAATGGTGCAAGTTGAAAACTGTTCTTTAACTGGGTCAAGCAAATGCGGTGGAGAGATATGAAGCAACATCTGAACCACGGCTTGAACTGTATCGGCAAGTTCATTAGACACTTCTTGCTGATAGGAAGAAAGAGATATTGTATCCCCCTTTCTCTCAGGCCGCCGCAAATGACTGAGATGTGAAGAAGCTGGCATGGATATTGAGCGAGAGAGCCGAGGGAGACGGCCGGCGAACATGGTACCGGGTGTGGTACTGTCGCTATGTTTAGGACTGTGAGACTGCGTGAGAGCAGTTGGCTCCACGCTGTGGCCTAAGTGGAACCGGTGCCCAGCCGAGTGCTCCGATGTTGAGCGATCCTCTTCATCGCCATTAAGTTCGGGGAGCAGCGAAGGTACTGGCGAAACTTCCTCAGCAGATGACGCAGAATACTGCGAGGACGTGGCGAACGTCTCGACCTTATTGGTCTCTGGAGAGATAACCCCAAACCCAATTTTGCTATGGGAGCCGCTGGTGGGCATCACTGGGGGTGCGGATGGTGTGGGGGAGTCCGCAACAGACTCTGAGCTATTCGCCTGGTGCGACCAGGGATTAGTTGGAACACGGATTAAAAGGCTTTCAAGCAAGTGCCCACTTCTTATCCACTGTACCCTACCTATCCACTGAGGTTAGCTGCGCAACGGAGGGTCGGTAGGGACGATATTCAGGTACGGGCGGGTTTTCCCGATCCAATTACATTTCCTATTTCCAACTTGTGGTTCAGGCTTTGTGGCTAAACAAATGATCAACGTTCATGCTCAGCGTTGGAAACCGTCATTATCATAACCGTCATTCAGTGGGATACGGGTTGCTACCACCCTGGGGGAGTATTTTAGGTGGATAACACTTGGTGACAATGGAAACCTGGCAAACAAGTCCGTTCTCAGCTTTTTCATCCCCCTCGTGACTGGGGCTCCCCTGACCTTCCCCAGCACAAACCATTGGCTCGGTCTTTTTGCCCTGCTTCTGAAAAATCCTGTTCTAACGATTTGGTATAACTCAACGCTTCCGCGCTGTGGGTGGTCATGGATCGATTCTTTTTCCGACCATTGCATTCACAGTTGAGCCTGATTCGAAATCCCCTAATGGCGCAGGAGTGGTCCAGCAAAACCTTGCCTTAGGGCGCCCCTGAGAGTCTGGTTTGTGCTGACAACGTCGAGCCACGCGTCCGCGCGTGCGTAGTGACCATGCGGTAAACGTTAATCATGAGAACGAAAACATCTTGTGAAGCCCCTGACCGCACACGTTTTCTGTACATGCCCCTGTGGCGTCTCACCCATGTTATATGTGACGGTGCCTGGCCAATCCGGTGTTCAATCGCCCGATTTAGGATGTTGACATCCTCCTGCGCTGGTTGGTTAATTCAGGTTGGCAATCCGATTGATGGAAGCACCTGATACCACCTGATAGTGGTCATAGCAAAGCTCAGATGCCATATATGTATATGATGCATTTCAGTGTACTTCAGCCTCAAGGCACAAAATTGTCAATTGGGACTGTTAGGATGGAGACAATAACCGAAATGGTCCAATTTCATCGTGGGTAGTTGTTCCATTAGGTGCGTTCGCAGAGACGGCGGCCGCCAAATGCACAACGTAACTTATTGCGCTAGAAAGCATGCTCGATCAAGGAACGAAGCAGGAGTACGATGCTGAGGCAATTACACAAACACCTAAGCCAGACATAAAGGTGAGATAGCACGGAAGAGGGTGACAAATGCAGTCAATAAGTGCAGAGCTCTAGAGACGGAAAAGGAAACCTGCAGAAGAGGTTGTTAAGAGCTTTAACTGTTGAACATTCACCCAAAACATACCCAAATCTTCCTCGGTAAGGCGACCCATAGCGCTCTCGTCAGTCGAAAGTGTCGCATGAATCATGGCGTTCTTCTTCTCTTGTAACTAGTGGAACGAAAGCCGGGGATTAACATATAGGGGAAATTAAGGTTGCCGACGAGAGTCTCTAACCTGGACGATACGACTCTCGATGCTATCCTCTACAACAAGCTTTATCGCATGCACAGGACGATGCTGACCGAGACGGTGAATACGGTCCATGGCCTCTGAAGGAAATGTGATTCAGCACACGCTCCTATCCAGCTTGGAAAAAATTCGCGTACGGTACTCAACCGCTGGATTCCACCTATCAGAGACGTTAAGATAAGCCTTGATATTGATATATGAGAATAGCGAAATACCTACCAGCTGTCCATCAAATATACCCTTGATGCCTCTGTCAAGTTGAGTGCGACACCGCCGGCCTTCAGAGAAACTAGGAAAATGGTAACTTCCACGTTATTCACTGCGCATGTGAGACTCAGTGCACTAGCGATAAGCAAGGTCAAGAATCTTACTGAAGTGCTTGATAGTCGCATCGCGAGCCTGTGGGGACATTGTTCCCTCCAATCTGCAGATCTTCGAGGTGGAGTTGGCGGCATCTTGACTATCCCAAGGTCAGCGAGATAACTCACCCTAAAGCCGGCTTTCTGCAGCCTCCATGCAATCAAATCTAAGAAGTTGACAAACTGGCTGAAAACGATGCTCTTCGTGGTAGAGTCTTGATGCCTTAATTTGTCGAGTTCCTCGACAAGTGCTTCAATCTTGGTGCTAGAGCGCCACACATTATGATCTAGTCGCCCAAGTATTCCTTGACGCGCTTTCAAGGCAATTTCTTCATCTTGTTCAATTGCCGGTGCTTCAAGATCAATGCTGAGTGGCGAATGACAAACTGGGCAATCGGGCTGACGGAACAGATCAGTGCAAATCAGAAGGAGCATAATACAGCAAGTAGACCCACATTCCCCTGCACGCTCGCTTCTATGTACTGCGTTACACAGGCACGGTCGAAAACGTGATGGCACGTTGACTTAATCGCATCCTCCGCAATGTCATGGCAAAGACGACAAATTGTAGCTTCCTCAATCTCTCCAGAAATTTCAATATTGCGCCTGCTTTTCAGTACAAGATCCGGCTATAGGAGCAGCACGAAGATAAGCATCCGGCCAGGGTGCGGAGGGTGGAACTCACATGGCACGCCATTTGCCTCATGCGAGTGAGTCTGTGGATAAATAAGGGTGAGCAGATAAACCAGCATACTTATGAGATGGTATTACAAGCTGAATATATTGCTGTAATCTAAGCAGAAAGACATGATCAAGGGGAAAACACGGAATTCAGATAGTTATAACACCCACTGTTAAGCACCGTTCCTTCGTCCACATACGTACTAGGAGGGTGAAATTTAATGCTAGATCTATCCCATGATACCTAAGTATCTCACGAGTATTGACGCTTGGCATCTGAGAATAATGAGAGATACAACTCCTTCTCTTCCATACTGAAGAAGTCTCGGCGAACGATGACCGTGCGGGGCGGGAGTCCGAGGTCATCTGCACGCTCAACTTTGGTGCGGCTGGACGCGTCTTATGAGTTTGGCAAATAGGCGTACAAATGTGGACATACCGTAACATCATGCGATCAAGGAGTATCCTGAGCTTTCTGAACGCCGTTTTCCCTTCATCTCTCATTCCATGCTGCGAAAGCAAGTTGGTTCTCGCAATTTATGCGGCTTGGATAAGAAAAAACGCACCTTCTGAATAGGGGTCAAAATCTCGTTATTCCAGTAACATGTATGCTAGCAATCCATTGTCAGCTTTCCTGAATAAACTATACGAGCAATTCTCATTTCACATTCATAGGGGTATGCCCGCAATCTAGCGAAGCAGTTAGGATGGCCATCTGGGCTCAAGGAAGCACTTACCATCACAGCCTCGCCTGTCGGTAAACTTCCAGTGCAAAGATTTGCATGAACATAGCTTGCCTACACTGTCGGATCAGATGCCGGCGAACACAAACACCACAAATACGAACAGAAGTAATACGCAAACGGATCGCCTCCCAGGAAACTGATCAACAGCCCTCACTCAGCCAAGAGCTCAGGTATGAGAAAATAATCTTACCGGATCAGACTGTAGAGCTCGCCAACACGGTTTTGGAGGGGAGTGCCTGACAGACACCATCTATATTTCCCCCTGTAAGACGCATCAACAACATCACACAGTATCCAAGATGATTGACACGAACACCAGCTCAAAAGCTCCTTTGGCAGTGTTCGTGGATCTCTCCTTGATATTGTGAGCCTCGTCAAGCTAGTGCGACAGCTTTCAACCACAGCACGAAAACGAACGGCGGGAGACCTACAATGATACGCTGCCATTTAATGGCGTGAATGGGGGACTGCTCTTTCACGATTGCACCTTTCCGCTTGAAGCCGGCCTCCTGCTTTCGGAAGGAAGATTCAAGGACAGCGTACTAGGATAAGAATTAGTATTGTCACACGAAAAGCAGCAGAGCCAGGCTTACTGTCGTCAGCACAATATCAAATTTCCTTAAATCGGAGATATCCCTTGCACGAGCATGCCCATGCCACAGAGAAACCTTGATCGAGTAAATATGGTAGGCAGACGAATCAGGCTCGCAGGATCATCGTACCTCGAATCCGGTAGTATGGGCTTCAATCTCGTTTTTCCATTGCATAATAGCGACTGTCGGAGCCACAATCAAATTTGGCTTCCGACGGTCCGTAAAGAGCAGGGATAACATCTGGATTGTCTTTCCCATTCTGCACAGAGTGCCACATTAGAAAATGGAATTTATGCATTGAAGTCAAACAATACCCCATCTCGTCCTGGAGTGTTACCCATCAATTTCAACGCTGATGTTGGTAAGAAAGTAAGGACGCACCGCAAGTATCCCACCCTTCCAAACACCTTGCTCTTGTTGCCTCATCCAATATAGACTTTCCTAAAGCGAGGTCTGTACCAGTCTGTCACGAAATTTACAAAGAGTATCATACCTGCTGGAACGGAAGCAAAGTGGCCTTGAAACCTCCTGGCTGAGGGGCACGCTGAGGGGTAACAACGGGTACATCAGCCTCTAAATCGCCCCATACAGTCCGAAGCTCGGGATGATACTGAAACAACCCAATAGTTGTTTTCTCCGACTAACAGGTATCTAGAAGTCAATAACCCCGATCATCTAAAGCAGGGTGAAGTTACCCATGTGAGTTTCCGGCCCAATTGTTCACGTAGACGTCTTTCCTCCTGCCTGTGAGGCGGAACTCTAGCCATGCGCTGTTCTCTACGAAGCCGCCTCATCTCCTTGAGGGTCATCGTCTTAGACTGACCTCCCGTTTTAGCTTTACCTTTCCCTTTTTTGGGTTTTCTACCGCCAGCGTAACCGGCGGAGGCGTCCGAAAAGCTAGCGGAGGCGGATTCATCGTCCATGTGCCAAGCAGCAGAATCATCAATAACATTCGTCCCCTTCGCTCTCTTCAACGCAGCAGCTGCACGAAGAGCAGCAGCAGTTAACCGATGAACTGATGGTCCGGCACCCGATCCAATAGCGGTGTGTGCCTCAGGCCCTTTCAATGAAGCCTTGATTGCTATCCGTAAGTCCTCTTCTTCCTCTTCGTCATTGGCAGCAGCACCCAAGATGAGGGGAGTGCCCGGGTCAGAGTCATCGTCCAAATCAGAAGAGTCGACCATTGAAGCAACCCTCTTTCTCGTCCTGGGCTTCCGAGACACACTGGGAAGCTCAAGTTGTATTTCTTCGTCGTCCACGAAGTCTGAACCGCTGGACTCGAATTGGGAATCGTCTGATAGGGATTCTTCATCACTGTCTGACTCAGGGGCTACTCGGGGAGTACTTGTTCGACTAGATATCGAACGGGTCACAGTACGCTGAAGGGAAAGCATGAACATAGTAATACTGATTAAGAGACTAAAAAGCCGCACCCGCCCAAGGCTAGATCCCTCAGTGTAGTAGGCTGAGACAACAGCTCAATATATGCATTATTCCCCGTGAGACGACGCTTTGGGGCTTCATATACTTATGGTCAGTAACGCATAACGTACAACAAGCGCATCAATACTCGCCTCTGGTCCGCGCTTTGACCTTCCGCCCAACCAAGTCCAACTCTTCGTCAGATGTCATAATTTCCCTCTTTCTACCACTTGCGCAGACCTTCCACGAGTTTGGCGCTTTGGGCGCTCACTCTCAAACCCTGGTGTCGTGCCTGGAGATGACTTTGTGGGCGTCGCTGACCCCAGCAACGCAGGTGTGCCAGCACCGGTTGCACTAACCGAGAGGGCAGTGTCCGGAGACGACGTTGAGCGAGCGCTTCGCCTCGTTCTTGGTGCCATTATTAAAGGAAGTTAAGTGATTGTGCGGTACCGAAACCGCAAAAATGCGCGTCGCGTTGGAATCAAAATTTACCGCGCGTCGCTTGCTTCCGAAGGATACCATTCATCCCACTATCAGCATTCATCCTCGCCCTGTCCAGTAATATGCCTGGAAGGCTTCAACACAAGGTGGAGAAGTCAAAATAACCCTCCGTGAACCTCCCAGTAACGCCGATCTCAACGTTTAGGTCGCAATCATTACCGGTGCGGGGAGGTACGAGTTTAGAAGCGGTAATCGACGTGATCTGAGTCTTCATGTCCTTCCTAGCGGGATCGGTCTCGAGTCTTCACTCCTTTTTGCCTCCGAGGGCGCTAATCTTGTCTTGGCTGACATCAACATCGTTGCGGTGGAGAAAGTAGCGTCCATCATCGAGAAAGAGTACGGGGGTCAGCTTGGCGTAAAGGCTATTGCTATCAAAACCGATGTATCTGCCGAGGCAGAGGTGAAGGCCACGGTGGATCTCGCCATCGAGAAATTCGGACGTCTGGACGTGATGGTATGTACGGTGATCGTCGCCTGAATAACCAAAATCTCAGACTTGCAAGTTTAACAATGCAGGTTCGTTGTTTCGATCCCAAGTATCAAAACTACCGCCTAAATCGCCACTCAAGGGATCATGCATCCAGCGGATGACACTGCCCTCAATACCGAGGATAGAATATGGTGAGCCAATTTCTTGTCCAGTGCCTGATAACCTGGCCAAAGAGGAGGACGCCACAGGGATTTGACGATGAACATCAATGTTAAGGGCGTCTGGTATGGGAGCAAGTACGCCATACTTGCTATGCGTAATAACAAGTTCGATCCGGAGCGAGGCCTACAAACCGGTGGCAGTATCATCAACGTTGCGAGCTTCGTTGCCATCGTGGGAGCCGGCACCCCCCAACTTGCTTGTAAGCTGATAGACAGGTCACACCATTCCAGGCCAAGGACTCATGAAGTCTTCTCAGACACCGCCTCCAAAGGCGCAGTTCTTGCTATGACTCGTGAACTCGCAATGACACATGCTAGAGAAGGAATCCGTGCTAACGCTCTCTGTCCTGGATCTCTCAAGACACGTATGAATACCCGGAATCCATCCAAGCTAAATCGCTGCTTATGAAATGTTTTGTCCCTCAGCCCTTCTTATGGATTACCTGAACACTCCTGAGAAGCGAGAACGTCGCCTAGTTCACCTGCCACTAGGTCGTTTCGGTGAAGCCATTGAACAAGCTCGTGCAGCCCTATTTCGTACGTGTACTCGCATTCATCTCTATTCCCCCACCTTGAACCGGGTTCATCTGTCCTGTGTTTAGTGGCATCTGATGATAGTTCATACGTCACTGTGAGTCCACCCAGAAACCCTTAGCTCAGTCAACGAACCTGAAATACGTGCTTCCAGGGCACGGACTTCCTGGTTGATGGCGGCTTGAGCAACTGTTACACCACTCCTCTGGGTGAACAAGTCATCCCTCCCCCTGTAGGTCTCGGAGAAAGTCTTCTCAAGAAGTATGCCTAAATACTCTTACGAAGTTGTTACATTTATCTTATTGGTATCGATTGCTGCCGACGTGCATGGGTTGTGATCTGTCACAATGTTCCACGTACAAATGTATTAAGATAATCTGTACTTTCCATATTGATACAATGCAGCGTTCTGTCCATCCGGCATCGAAAAGCCCCAATAACAAGCAAACTCAGACAATTTGGACATAAGAAGCCGGGAAAATGCCTCGCTTCCCATCAGCTTCACCCTTCCACCAGTCTTCAGATGTATGTTCAAGCACCTTGACACGTTGTCCTTCCTTCAAGCTTAAATCCCCAACGTCCTGTAATCCGCCATAATCAAGTTAGTCACCGTACTTATAAAACCAGGTAAGGATGACGTAGCCCTACATCTGAAGCATAATCATACAATGCTTTAGCCCATTCACCTTCTTCCTCTTCCTGCTCCTCTTCAGGTTCAGGGGCCTGATCGGGCGTAACTTCCTTGCAGGCGGAGGTGGATACATCGAGCTGCCCAACTTCTTCGGAAACGCAGGAGATATCGTGGCACTCGGTCGAGGCTCAGGACTCCCAAAGAGCTTCTTTGGAAGAGCAGAAGCAAATATTGCTCCAGTAGACGATGTGTTCACGTCTCCGATGGCCTATGTATGGCGTAGGAAGAAGTAGAGATTCATCGTTAGAGGTCACACGAGCATGAGGATGGTCAGATTCAACGGGGGCCAACCTTCTTAGTTACAAGGCCACCGACGCCCGGCCTCCCATTAGAGGAAGCCGAGGAAGTCGCGTCGGCAGCCGGAGGTCCCCCTCCAGGTCTAGACGCAAAATTAGGCGAAGGAACAGCATGAGCAGCCTTGGATGAGCAGATGTCGGTGGCGGTGGCACGTTCAGTCTTGGAGGGGCAACGGGTGGTTTGGGAGTTATCGACTGTGCATCAGAAGAGGTTGTGGATTGTTGTGACTGCGAGGCAGAAGGGTGAAAAGGATTGAACCCCTTCCCTGTAAAATTGGAGGCCGCCGCTGCCACGCGCCCTATGCCCCATGAAGGCGCATTGGAATTGGAATTGGAATTGGTGTGGGCTTCGTTGTTGGAATCCGTCTACCAGATCAGGGTCGGATCGATCGATAAATCGGCTACTGAAATGTGAGAGAGTGTAGGGAACCACTCACTCTGCCATCCTTCGGCCCCTGCTCACGATTCTGATTGAAGGATCTCACGCCAGCATTTACTAACGAACTTGCTGCTTGTGGATTCCTCGCAACAGCCTTTGTCACAGCAGATACTGCAGGAGCAGCCGCAGCCGCAGCATTTTCAAGGGCCTTATCCCCTGTTCCGAGGAGATGCGGACGAGATTCGAAGTATCTGATAACACCAAATGAGCAAAGGCGAGGCTTGGACGACTAAACGCCCCAATAACATTGAAATTCAAACCTACTCATCCAGTAAGGAGAAGAACGCCTGTTTTTCGTGGTGCGTTAAGTTACTAAACATGTTGGAGAAGGACAAACTATGCTAATTGCGCTTGCGACAAGCTGAGAACTTGCATGGACACAGCCATTTGAGAGTAGAAGCAACAAAAATATTCCCACGATCGGAACCGAACATTTACTCATTCTCGAAGTGAAGACAGCCAGTTTAGCTAGTTCCCCTTCAATACGAAGGGTCCTCGAACGAAGGCCAACCACGAACACCAACAAGTGAATCCATTAATTGGAACGGGGGAAACGGCGAAAAGTAGAGAAAAAAAAAGTCCAAGATCAAAGGTGATGATGCCAGAGGTATGGAAAGGAGTCCGTGAATGATGGAAATGCAGTTGAAAGGGATCCCTGTAGGTGATGTGGAATGTAAGAGGAAAAGAAAGTAACAAGCTATGACGAATAATTCAACGGAGGTTATTGCGAGAATCGCCGGGCCACATTTCAACAACATCAAGACAAAGAACCCCAAACAAATGGATCACAACGCTCCCCCGAAGGCCGCTCCAACAACAACGAATGTAACAAATATCATTCCGCTCAAATTGAACCCGAAGGAGGCCATTGCACCGCCAGATTTGGTGGTACTCGTCGCCGAGCTAGCAGTTGTAGTGGAACTCAAAACTAAACTCGTCTGAGAGATGCTAGTGGAACTAGCAGTTCCCGTCGGCGAACCAGACGTCACGTTGGACCCGATGGTCGAGAACCGTGAGGAAGTCGTCGAAGTCGTGGTCGTAGTAATGGGGTTGTCCGTGATGGGGAACGAAACAGATGTAGCGTAGACCTGGTTGACATTGGCAACGTTCACGAACTGAACCTGTTGGTCCGCTGGTTAGTTACCCGATCGACATGACAAACGTCACACGCACAAAGTAGCCGTTCCCTGGGGGAAGGTCAGGGAGCTCGAATGAAACAGAACCAAGGTTTGGTTGAACATTGTTTTGGACAGCAATGGGGCCTTGCGCGAGTAGACCTGAGTGGATATTGGGGTTTCCGAGCTCGATAGAGAACCTGTCAAAAAAAGTGCCATGTCCTTCACAAACTCAATCGGCGTATTGGTAAACAGCACCTACGTAGAATCAGTGGCATTAAAGTTCCTGAGTAGAACGAAAAATAAGCGAGTTCAGATGAAAACAAACACGAGAACGATGGATAGCACAAACCAAGCAACCGTGACGGTCGTGTTCCCTTTCCAACCATCAGCAGTGGGCCGAGTAATAGTGAGGGTAGCGGAGGCCAGCAAAGGCAAGAACGCGACGAGGAACGAGCAAATGAACGCTATCATGTTGGCAGGTGGTACGCGCAGAGGGGGAGGAGTGAAACTTGAGAACGAATGCAGACTGGATTTTATACTGAATCAGGGTGAGGTAATATCAGATCAAATGATGTGCAAACATTTTACGTCAAGGACAAACGAGTTACTTATTACGCCGTGAGTGACAACTCACAGTAAAGGAGCGGGAGCGGTCAAGAAGATCACCGGTGTGATGAATGGATAAAAATAAGACACAAGTCCCATTCCTCGATTTCTTAAATAGTGCTCACTTCAATTCAAATAAATCAGCAATCCATTCAACACTTCCATACCTTGGGGCATTGAGTCACCTGGCCAGAGGAAGTACATAAGAATCGTGCGCTCGCTAGGTCTTGTTCCAGTAGTATGTCCTTGGTTTCCCGTCATCCCTGCAGTGTCGGTTGAGTCAGAGGACGCGACCTGAATTTGGATCCGACCGGTAAATACCGAAGTTTCTCTCCCTCGCAGCGGTGTGAGCGTGCTGGGCTGGGCTTGCAGCGCAGTACCGAAGGTGCTGCAAGCTCGGCCATCCAGTTTGAGGGGAACCCTCATAACAAAAGTAGCCTAGTTCCTTGGGTCTTTTTGTGTCAGGAAGGTATGTCTAACCGCCCAGCATTTCCTCCCCTTCTCCCAATCCTCCGCAATATGAAGAAAAAAACAGACCTGTACGGAGTCTTCTAAGACGACAAACTATTGGCAATTATCACTGATCCTTCCATTCCGCCATTTCCTTCTCTTTTTTTCTAGTCCAACCGCTAATCGTATCTCCTTGCAGAAGTAATACAATGCGGACCTTGCGAATCTCATAGATTAGAACACTTCCGTATCAACTATGAAGCCACGTCCTTTTTTGAACTCTCTCCCATTCTCACTCGAGGCAGCTACAATGTGTTATGTCAAAAAATAATAATAATTTAATCATTAAGTTATGCAACATTCCCATCTCCCCAATATTTATTGGGAAGCAATGAATCTCCCCGCTCCGGATACAGCAAATGCGCTAGCTCCAGCGATGATGGCGGTCATGGCAACCTGCCTCTCATCGATGAGCTGATGCCACACCCTCTCCAATGAAATGCCCTTGACTGTTTTCGTCCGTGCATCAACTTGATCATCCTCCGCTGACTTGACAGAGACATCCCGTCTACTTCAGTTACACTGGGCGAATGATGGGAGTAGAATTGTGACCCATGAAGATAGTGCGCTCGGGAGTGGAAGAGATGGTGTAGGTGACAGAGTGTGAGTGGAGGGAAAGGAGAGTTGGAAGATGAGACGGGTCTGATAAATGAGATTAATTCAAGATTGAGGTTGGCGCTCCCGAGTTCAGTAGCGATAGCGTGTTCCAACGCGATGGTATTAGAGAGTGAGGCGGCGACGGAGGTGCTATTGGAAGGTGACGTATTGAGATCTTGTGATCATGGACCGACGAGACAGTCGAAGGCAGAGCAATGCTCTTAAGCCTCGGAAGAACCTCAAGAGCTTCCTTCAAAGCATCTGCGGAGATCGGCTCGGACGATTCAGGAAAGCGTATATCCTCCCCATACCAGCGAGTCTGCAAGTTGAGCGTTTCCAGGGAAGGTGCGGCCAAGGCAATAGCGTGAATAAGCCCAACACTCCCATCATCTTTCTTCGTACTACCGTCCGCATCCTCCACTTCCAATCCCTCCAACTCTGCTTGAACACCAGTCTCCTCGTTCATCCTCAGGGACTCGGGCGAATATGCAAGTTCACGAATGTTCGGCAGATTTGCCAAGGACTTGACTAGATGGGTGTTCGCATCAGCCTCATATCCAGAAGATTTGTTCATGCGAAGGATCTCGAGATTTGGAGCGAGCAAGACGAGAGGCTCGATATCGTCCAGAGCGTCAACTTCAGAATGCGCAGGTCAGGAAGACTGAATCGAGGAAGTGCTGTAACCGCCTGGTGAACGGCACGGCCGATCGGGAGGCCTCGTGTCCGACCAAGGAAAAGCGGCTCCAGGCGGAGGACTGGCCAGTCAGTTCTGCCACGAGAACACGGAGTGCGTGAAGGGCGGGCGTTTGTGATAGAATATGAATCAAAGCGTATGATAAAGAGGGAATTTTCCAGGAATCGATGAACTCTGGGTCCATGAAGATGTTGAGTGCCCTGGCACAGAGATTCTGATAAGATATTTGGGATGCGCCACAGAAAGCAAAGGGTACTCACCGGACTTCACCCAATAAATCTTCTGGAACTTTGGAAAGAGCCTCAAGTTGAGATTCGGATGTGATGGAAATCTCATGGAAGAGTAGTGGGAGGGCAACGCTTCGCATTCTGCCAGACAGCATCGAAAAGGCTGCCACATCCCGGTTGTCGTTGACGAAGTCTTTGGTACTATGGCGAATTGGAAGATATGTTGCTATCTCATACAACAATTCGTTGGGGAGAGAAGAGATAGGACAGCGTGCGGATCGGCGGTGGAGAGTAAACATCTTGATAAGCACCACTTGTGAGTGTACCTATTACGTCAAACTTGTCGAGGTGGAAGAGCGGATGGACTCGGCATGAGGTGAAAGGGCCAGGCTCATAAGTACTTGCCATACACCGCGACCGATGGTGACGGTGAACGGTAAAGTAGTAGGACCGTCCAAGTTCAAACTTCAAACGTATTGTTCGGAGTGTTTTGTTGATGCGGTTCATCCCCGATCAACTGGACACATCGCATCATGACTAAAACTGAACTTGTCAGCGCGATTCTCGGTCTCTCCTTAGTACAAGATGTTACAGCTGTTGGCGGACCTGAGTGGGAAAATGAAAGCGAGGGTCATGTCCAAATTCGGAACTACCATCTGACAACTAAATTATAAGGAACACACGTGAAACGCAATGCTTTGAAACCGGCAAGAGTCGGCACCCTTATTAGGAAGGCGCCTTTCCGCTTTTAGAATTGAGTATTTTGTGGCTAAAATGCGTCGGATCTAACGTTTCTACATTGACATAGTAGTGCGATATACATATACTCTTTGAACGCGATGCGACCGGTCGGAAAAGGGAAACGGGATGCCGGGCGGTGCACAAGAACGGGCAATCCGCATCCTCGTGCAAGGCCTAAACGATCGAGAAATGGCGATCCTTGCTGAGTTCCCCTGTGAGAGTTACTCCTCTAATGAAGAGGACCTTCTGAGGGAGAGCCGAGCTTGGTGGCTTGTGACTTCATCGCTGGCATCGCCGACTGTCGAGTTTGGCGATTCGCGAGGGAGCTGGACGACATCAAACTCTGTCGCATTCCCCACGGTTGTTCCGATGAAGATGGGGTGCTGGGGGGTGATACCCACGTCATTGTGCGTGAATACAAGGAAGTATGCCCACGACGAAGCTTCGTCGGCGGGAGCCAGGTCCTGATGGACATCCCATTGTAAAGTCCCATTGACTACCGAAGCTGGAAGCCCTGTCGGTATCCAGTCAAGCGATAAAATTCGTGGTGGGGGTGTTAACGATTCCAATGAAAGCGACATCTGGCCCAGATATACGTTCATCTCCTGCGCAGGAACGGCATCCCCAACAGCAGAGACCTCTATTCCTATCTCGACGTCTACATAAAGCCCTGAAGCGTCAACTTCTTCGATGACCAAAACACTCCTCGATTCCTCCCATCCGTTTGACAACGCAATGAGATCGACAGTCGTCAGAGGCACACAGGAGTTCTGACCGGACAGCCTAGCAAAAGGCTTCACCACATACACGGCGGTACTCTTGCTAACCGTCCGATAGTTGTAACGACGGTTAGGAAGCAATGTTACCTTTTCAACAGGTATCATGAACGTTTTTGGAAGATCCTCATCGGGAATGGGGATGGAATCTTTGGTGACTGTGATGTTCAGGGAAGACCCGCCAAGCCAGGCATCATCAAAACAGAGCGAGGGCTTCGCCAAGTGAGAGCGGCAAAGCACCAAATCTGAATGGTCCCCATCTTGTGATTCAACCAACAGTGCGATCGTTGGCCACACGAGGCTTCCGAGGGAGGTTTGCTTGTCCAAATCCGTCCAGCCCCGAGATGATATAAAATGCTTCTCTCCTTCGACGAAAAATACATTCCCTACTCCTGGACTGAATGTTGTGTGGAACGGTAAGACATCGGGCGGGGGAGGGGGAGAGGCGATGAAGAACGAGGCGAGCGGCACAGATTGCACCTCATCCGAGTATGCTCCAGGAACGAGCTGGCTCTTCTCCTGATCTTGGCTGGAACGAGTGGCGTTAAAATCGTGGTTCCTAGCCGGTGCGCCGAGCCATAGGAGATTATCATGTTCCCACCATGCTTGCCAAGTCCAGTCTGGCTCATCCTCCTGGGATTCCCACGACCAAGCTTGTGCGAAGATCGCTGCACTCAGCCGGGAGACCTTTGGGTCGATGCATTGAAGCGCCTTGTACGCGCCGAAGCCACCCCCACCATACGAGCCTCGGCCCCACATATCAACACCGCAAAAAATATCGCTGTATGTTTTCAACGGTTCAGATGAATCACCATTTTCTAATATATCTTTTAGGAACTCCGCTGATTCTTGAGGGAAATGAGTCGGCCACTTGTCACGTATCGTAATGAGGACCTTCCAAAACGAAAAAAGGTAAGAGCACCTTACAGTGTAATTCGTGAATATCGAGGAAGCAGCGTCGAAGAATGGAAAGTTCTTCTCATTTAATTGATTTTGCCATTCCAATTCGCCGGTCGTGACGATACTATCATACCTAGATCACGGCTCACTGAGAACCCACCTCAAGTGAAATTGAACGTTACTTGCCATATTAGCTGGGCGTGAGATCCAAGCTCATCGGTCAAAGTTTTTCGTAGTGTAGAAATCCACTCAATGAGAAGTGGGATGTTCGTCTCTGCGTCTGGTACCTCGCATTCAATATTCAGTAGATAGCCATCAAAGTTCCGTTCTTTAGCCAGTGAAACAAGTTTTTCAATAGAACTTCTGTTAATACCGTGACCATCCCCCCTGAAGTATTGCAGCAGATCGGGGATGGATTTCTTGTGCTCAAGGATCCTAAAGAAGCAGAGCTTCAACGAAATAAGAGGGAACCGGAAGGGCCGGATATTCACAAGGTCCCAAGTATTTTGACCCCATGCCGGTGTGCAGCGTTAACCCAACCGATTGGAGGAGGGGCAACCTGGTTGTGTGAAAAACTGATGGAACATGAGCAACGAATAAATTCCTAAGAGATAACTCACTATATAAACGTGTCACAGACTTTCCAGAAGTTGAATGTATAGTGAATACGGAGAGGATCTTCTTGCTCTGTGTATCCGCCCTATGTGAAGACCATGGTCATCATGACGATTTTCGTTTGCCAATAGGCTTAGGAAGCCTATAATTCACTTTGTAGTCGTGGCAGACCTGAGGAGCATTATCCTGATTTGCGCAAGCCAATGACTCTCAATGAAACGGATCACTCAACCAATAACTTTCCGGCGGATTCGGAGTGTGCGGGAGCGCGAGGAGAAAAAGGGAGTACACCCTCCACGGGGCGGTACGCTTCAGGATCATACGCAATGAAAGCTTCGTGGCTAGTGAAGTAAAGAGGTGGAGATGGGAGCTCGTCGTCGTCTTCGTGATCGAGAGCGGCCATCTTGGTGTCAGGCCGTGGGAAAATAAATGAATCACATGTGTCCGAGGTCCGTTCCTCACTATGTAGTTGTGCTACGCTGCTCGCTGTTCCTGTCCCATCCAAAGCAAGGGTTACGCTCAGCGGGCTATGCGCCACTACGGTGCTTTTGCGCTCAAGGGAGAGAACTGGAAGCTGAGATCACTGTTGGAGCTGCTGAGATCCTCATATCGAACTCGGCGTATGATCCGGGCCAAAATTCAAGGAACTATGTAACAAGGAATTAGGCAGAGTGACATCCACGAAATCAAAAAAGCGAATCGATAGAGCACTAGTGAGCCATTTTGATTTTAACATGGGGTTAAAATGTAGCCATAATATTGATTAATCGTTGGAGTGATCCAACAAGGAGGGCTGGTATTGCGTGTGGTGACGCACATCCAGTGTCAAGTGGAGACGACACAAGGGCCAGCCATTGAATATGGAAGCTCAACCGCGGCTAGGTTAGGGCAAGTGTTGGAAATGAGTAACGTCCCTAGTCGCCTCCCTAGATTTTACATGGCTGGGGATTACGATTACTGAGATATTTTCTGCAAATGGGGTAGAGTCACAGAGTGTCTGATTCGATGTAAGGATTGTAAGCGTCCTGCAAAGCATAGTCAAAACGGTGTGGTCGTGGTATATTGTCCCATGGGACTTTGAAGGGAATGACCGTGGGGCATATAGATGCCGTTGCAAAGGTTGAAATGGCGAACAAAGTGGAAGGATTCAGAACAGAGCGCGCATACGCAGGACCCCAGCCTCTATAGTGGAATATCGAAAAGAGCGCATTCGATTCGAACTCCCGCGGCGCTTGAACCGTGTGAATGCTCACGTGCCGTCATCTCAGCGCCAAAAGAGTTCCAGTCTTTTGTTCCACTTGTGGTCTGCATCCCTGTTCGTCATGAGTTACGGCGGTGGTTACAGGGGCCGCAGAAGTGGTAAGGAAATATAGCGTTTAGTTGTGGCATAGCATTTATTGCGTTCAATCAGGTCACTACGATTCCCGTCGTGATGACCGCCGACCCCCAGAGACTGAGAGCCAAAAGCTACGAAATTTAATTCTGAAGTTCGGTGAAGGCTCTGTAAGTTTCTTATAAGAAGCAAACGTTGCTAAGTGTGATGAGCATCATTATAGGAGTTTCACCCTTCATCTGAGCTGCCTGTCATTGCCCAGGCACTACGGGCAGGATTTGCTCAGAATGCTCCGGGGATTGTAGAAGGATTTCGAATGGCGTAGGTAAATGTTCAATCACCCTATTTGCCTTACTCACTGGGATCCTCCAGCATAATCGAGCAACCTTACAAGACCCTTTACCTGGCCGCATTACTTACTCTCCTGTCGTCTAAGTCTACTGCTCAGACTGAAGGGTCAAATTCTGACCCCGCGCAGGTGGTTTTCGATGAATTATGCAAGTCTTTTCAAACAACTCTTGATAAACTTGAGTGGAGACAAATTCGTCTATATGTAGGTCTTTGGGTTGAACTCGAGTGAACAAAATCTGACAGTACATCGCAGACACACTTCTTCGCATGTCTTACGCTTTCCAAGGCGGTCTCGCCTTCTTCTTTTCTCGACCTGCTCCAGTCGTTTCTCGTCGTACTCGACGAGCCTGGTGTTTCGTACGAACGTTTGCACGCTGCAGCGGCCTGCGCCGGTGAAGGTCTTATGAGGGTACATGTCCCTTCTCTTCTAAGCCATCCCATGAGGTAGCGCTCACTGTCCGCCAACGAATTGTTGTGTCCTAGGCGGGCCCTGCCCTTTACTCCTTCAACCCGATAGCAGTAGATGCCATCATATCTACCATCAACAGCTCTGGGGAACCACATGCCCCCCAACGGACTATAAGTCGCCCCATACTGGACCCAAATCCTCTTGTTCTCCCTGAGGCAGACGTGGTCAGTCCGCTCTCTGGCCGTGGTGACTACATCTGAACGTGTTCCGTGCAGTATCTCACATCTCTTGTTGGTGCTCTAACATCTTTGCGCGACAAATCCTTTGAAGCACTACCAGAATGTTTACCGCAACCTCACACACTCTTCCCCGAGCCCACGAAACTCCTTGACATTCCTCCTTCCTTGGTGCCTCCTGAAGAGATTGATTTTGATCGTGCAGTAGATGAAGAACTTAAACGGAAAGAGCTTATGCCCGCAATCAGTATTCGGATGTTCGGAAATGACGTTCGTTCTGTCATGCCTTATTCTCCTCACATTGGACTCACCATGGCATTAGGTCACACCGGATCCATCGTCTCCAGCCGGATTCATGATCCGCTCCGGTCTTTCAGATGTCATCAACATTTTCGAAGTCAATAGGAAGGAATGCGCCCGGATTTTGTTGGAAATGCCGCGTTGGTTTGTATGGGGCACTTTTAGAGGGAAATCTAGTGCTGGCCCTACACCGGAAGATGAGCTGCCCTCCTCGATGAACTGGGTGCTTGAGAATACGGCACTGGAGGTAATGAGATTGTAATTTTTGCACATTGGTGGACCTAAATCATTTGTGCAGGTAATTTTGTCCGAGCTTACCTTACTGCCTCTTCCCCCCAAACGATAGTTTACTACTTTGCACTGGTCACGGATCTGTGCAAACTGTCCCCACAAACTGTCGGCCCCGCCGTAGGCAAGTCCTTCAGGAAATTGTACGCTTTTCTGGGTAATGGGCTGGACGTGGAGATATCGAGGCGTTACTGCGAATGGTTCGCAATGCACATGAGTAACTTTGGCTTCAACTGGGTTTGGAAAGAATGGTAAGTGTGTCTTCCTGCGGCCCACAATTTCTTTACTTCTCCGCAATTTCCCAGGATTCCGGACCTAGAACTGCCTTTGTATCATCCTAAGCGCGTGTTTATCCGTCGCGTCATCGCTTTGGAAATTCGTCTGGCGTATTACGACCGAATCCTCAAAACCCTCCCTGAACCCTTTACAACTCTTGAAGCCAGATGCATTCCAGACGAGGCCCCTGGACCTGAGTTTGAATACGAGAACCAACGTAAGCAGTTTTCTCCTAATGTATCCCACTTTCTGGCTCAAGTATCTTGTTTAGAGCATCCGTACTACGAGCCTGCGCAGTCACTGTTGAACCTGATACGCGGTCGCTCACAGATCGAAGAAGTCGTTCAGTTCGCAGAGTCGATGCGATCCAATCTCTCGGAAACCGTTACACTGGCGGATGGCGCGACGTCGGACTCTGTCGTCCGTTCCATCACAATGCAAATCCTCCTCCATGTCGGCTCCCGATCGTTTTCCCATTTCTTGAATGCGATTGAAAGATACCTTCCACTGCTGCGTTCGCTAGGCTCTGACCCCCAGGATAAGCTCGATTTTTTGAATGCAGCTGCTTCGTTCTGGCACAGAAATGGCCAGATGATTGGCATTGTGTTCGATAAGCTTATGCAATATCAGATTGTGGACCCCACCGACATTATTGGATGGTGTTTTGACAATGCGGAGCGGAGGAAAAGGGACGATGACGGTACGGGTTCACCAGGAACGCTCTCCTTCCGAGAATGGGATTTGGTGAAGGCCGCGCTTGACAAGGCCATCGGTCGAGTTGCGATTGCACAAAACCGCGTGCAGCTACTGCGCAAGGAGGAAGAGGAAGCGAAGGCGAAACTAACTGCTGGACAGACCCGCGTAGATGATGATGGCATGGAAGTTGATACAAACGGGGTTGGTCGAGGTTCGTAGACTGCAATTGTCGTCCCCTCGAGGCAGGCATTTGTTAACTCATTGCTGGCAGGAGATATGGAAGAACGCCATAAAGCTGTTTTCGAGAATCTCAACACTGCCCTTAAAGCGCGCTCAATTCTCACGCGTGAGCAGAAGGCAGCTCTCGCTCGCATCCTTGATGGTTTCGTTTCGTCGCTTGTGCTGCAGGCCACTGTGGGTCAACTGGACACGCTAAAACCAGGTCATTGGGATCTCCGAGAACAATGGACACAGGCGCAATGGCAGTACTGGGAGACATTTGGGTGGTATCGCCATTTTTGCAGAAACGTAGGTGGAAACAACACCGCATGCGAGTCTCGAGTGATTCTCTAATTCTTTTTGTTCCAGTACCTTGCTCAGCTCAAGTCGTACACTGTCACTCTTGAGTCCGGTCCTCTTGCAAAAGCAACAGTGACCGGAGACCGGGCTGCTGCAGGCACCCTTATGATGAGCGTCTGGAATGTCGCTCTCGGCCGGGGCCATTCATGATTTATTCTGGGACAATGCTGCTACATCTGTATACAAGTGTATACACATAAAATACACCAAGGATGCTGTAAATTCGGCCAACTCCACTAAAGGATTTTGAGGGCATCGGACTGAACATGCATAGCGCACGGTCCCGCTCTAAGCGCCCTTAGTATGTTGAAGTTGTGAGGTTAGGGTGTGAAGAGGGGTGAAAGGAAGAACAAGAAAACCATGCACGATGCTGGTGTCATATCATGCACAAGATTCTTCCCTTTCACATTCTTTCAAACTAATTCGTACAGGATCGATGCCAGAAACAACAAACAGAACTTCTATACAGAAAAACTTAAACATTGGCAAGGGGGTTGTAAACATTCGAGTAAATGGCCAACTGCGCTCCGAGCCATACCCTGGACCAGTCCGAAAGCATCCATAAACACTCAGGATGATAGCTTCATCGAGCATCGAACCATGGTGACCTTAGCAAATGCCCAGTAGCCTTACCTGCGCCACACAGCCCTCAAGCCAACCAAAGAGCAACACTGGGCAATGCCTTTGCACTCGAGTTCCCGCCTACGCCAGCGTCCAACAGTACATCACTGATGATCTTGAAGCTTCCTCTTTTTCCGCTCCATTCAACAATGAGGATCAATCCTTGCTCGCCATCCGTAAGGACCATCCATTCCGCATCGGCAATCCCCCCCGGCGTCGCGCAACTGGAAATCTCATATGGCGCCAGTTCAATCGCGTTGGCCTGCCCACCCGAAGTGGGCGTTTGAAACGTGCTGGCAGGGAAGATGATATTTTCATTCCTTGTCATCTTTTCTTTCGAGGGATCCAGTGAATGTAGTGGCAAGGACGAATGGGGGGTTTGATCAGAGGGGTTTACGATGAGTCCATCCGAAGATATGGCGAACGCGGCGATGTATCCTTTGTACTCCGTTGTCGTACCGCGGGTTGTGGCGAAGAGATAAGTCAATGGCCCGTGCCCCTCGTGTTTATTCTCTCTTGGGGTGTGGGGACGAAGATGAAGATGTTTTCGAGATAGACGTACAGTGTCACCTCTGTAATTGCCTCGATCCAGGCCTTAGGAAGAAGGTTAGGGTGGGTGGGGGGAACGAAGAGATAGAATAGAGCACCTGGAGGGAGGATACTCGCTGATTGACGGTGCTCGAGATGATCATTCATTATCTCGTACACGTCCACGAATGAAGCTGGCGATGATCATAAGTATGCACTCGTTCAGTGAGAAAACGTTTTGACTACCCACTGTTTTCGGTGGCCTGTACATACAATCAGTCCCGCCGAAAACATCGATAGTGGAGACAACTCACGCAATACAGATATTTTTCATTTGGAGACGGGAGGACGTGCCTGGGAGCGTCTCCCTCGCGGAATGACTTATTTTCGCTCAGAAACACCAGCTTCCCCGATGATCGATCCAACTTGTACATCCATATTGAGTTACGACCGCTGTTTTTTTACATCAGCTGGAAAGTTAATAAGAATGAAGTCGAGTGACGCACAGATTCGCAGCGAAAGCAAAGCCCGTGGTAGTAAGCTCTATTGAGTGCGTACCGTTCCTCTATCCATGGAGTCTCAGTGTCTTTTATTCTACCCTTTACGGACTCCATAACTCACTATACCGCTCCTAGTCTTATCCACGAATGGAAGCTGGTCAGCATCAACGTACAGTAGTTGCTGTATCTGTTGCCCAAATCCACCATTCGCAGGGTCTATCTTGTGAACTGCTCCCGTTGGCCCTCCAACAGAGTAGATGTACGAACTGGTCAAGGCAATATACGCAGGCGTCGAAGCTGCGGTTCATTCAGTGACGCCATCTCTGTCCGGATTCATGTTGGGCAAACTTGAACTTACTCGTATTCACAGTGTCAAGATGTTCCAATGTTGGGTATCGTCCGTACGCATCCCATTCCCTCCAGTTTATGTACCACGAAACTAAAGTGGGCGGCTGTGCGAACGACGTTGTGTACAGTCTATCAATTGGGGCGTTCTTTGCGAGGTATGAGTGTGGCCCGAAGACGCCTGTCCTCCCTGTGACATTCAGTTGACGGGTCTGTATGTTGAATGCTAGAGTATACAGAAATATAACATTAAACGAGCCTGCGGCCAAGTGCAGAGGTGGGACATAAGCATCACAAAAAGTTCGCATGGTCACAACATGGAGACACTGGGCATACCAGAAATCAGATACAGCGTATTCGGCAGCTTCGCGCAGGTCTCGGAAACGACACTCAACACGCTTGGCGCGCAATCAAGGGCGCGAATGAGACAGGGTGTCATGGACGCCAAACCCTCACGGCGGCGAACAAGACCTCAACGCAACCCCATTCCCGTGGTACCCACATAAATACCCGTATCGTTTACCCTTAGAATGTAGAGTTAAGGGACCTAAATTATCCGTTGAGTCTAAATGGCTGAGTGAATGAGCGAATTTGGCAAACACAGCCACAGTCTAAGGCTCAGTTCGTGCATGCTAATATAACTGTACATAGTGTGAAAAAAGAGGGAGGTCAAGTAAACTAAAGGGGAGTGTTCACCATGCGGGCTTTGTTATCTACTTTTGTCATTGAGGTTCCGAATGACAAAGCTTGCGGCCACTTCCCACGGAAAGGAGAATCCAACCCGCTTTGTAAATAAATGCGTTCGCAAGCTCAGCCAACAATGTCACAGAGACTGGAGTCCTGCCTACTCGCACGGAGTATGCTGGGGACCACTGTGTAGCCCTACTTACCAGCTGCACACTATACAATGACCCGCATTACCATCGGACGCCCACGTCGTTCACGGTGACGGTTCCTCCAACTCCATTTCACCGCATGTACTATAGAGTCCCGAGCGTAATGCCCGGATTCAATTTCAGAGGACATCTTCATCCCCGTTGGCGCATTGTTGACGCGTTCTCAATGAAAAAGGAGAATCTCTAGGATTGGTGTAGTTCCAGGCATCTCTATTGCATGTCGCTTCAGAATCGCATGGATAAATGAGAACATTGCCAAAGCAGGCCATTGGATGCCGCAGTATCTCAGTGGATTGCGCGCCTCACTACGGCTGTTCTGGAGCGCCCGGCTGTTTGGACCCTCTGCGATCGTGGTCTGCAGACCTTACGTCCACGGTCTCTCAAGAACATCCAATGCAGTGTTTAATATCACGGCTGACTCTATACGGAGGTCGCTGGCTCTTCCTCGCGTCTTCGAAGGGGACGCTAGAGCTCTGGGATATCTACCGTCGTCCGCCACTTGATCCCGTTTCTGTGGGCGGATAGGGTGTGCTCGGGGCTTGTTCATTCTCTTCGAACTGACGTCGATAAGCCTATTCTTGTCTTTTCCTACAGGTGACGCCCGTTCTATCCCATCGCTGTGATGTTCCTACGTTTGATATCAGCAATCACAGGTCTTAGCTACTAGAATGTGCATTAGGCGGTCATTCCACGCTCACTCACCTGAGGACATACGAAGTTGCTTCTGTACGCAATGATTTTACTTTCGTCGCTACCTCAGTTCAACCAGAAGTGTTGACGCTCGCTAGAATAGATAGTGTAACTTACGCTCGCAATTCCAAAGTCGATGATGTCGCTGCAAGCATTGCAAGTTTCCCCGATGGTATGAACTCTGAGATATTGTTGTGGCCACGTTTGAAGATCGCAGTTTCTACGGAATCTGATATCGTTGCCTTCAAATGCTCCACCATCTACATATACGGAGTTGATGGGTTGGACTCTCCATCAGCCCCTAAAAAGTCATAGAGCTCAAGCTCGAGCTCGATCCTACCCTCTTCCGAATCCAACCATGGATCAGCGCAGACTCAATCGTCTAATTGGTCGCGACGCGGTTCAAAGTTTCCTGCTCTTCCCTGCCAGCTGAACACGGGGATGAGACTAGCTTGATAGCCCTAACCAGTTCCGATGCAGAGGTGCATATTCGGCCTGACGTGGAGCAGTGTGGGTTTGTAATCTCGTAGTTGCTTCAAGCAACAGAAGCTGTGTCTTCTCAGGCAATAGATTTCCTCATAACCAAGAATCGTCGCCTGCTCGGCAGAAGAGGACCGACTCTGTGAACCTCGGGTGCTGTGAGCGCTCCCTGGACCTGACTGCCAGGACTGCAATTGGCACTAGTATAGACTCGTCTCGGGGGAACGTAAGGCTCGTCGATTTTGGGTAGGCAATAATCGTCGCTGGTTTCGTCGCTGTTCTCATTAAGTTTGCGTATTGCAGACTATCAGGGGAGAACTCAGTGTTTGTCAACGAGAAAGCGAATATTATTACAGAAGAACCCCATTAGTTGCAGCTTTACGTTCATATCTAAGACTCTGGGACTTCCTCCCTATTTCCGCCGGCGCGCGACATCGAGTAAGCACGTATCATGCTTTCATCATGACTATTGCTAACTCTGAATGGGTGCATGAGTGATGAAGAGCTGTGAGTTGAGTTGTTATCTCATCTAGCATTACAAATATTGACGTACTTTTCAGTCCTTCCTGCCGCCAGTCCCTTCAGGTTGGCGCCCACATTCAGGTATCCTTGGGCTACCGTCGGATAGGCGGTGAGTAACGGGACTTCGTCTGTGCCGCAAGAGTTCGTTCCCAGAGGCTGGCCAAGACATCGGTCTACGAGACTTTGTCGCTGAGTTCTTTGGACGTACCCACTTTGAAAATTTTGATGTTTATAAACTCCCCTTTGAAGCCTTGTTCAGGGTGGATGGGGTGGCTCTATTTTGCGTTGGGTCTATGCTCTGTCAGTGCTTATGGGATCCAAATCCCGCTTCCGATTGCTGGTTTCCTGGCTACTGGACGCTTCCAGCTTCCTCGGCGAGCTCAGAAGCGAAGGCCTTCCTGCTGCCATTCACTTTGGTAACTTTGACCATGACGAATATTACTTCCAGGAACAATTTGCCAGGCGGTACATTGTAGGGAGGTTGGGGCCATTGATGCGTTTGGATATGGTTACGATGACGTTTTCAGTGAAGCACATCTGCTCACTGGGAATTCCACGGATACCTTTCCAATGGTTTTAGGAGGCATACATCACTGTTATCATCCGCATGTGTTTTGCTCCTGGTTATCCAGACTAGAACGCTCGCGTTAAACAATGAGGACAGCACATGCTGTAGATGTATGATGCAAAGCAGGGCGAGCATTTTAGTCGGCCTGGGTGTCGTTTCAATTCTCGCCTTCACGTTCCTCCTTCACACGGTTGGCCCAGGAAGCGGCGACAGGACCTCTGCCCCTGTCCGGAGCATCCTTCCACGTATACTTGGGCGTCACTAGCACTTCCCTCCACTCAGCATGAACGGCACTTCGGTAGTCCATGATATGAGGGAACCGAATATGTGGGGGAAATGGCTGATTCTCCTTCATGATGACGCTGGAATGGTTTATTCTGATCGCTGAAGCGACTGTTCCCCGTACATCTCTCCCTGAGCCAACTTCAGATGGGCAATATTCATATCCGACGGTGTCTGCTCCGTCTTCGCTACTGCATTATATTGTTTGTCGCTTGGACTCATAAACCCACCTAACTCGACGCATCAATACTTCCAAGTGTGTATTATTAGAGCAACTTTATCTTAACATTATGGGTGCCCCAACCAGGTGAGCACCTGTCGCGTTACTCATTGCGCGTATAAGATCCCTTTTTCGCCGCCCAAGTGACTACTCGGTTTACTTATATTAGGGTTTCATCCGTAGCGATAAGAAGCATGATCAATTGATGTATGTATCTCAACAGTATGCCAAGTTCGAGCTAGAAACCATCATTGCTCTTGAGATGACGATCAAAGCGGACGGAGGACCATGGATAGTTCGGACTGAGCTTTTTATATCATGCGCGCAGGAAGCTCGTCAGCGGGAATCGCCGTCCTGTTGGTTTATTTTCACGGGAACCTGAAAGAGTATCGGGAAACATATGCTGACATCAAGGAGTCTTCCATACATGCCAACCACCCGATCAATACATGCAGAGCGGATCTATCTTCAAAACTTTCTAACCTGTCCAGCAGTGAATCCAAGCGTCCCTAACACGCCTCGTACTGGGCCTGATGTGAGATCTCGCACGCGGGGACCAGCGATAGCATTTATCATCCTGGGGTAGGTTCATAAGAATGTCGCGATGATGCATGCAAACTCAGAAAGTGACTGCAGGTACGGTTCTGGACCACAGACTAGGAACAGTACTCTGTCGGGAGGGTGAAGTGGCGTGAGAGGGGCACGACAAGTATGAGAAGAGATTTAGCCAAGAAAGGTGTGAACTTTGAGACAGCAATGGGCGGTCCCAAAGGTCCAATGTAGCACTAATGTCCTGCTTTGTTATCCCGCCGATATGTAAAGGCTTGAATGAGGCATCAGTGTATGCAGGAGAGGATGGATGCAGACTATCGACGAAGACTTTGAGGGTAAAAGCACCTGGATGAGACTGTTCAACAGATCGGAGTGTTGAGAAAATAATAATTGGTGGGGGCTCTGCAGGATCAGGGAATAATGAAGCATGGTGATGCGTGGCTTGGTCATCGCTTTACCCGAACACCCTGCAGAAAGAGGTTAAGCAGCTGGAAGAACGGCGTGATGCCTGTTCCGCCAAAGATCTATGTAGCATGAAATTCACGGCGTGGCCAGCCTCAGACATCAACTGTAGGCGAGAAAAGGCGCCCAGAAAACCATTTTACTATTATTTTCTACCCCAAACAATGGAGTATGCGGCCGTTCTATCTGAAGATCGTCGTCTTTAATGTAGATCAAATATTATATATTGACTAACAGTCCTCAGGAACCGAAGCTTTCGGGATGGAGAGAGTAATGAGTTTGGTGGCAGGGCCGCCCCCCCTAGACTCGATTATGGCCGCAGGGATAAAGTGCTGGGATGAAAGTGGGGTCAGCCGGAATGATCGCGATTCGCATGACTCCATAGAGGGTTGGTGAATGAAGTATACGAGATAAAGACAAAGACGGCAGAGGGCACTCCTATAGTTATAGTGTGATGGGAGACGTGCCGCACTACACATGTGGGACATCGCGCACACGGCAGTTAGAGCCTTTTTGCCGAAGTGTTATGGCAAGTTCCGCAATGTACGTCGGGATCATGTGAATTTCTCAACAAATGTCGGAAAACCCGGAATTTCATTTTAACGCGTTAAGAGGCTCCCAACGCGTCTCAACGCCTTATTAGTCCGTTCCAACGCTCAATGCAAAAATCAAATTGTAAATACTCAAACACACTATAACGTTATAGGATGCCTATATAGGCACAATGCTATATATGAACATGTTATATGGTTCATTATTACCATCGCACTCCGACTCAGGTAAATTATCGTGAAATATATATATTATATCGGTGGATGGCACCCCTTCAAGCGGAAATGTTGCTGAAGGAGAGAATCAATCACCTCACCCCCCACATCGCCCCTAACCCAGACGCCCGTGGATCCGAAGTCTGGAGATTGGGTGGTGTGGTTCAAAGTCGGACAAGATGGGTGTTGGAGAAGATGACAGTGAAGCGAGATCGAACAAAGATCTTGAAGGTCAGGTCCAGCAGGCAAAGTGTCTGCAAAAAAAAACATGAATAAGGATGCCGGTGTGGGCAAAGCACATACTGTGGTGTGCCTCGGCACAGGCGCAAATTGTTGTGCTGGCGAACACCTGAAATGAAAGAGGCATACCACGGCCCTTTTAATCTTTCTATAGCATCACAAAGATGCTGTCGGTCCTCTTCCATCAAGCGCTGCCTCACTTGATCCTGGGTTTGACTAACACGACAGGCAGTTGTTCCGTCAATTCAATGGTATAAGCGCCGGAATCAAGTGGATCCAAATCAGACAAGTCTCAGAGTCAACCAACCCGCTGCAATGGTATATTGGAATATTATAATATGGGAATACTCCGCCAACTTGAGATTTTGTGAAGCAATGAGCCAGAAACAATTTTATTTGGCGTGTCCTTCCACTTTTGTAATTCAGGACTTGTTTCCCTGAGCGGGCAAAGCCAATGTGGGAATGTCAGCATCTCCCGCGGGGCCGCTGATGCGTTGACTCTTGCGAACAGGTCCCTTAGTCTGGCTCTTCCGTGCTCCACGCTTCCTCCTCTGCTGGGCCTGTGGAACCAGCAAGACACCACTTGGCGTGACACTTTCCTCAGCTGTCACTGTGTCCGCACCTGAAGTGGTTGCAGCAGGGCCTATAGGTAGTTCCGCAGCTGAGAATGTAGCTACATCCCCAGTGGCATGGCTGCCATTGGACAATTGCCCCCCAACCTGATGTTGCGCATGGGGAAGCATATCTGGATTCTGAGCCTTACGCGATGATTCAGCCTGTCTCATCGTAGCTGCTAATATAATAGACTGAGCTCGGCATTTAATTCTGTTTCTTTTGTCATCACAACAGCCTTGAATTGCTCAAAAAATTCATGTTCTGCCGAAAAGTCGAATTCACTGTCTAAGTCCGCTTGCAGACTCGTACCCAGTCGGAGGAGCTCCGTGGACGCGCAAAATAATAGCTTTTTTACGCAATGTAAATAAACGTTCTCACACTGGTACTCGACTGCTTCCGATGCTAGTCACGTTCTGTACTCAATACAAAAGATCACATGGTACGGAGTTAAACAAATATCCGATCACCTACTCCGAAACTTAGCCCGCGACACTTCGCTCCTCCGACTGGGGCAAAATGTAGGTGGCGATGCATCGGAAACACCCGACTCTCACGCTAAGCCTGAATGAGTTGTACATAGAGGTTGCGCAATGTAATTGTTAGTGTTGACACATGCGGTCATTATACCCAACCCAACCCATAGAGACTTGGGAGCACCTTGAGGGTTGTGAAATCGACAACCCAGGCATGTGCGGAAATTGACTCTTCATATAATACTTCTATAGCAATTTGCAGTTGGTGCTTTGTAGTGAAGCGGTACAAGCGTGAGCTGAGGCTATGCAGCCTTTTTTGGCTGCGGGTGTTCGATTCCCACTCAGTGAACCTTTTTTTATGGTCTCAGGAATAATTGTAACAACCTCCTATTTACACTAAGGAGTAAAGAAGGGAAAAAAAAAGGTTTACTGAGTGGGAATCGAACACCCGCAGCCAAAAAAGGCTGCATAGCCTCAGCTCACGCTTGTACCGCTTCACTACAAAGCACCAACTGCAAATTGCTATAGAAGTATTATATGAAGAGTCAATTTCCGCACATGCCTGGGTTGTCGATTTCACAACCCTCAAGGTGTTCCCAAGTCTCTATGGGTTGGGTTGGGTATAATGACCGCATGTGTCAACACTAACAATTACATTGCGCAACCTCTACAGTCATTCACATGCCAATGGTTCACACCCTCAATGGTTCATTTGCATGTAACATCCTTATTTCACCCCAGGATTTTTTTATTTTTTGCACACTTGTATGTTATAACTATGGCTATGACTACGCAAAAATTTGACCAAATCAGACATAAAATGAAGGAGTAATAGCAGTTGTTCAACGAGTTAATGGTGCACACAAAAGTTATGCATCTTGCACTCTCCAGGAACATGGCTATGACACCCCAGTGTGTCCTACAGCTTGGTGTATTACCAAGGAACAGAAGGCCACTGGCGCATGTGCCCATGTTTGTTTGTTGTGGTGAACAAGCACTTGTCAGACTTGGGTATACTTACATCTGAGTTTCCAAATTCAGTGCCTCAAATTTATTCCTTTCTGTGCCTGCTGCTTTCACCAGTATCAGTAATCACTCCCTTAGAATGCACAAGCAAAAAGCAGCTCAAGCAGTGGAGCAAATATTCTGCAAACCCTTGCTTCATGCCATATTACTGAATTATCGGTTCATTGTGTGAACTAATTGTCACACCATGTCACACTGAACCATTGAGCCGGGAAAGCACCATTTCCTTGTCTGCTTTTATTCTCGTTCATTTTTCATCCATTTCTTTATATCTCTCGGTAATATGTACATACCCAGCCTGGCTACTATCTATCATAAAATTTTTGTATTTGGTTTTGATCCAATGTCATAGTCTCAAAATTACAAAATGTGAACCATTGGCCCGTGAATGACTGTATGTACAACTCATTCAGGCTTAGTGTGAGTGTTACAGGAATGGGTTCCGGGGAACCCAACCTGAGCCGTTCGGCTCACTAATGGAGGTGGCTGTGTAGCCATCGGAGGGAGAGCAGAATAGGATGAGGGTATGGGAGTACAACCTGTGTGTCGGCCAACGGTAACTTGGCGCTCCTGGGAGCGTACCGGTAGCAAGTATGATGTGGGCTCCTTGAGGGAGCCACCTGGTTGTCTGCTAACGGGGACTTGGCGCTCCTGGGAGCGTGCTGGTAGCGGGTGTGCTGGGAGTGTCTGGCTAGCGGTGACTTGGCGCTCAATGGAGCGTACCGGTAGTGAGGGATACTGGGACTCCCAAAGGGAGTCACCCAGTTGGTGGCTATCGGTGACTTGGCGCTCATGGGAGCGTACCGGTAGCGGGAGTTGTTGGGGAAAGCGGGCTGGTGGACCAGTGCACGGTAGTGGGTGACCGTTGAAGGAGCGGAGCTGGATCACCTTATGTAACCAGTTTCCTACGTCCAATAACGATATTAGAGTTTGTGCTGATTTGCGTACTGACCGTGTTTTGGTTGCCAAATATATGATTGTTCACTGTCTAAACAACAATAAACACCCCCCAACGATCTCACCTGATGTATAGATCGTCTATGGATAAAATTCTATATTGACTTTACTATGATTTCTAGTCAATATTACACCTATATTTACCACTTTTCAGTAGGATGTGATTTTCCTGATAATTTACTGAAGGAAAACTGCTAATAAAATAATTCCGCAATAAATGTTACTCAATACAGGAGTGACCAAACTGCTCTTTCTATCGCTTAGAGTGCGTGCTAGTTATCTAGCAGGTTCAGGATCGCTCACTTTTCTCCTGTGGTGTGATAACCAAGTATTGCTGAGAGATTATTCAATTAAGAAGTCCCTCCACCAAATTCTCACTAATTCTCACTATGACACTTTTGTTCAGCTGTGTCTAACTGACCCTAACTCACGCTTAGAGTGACGTGTTAGTTTTATATTAGCTAACAACTAATATTTGCTTTTATCTTTTGGAGCAAACGAACCAACCACTGGTGAGGAGAATTAAACTTTTATTTCTACCTGAGGTTTGAGAGGGGGCAGAAGCGGTGGCCTTTTATGCTTTTCAGAGGCCTCTCTACTCCCACGCCTCGCACTAGTTACATGTGCTACATTTGTATTATAGATAGTTCTAGAATGATATAGGGGGTTGGGCTGTGTAAGCTTAATAATGGACTTAGGACATGACTCAGCAATAAGTAATTCATTTCTTTGTCTTTTGGGCCGATCTCAGCGGGATCTTGTAGCGCTGAAGCTATGCTCTACACCGCCTTAATTACGAACGGTTATCTTTAGAAATGACTCGGCTATAAAGGAACTTTCTAGACTGTTCTCTAATTGACCCCTTTTTGTGAAGCCACATCATTACTAATGTTCTAGAGCCTTCCCAATTAATTAACTGATCCGCGGACTTCTGAATCACTTCATGCTTATGATCCGAGATCCAGATCATCAATCATTCCTTTGTTCCGATTTATTTGGGCTTAAAATCAAAAAGTTTTGATGAATCATGGGAAAATATACAAGATCCGGTTTTTTAGCATTTTCTCCTCTTCTGATGCGATCAAAAACTGTCCGCCCGCGCCGGGGAATACTCTATCATATGGTATTCGGTCCGCCAGACTTCCGGGCGCCAATATATTTCCCTTGAGTCACATTACCTTTTGTAAGAATTAGCAAATAAATATATATGAATTATAAGGTGTTTCGCCGTTTGAGCGATATCTCCGTCAGTTTTGAAGCTTTTAGAATGAAACAAAACCGTGGATAAAGTTAAGAAACAGTCCTTCCAGATGGTAAAAAGATTACAGTCAAAAGTTTACTGGTTCCCGAGATATTTACATTTCTTTCCCAATGTTCCTTCTTATTCTGCCGTCTATGTGCTATTTTCTTGTTGTAGGGATATATTCTTTGAATATTACACCTATGTCAAGTTCTAGGCATGATTGTAGTAGATTAAATCTCATACTACATGGGTGTAGATATTTTATAATGATCTTCTAATGTCTGTCCAGTCTCATAAAGATCATGAGATCTGTTAAACGTCTGAACTTGTCACCTGTTCGTTGACTATTCTGATAGATCATTGTTTTATTCTTTGAATATTATTTCTCCTACACCGTGGGAAGTGGGACCCGCGGGTGCGTGGCCAGGCATCCTGGAGCTGCCTGGACCATATCCTTCTCCTGAGGAGGTGGGATAGGCTACAGTTCCTGATAGGGAACTTCTGGTTGGATGGGAGTAACCACTCGACCACCCGGTGGACTGGTGGGAGTGGACAGCAGGAGGTTGGGCATGGGAATGCCCTCCTCATTGCAGTTTTGTCATGGAGAGGAGGAATAGGGAGGTGGACATGGTTCCAGGGTTACAGGTTGAGTTTACAGTGGTGGCACAATGGTGAGGATGTTACAATCGCGGTACAAGGTTTTTGGGTTATGTATTTGATAATGATCAACGTCCTCGGCATTTGCCTTTGAGGAAATTTGTATCCGGTGCGACTACTGGACTTATCCGGAGCTCCAAATTCTTATGACGTAAACCAGCGTGACTGGACAAATGACATAAAATGGACAAGCCTGGTATCGAACCCAGGACTTCTAGTGTGCATCCATACACTACTCGCCCGTTATGCCAGGGGGGGGTACCCCTTCCCTGATGGTTTGGGAGATCACTTGATCCCTTCCTCCAACACTCGCCCTCAATTTGGGGTGTTAGCCTCCAAATTGATGTACCGTGGCTGTCCACCATGAGGAAATTTGTATCCGGTGTGACTACTGGACTTATCCGGAGCTCCAAATTCTTATGACGTAAACCAGCGTGACTGGACAAATGACATAAAATGGACAAGCCTGGTATCGAACCCAGGACTTCTAGCGTGCATCCATACACTACTCGCCCGTTATGCCAGGGGGGGGTACCGCTTCCCTGATGGTTTGGGAGATCACTTGATCCCTTCCTCCAACAGCCTTTACATGTCATATGACTGGTTTCTATCTAATATCAAAGTCTCAATGGTCAAGGGAAGTCCCTTGAAACTTAACAATTCCCCCAGCCAGCACCAAAACCCAGTGGGAAAGCTTGGCATGGAGTTTGACAGAGAAATATAGTGGAGGGCAGAGACAACCTACCTACTTGCAGTCACGGACCATAAGAATCTAGTCCATCTCTATAACAGTGAGAGTCGGGTGTTTCCGATGCATCGCCACCTACATTTTGCCCCAGTCAGAGGAGCGAAGTGTCGCGGGCTAAGTTTCGGAGTAGGTGATCGGATATTTGTTTAACTCTGTACCATGTGATCTTTTGTATTGAGTACAGAACGTGACTAGCATCGGAAGCAGTCGAGTACCAGTGTGAGAACGTTTATTTACATTGCGTAAAAAAGCTATTATTTTGCGCGTCCACGGAGCTCCTCCGACTGGGTACGAGTCTGGTCTGCTTGCAATGCCAGCGCCTGTTCCGACTTCTCATTCCCACTCGATCTGGAAGCCTGCCCAAATAACCATTCATTCAGCTGAAACATCGTCTCATGAAATGGCCTTGGTTGCTCCTTTGGGTAGTTTTTTTCTGCATCAATGGCCGTGAAAATGCACTTCCTCCAGAAGTGAAATCGGTCTTCATCTTGATGCCAATCCTCAGGGGGAAGCAAAATCCTCCAGGCCTTTGATGGCGTCACCATTAGCAACAACAATAGGAAGATATGAGATAAAATCTCACCGAAACAGCTGTGAGGGCAACGAGTCCGGGCGTAACCTCCCGGATGTTGTAAAGTTTTGCAGTGCAGTTTGCTGCACTGACTTCCCAACAAGACTTGACCAAATTTTTTTCGTCATCCATCTCTGCAATTTTTCCAGCAAAGAGGATCACCGCAAGAGTCTGTAGTTAAGTAATTGTTGGCTCTCAGTTAGATAAGGTCACATCAATTGGCTCACCCGAAGAATGTAAAGAGACCGGAACATCCGGTGCTTTGGTTCGCCCTCTTCCATATGGAGAAGGAGGGGATCAATGGGATACCTTTTACGTCCATCATGCCTTCCACGCAACATAACTGCCCCTTCACAGGAGTGCAGTTCACAGTTGAAATTGGGGCGCCAGAATGGGGAAACCAAAGCGATTTTATCAGGACTATTCATCTGGAACCTGATAGCACGTCGCATTCCTCCAGCTGCCTCACGGATCTTGGTCAGGTCTATTAGTCCGATTCCTCTGTCTGAGGAAATATTACACACTGTTTGGTGGATCACGGGCTCGCTGATCCTGTTCTTGATTGTTCCCGATATTCTGGTCCATCCCAGAAACTCGTGTAAGTGCCCTTCTTGCATGAAAGCACTGTCCCACCGTTTTTCGGGGTCCCAGTGCGAGTCTTCACTCAGGGTTGTCAATAATATGCGTGCTGTTAAGAATGGGTTGACAGTAAGGGCATAGAGATGCATCAAGGCAGCGGCATCTAGTTCTGCTTTTGTTTTCGGACTTTTTGTCTGGCGCATTGGCGTTCTGCCCATCTTCGGAATGCCTTTCATCCTTGCAGTGCTAACAACCTGAGCTTTTAATTGTCTGATCTGCACATCTTTTTCTGCAAGTTCCTTTATTTTTTCTGTCAACCAGGCTGGATGGTGAAAAATGCCAACTAACTTCTTGCATTGTGTGAATGTCCGAGGGCACCTGAAAAGAATCAAATGGTCTTCTTGATTCCAAGTTTGGGTATAGAGGGGGTTCCTCAAATGTGTTCATCGCTGCACAGCTGAAGTAATTGGGGACACAAGAATCCTTCCGATGCCGTGGGATTACTTAAGCAATTATCGAGGCCACAATAGCAATACATGACACAAATGGCATGAGCGCTCGGAAGCCATATGTAGTGGAGGAATGTTACAGTCATGTCAAGGATGTATATGCTATGATAAATACATCTTCATGACAACATATCCTCGCAAAGCCGAGAATGCGTAATAGAGTAGTGGTTATGAATGTACTTACAGTGAGAATCGTGGTGTCCTTCAGTTCGAGTCCCGCATGTAACAATTATTAGTTCTGTACCTATTATGCAATGTGAGTTCCTTCAGAACTGCCGATAATGTCTGCTAGGTGTTGGATGCAATTGGACAAAGCCGGGCTTGCAGAAGGTTGTATCTTTTTGTTGACCCTACCTTGTTGCCGTTGCAACGCGTTGTAATGATCGAGTTCAGCATTGAGAGCGTTAGAACGGCACGTGCCGTTGAGAGGCGTTGTCGGAAAACACGGAATTTCGTTTTAACGCGTTAAGAGCTCTCAACGCGTTTCAACACCTTATTGATCCGTTCCAACGCTTTGTTAATCTGTTCCAACACTTTGTTAGTCCGTTCCAACGCTCGAAGCAAAAATCAAATTGTAAATACTCAGCCACGCTGTAAACATCCCTGTTCACAAATGCATGGATGCGCTTTCCTTTCACTGTCAACCACGGCTGTAGCAACTGTACATTCACATTTCCATACCCTGTACTTTCAAGCTACATGGGAGTTCTCCATACTCAGGTAAACACACGTTTCATGATTCATTGCCACAAATTACCTTCACTTGCTTCACATCGATGACGTCCACCTACTTGACGGCCAAGCCACTCTCACGGCGAACGACCACTTCAGCAAGTGATGAATCCCCAACAACCCCACCGTTCTCTTCCTGTGTCATTTTAACGAGTGGGGTTCCATATGGGAGGCCAGGCGCTGAGTTGTAACCTGCACATGTCATTCAGGGACAGCATGGACAATGATTCCGACGTACACAGAGAATGTTGCAGCATTTTTTTTCGGCAACTCACCTCATAACAGAGTGCACCCCCCATCAACTGTCAGTGTTCAGCATAGGAATCTTCCTTTATCGCTCCATGTTCCACCACCCTCAACGTCCACCGCACATTCTTATTTAAGCCGCTTCGTTCACTGAGTTCTGATTTGTGTTTGCGCTTCATGTTCTCCTCAATACCACTGCTCAAATGAACTTCAACTTCATTCAAATTCTAACTCCACATTGCACCACCATTGAGAGCCACAATGAGACATGGTCCAACCCCACAGCGGGTGTACACATATTGAGAATACTAAGTAACTTAGCCCAAAAGACCTATCAATACAACGTTATGTCAACATATCAGCACGAAGCCGAGAGTGCATGATGGTGTAGCGGTTATGAATGTACTTACTATAATGACCACAGTGTTCCTCGGTTCAATTCTCACCTGTACCAACCATTTAATGATATTTAGTTCTGGTCCTATTCCGCAATGTGAGTTACCAAAATTAAGGATAATGTGTGGGGACGTAATGAAGTGAAGGTAGGCTTCAGTCCTGGCCTGCAAGGAGTTGTCTCTTTTTGTTGACCCTACCTTGTTGCTGTTGCAACGCATTGAAACGGAGGGAAAGCGTTACAATGCCTCGAAGCGTTGAAAGAGGGCTCGTGGCTCTCTATGCCAACTAAGCTCGTGGGGCCAAACTCTCCAAAACCTCTACTTTCTCTCTTGACTTCGCTATGCTCGATCCTAAAACTCCGTGGTGGGTTCTCCAGGATTCCGCAAGGTCCGGGCTCAACTAATCTACTACCCACTCGTTGTGGGCTAGACAGTTGCCCTTATTCCTACTGTTGGATTCCACACACTCACTCCAACTCTAGTGCGTCCTAGAGAATTTTGGGGGAGGGGAGAACTTCTTTCCAAAAATCCGGTATGTACAGGATTATAAGAAATAATTATTTTTAGAAATAATAGATGGGAAATATTGATGCCATATGGCACCTGCATACCTTATTAGGCGAAATAATAAAAAGGGAAACAGTAACAATAAAAGAATATCAATCAATATCTGAAATGATGGCAAAATATGAAAATATCAGGAAATAAGCGATTTCTCAGCGGAGTTATGGAATTAAGAGCCGAAATTGGAAATGAAGCCGGAGATAAATCTCACACAGCCAATATGCATTTTTACCAATTTATTAGACGTCGTGGGAACGAGTGAGGCTGGAATTCTGGGTTGCCGCTTGAGATTCCCACGCCCGCACATGCCCGTGCCTAACTTGCCCAACATAGAACTCCGTCAAATCTCCACCGATTAGGACGTTCTTGGTATCGATGGGATCGTAGGAATTAGTACTATTTTTAGATACCAAATCCGTGTCGAGTTATTGTGTGAATGGAAGGGGTTTTCTGAATGGTGGAAGCGGGTATCCGAGCCGGCTCTGCACGTGGGCGATTATCCCGCCTACAGCGTTGGAACGATTGAGTTCAGTGTTGAGAGCGTTAGAACGGCACGTGCCGTTGAGAGGCGTTACAACGCCTTCTAACGGGTCACAACGTGTCCGCAGTGTTTTCTGACAGTTACAACGCCTCGTAACGGGTTACAACGCTTCTGCAGTGTTTTCCAACAAAACGGCAAGGAAAAGGAAGATAATTAGGTCCTGATGTATGCGAGTGCGCAATGTTGTCTTGCACTTGGTCTACTCCATCTCCATCAGCAAAAGTCCGTTATGCTCCGGAGCATCAAGAGTGGCTGGAGCATGTGGGAGACAAAACAGCAGATTGGGCACTCCTGGAGCCAATAGTGTTCTCCTGGGAGGGGGTTCAGGAGCAGCTGGGAGTGGTGAGGAGTATGTAATGTGCCAGGAGCAGTGGGAGGAAAATTTTGGTCTCTAAAAAGTTGAAAAAAAAATTTTCGGGAAAAATCAAAAAAAAATCAGGAACTATAGTGCCTTTAAAGTGCTTTCAGGACATATAATTATTTGCAAAATTGAGGAAGAAATGATGGAGAAAAATGGAAAATACTTTCGGAGACCTGAGAAATAATGAGAACTGAATTGATGGGAAAGTCTGAAAATTGAATAGGAAAGTGAGGGGAAGCCTTGTAAGCATTGTTATTTTCTGCTGTTCTGATTTTTCCTGATTGTTCTTGGTCTCACTCCCAGCTGCTCCTGGACCCTCCCAGGAGCTTTCAGGAGCTTCCAGGAGTATTGAGGAGCAGCTGGGAATGAGACCAAGAAGAATCGGGAAAAATCAGAACAGCAGAAAATAACAATGCTTACAAGGCTTCCCCTCACTTTCCTATTCAATTTTCAGACTTTCCCATCAATTCAGTTCTTGGGTCTCCAAAAGTATTTTCCATTAGCTGCTCCTGGACCCTCCCAGGAGCTTCCAGGAGTATCCAGGAGTATCCAGTAGCAGCTGGGAGTGAGACCAAGAACAATCAGGAAAAATTAGAACAGCAGAAAATAACAATGCTACAAGGCTTCCCCTCACTTCCCCATTCAATTTTCAGACTTTCCCATCAATTCACTTCTCATTATTTCTTGGGTCTCCGAAAGTATTTTCCATTTTTCTCCATCATTTCTTCCTCGATTTTGCAAATAATTATATATCCTGAAAGCACTTCAAAGGCACTACAGTTCCTGAATTTTTTTGATTTTTTCCCTAATTATTTTTTTCAACTTTTTAGAAGTCCCTATTTTTCAAATTTTCCTCATTTCCCTCTATATCCCCCCTCATTCCCCCCTCATTCCCCCCTCATTCCCCCCCTCATTCCCCCCCTCATTCCCCCCCTCATTCCCCCCCTCATTCCCCCCCTCATTCCCCCCCTCATTCCCCCCCTCATTCCCCCCTCATTCCCCCCCTCATTCCCCCCCTCATTCTCCCCCTCATTCTCCCCTCATTCTCCCCCTCATTTCCCCCTCATTTCCCCCCCTCATTCTCCCCCATTTCCCCCTCCCCCATATTCTGCCAGCCCAAAAGTGATTAAGTTGCCAGATTAATCATATATCAGGCCATAAATTTTGATTGTGTATTGGTGAGTCTCAGTGTCCTTGATATATAGTATAGTGTTTGATCTAAATGTTAAGCAGTGTCTTGTTGTGTTAGTCTTGTGGTAGGAGGTATTCATGGGGGATCTCCCCTCTTTTTTTTTCCTTTTCATTTTCAAATGCTCCAGGAGCTCCCAGAAGCTTCTCACCCCTATACACTTTGAAGCATTTAAATTGTATTTACTGGACATGTTTGTACACAAAGCAATGCTCCAGGCCCTCCTGGGAGTGCCCTGGAGTACCTAGCCAACTCCAGAGGAAATGGGCTGTTCCTGGACCGGCCAATCTCCTCCTGATTCTCCCAGTGCTCTCGATACTCCAGAGCACTCAGGAGCATAACAATTTTTTGCTGATGTCTGTCGAGTAGCTTCTGAGCTAGTAGCTTTGACTCTTATGCCACCAGGACAATTTCTCCGAATCACGCATTTGGGTGTTGAATGTCCTGTTTGCAAGCAAGGAGGCTTGGGCGATTATTGCTATCAAGAAGCCAATTCAATGAATACTCAGCTTCTCGAATGGTACCCCTTTGTGTATGTATTGCTATTTTACACCGACTCTCATTCTTGGGTGGAAGCATGCGTTGAATTTGCATGGTCCAGGCTGAGGTTTGCGTGCATCACTACACAAGATGGCCAGGGTCTGTATTCGAGTGCGCATGCTGTTTATCAGGCCAGCCGCGTGTTTGATTCCAAACAAGGGGGGAGGTGAATGATCGATTCGTTGATTACTATTGGCGGTCCACTTACCTGTTACGTCCACTAAGGGCCAGCAGCCTCTAGTTGACACATATATGATATGAGAGTAGCTGGGTGGCCTGCTACCAAGCGCCTCCTTCAACGCACACCAATACCATGCCCAGTGATCCTAAATCTCACCGCTTTTCCTCCTGGCTCAAGGAGCCACGGCACCCTTCTGAGCTTCCTGATGATGGGTCGCAGGTCTCAACTCCCCCTGCCTCCAACAATCAAATCATCGAGCCTACCACCGCACATGACAGAACGAACGACAAAGACCATGGCAGCCCTGAAGGACTGCATTATGGCGCCCTTACTACTACAACACCCACTGTTCTACTTCCTGGCAGCGCCTTACAGGATAATACCACGGAGCAACAGACATCTTTTCGAGACAAGCTACTTCGGCCATTCCGAAGAAGTCCCCGTCCCTGTCCCAGTCCCGCTCCCAGTCGTCGCAACCAATCAAGCACATTCCAATCCAAATGTCCTATGCCGACTGCTCCCGTCCAGACATCCACAAACGACTCACTGTCTCCCACCAAGATGAATACCGAATTCCCACGAGCAATGGGTAACTCGCTTGCCACTGGTAACGATGACCCGAGCGTCCACACGCAACAAGAACCTGAATCGTCAGTCCCAGCTATTTCATCAGTGCCAGCGGAATCTGTGCCTCGTAGATCCGATGGCGATCTGAAGAAAATGATGATCGGCACCACCAAACTACTTCTCGAAGCCACGGCCATTGGTCTCAAGTCCGCCCCCATTGCTAATCTTGATCAGATCCCAAACACACTTCTGAGATGGATTCAAATCTATGAGGTTTGTTAAATCATCTTGATGACCATGATCGTGATCGCCTCTCACTGCACCTGTTGCATGCAAATAGAATGTCAGTGGCAACATAGAGGGACTCGATCAGTTGGATGCTGTAATCCGGAAAACACAAGGCTCCGTGCTTGAGCCTCTCCGGAATTGGATTGGAGAGGTTCCTCCTGAGCTTAAGACCTTAGTACAGGAAATCTGCGTGTACGCACCTTGTTTTCTCACGTTCACATTCACTCATTCTCTTCATAGGGCCCTGCAAGAACAAGTAGAAGGCATTGAATCGGTCCGAAGAAAAAAACGCTGGAAAAAGATCCTCCAAGTGCCCAACATCACACAACAACTAACCGATATGAGGAACTGTCTAAACGATGCTATTCATCGATTCGAGGTTTGCATGCTCGAGAGTTTTTCAATGGCTGCTGTCCTGACTTACCATGTCCACCACAGCTAGAATCATTGACTTTAATCATGCTTCGTACCGAGCATGCATCGGTTCAATGTATGTGTCTACATACATACTTATGAATTGCCTAATCACTCATGCTCCTAGCCGAGATATCAAAACTCAAGCAAGCCCCGGCCGAGCACCTTTATGTGAAAAGCAAATCAGAGTGCCTACCAGGCACGCGGGATAGGATTCAAGAATCCCTGCTCAAACACCTGAAGGAAGCTGGGAATCGATTCATTTGGTTACGGGGATCTCCTGGGACGGGGAAGACTGCGATATCTATGAGTGTTGCATCCACTCTCAAGGAGCAGGGTATGCTGGCCGCGTCATTCTTCTGGGATAAGAACCAGGCAGGAACAGGCTTGGATTCCATCGAACTGTTCCCTCTACCCTTGCTTGCCAACTCGCATCCTTCGATGAGGACTTCAAATTGTCGCTTGTCAGACGCCTTCGGCAACCGGATTCGGTCTTTGTTCAGGATCTCCCTCTGGAAAAACAAATCAACACTCTGGTGATTGAGCTGATACGTGACCTGAAGAATATGTGGTCTTCGGGAAAGGATCGCATCGTCATCGTCCTGGATGGCCTTGATGAGTGCAGGGATCAGGAGAGACTCGGGTTGCTGATGGAACTTGTGCTTGCCTTTCAGGAGCTGCCACCTATATTTTCTGTGCTAGTTAGTGGGGGTCGGCAACCAACGTTGTAACGTTGTGACACTTACATAAGCAAAACTGGCCCCGATCGTGGCCAGACGGTCCTCCTCTTCCAAACCCCTCGTCTCTAGGTTGGAAACCACGTTAAAACTTTGGAAGTAAGGAGATTGTAAGGATAGATGATTAAACCCATGCAAATATGAGTAGATTAATGGGGATTCTAGTGATTGAACTATGGACGTGCCAAACATGATCGCGTCGCATCACTCTCCATCCTTCCAGGTGCTGGGGCTGTTGCAGTGTTGGAAGCCAAGACATAATGATGTTCTGGTATGCATTTTACGTTGCGATATCGTTTTAGGTCCCCTTGTCCCACTCCGAGTTTTGTCACCCCACTACGCTGTGCCGTTCCATGTGCAGCAGTTTCCCCACCCTATTTGCTTATCCCATTTGTCCAATATCTGTTCTTGTTCATTAGCCACTTAAAACCGTGCGGGCCATTGCAACATCGAGCTATCATCGTCATTCTTTCCCCCTGTCCCCCATATTGAGTCAACTACTGAGTGCTACACAGGATAATACTTGCTGGCTATCCGTGTGAGTACCTCTTTCTGTTCTTCATTATTCATACTGCTAAAGACCCCAACCCTTGGGATGTCCTTGTCATTGGGATGAAGGTATCGGTGCGCGTCAAGTTGTTGCTTGGCCGCTTTCTTGGTTTTGAGGGCCTTTATTCCTTCTAAATCATAGATCACGTCCTCTGACAACTTCTTGAGTGCTTCCTGCTTTGCCTGTGTCCTTTCTTTTGCAGCCTCGGCCTTCCGCTGACTATCTGCCACCTTCTTTGCATTTGCTGCTCGGATTTCTCGCTTCCGCTTGCGCTCGTGGCCTGACATATCCCGCAGCCTTGCAAGTGACATCAGTGCTCTCTGGTCTTCGCTGGACAGACTACCAACTATGAAATCATCTACTCCATTCCGCTTTGCCATCTGGATGGCATTCAACTTCATCTGCGTCATGCGTGTACTCAGCCGCTTCATGCACCGAAGTTGGCCAAGTGCACCCTTGTTTGCGTCATTTGTGCTTGGAATGAAGATCCTTTCGATCTCTTCTGGTGTCAGTGAGTCGATTTGTCCCCCAATAGCAAACTCTGCTGAGAACTGGGTGTATGTTTCGGAGGCACCGTCCAGAAATGCAATAAGAGCGTCCGGTATGTGGGGGAGGTGAAGGGAAAGTACATGTGCTGCTTCAATTGCCTCGGTATTTTTGATTTTGGCACCGTTTAGGCTTGCCTCAACAAATGAGCTGCCGTGAGTGAGCCAAAGGGAAGGATTGCTTCGGATCTTGGATAGGTGAGTCAGAACTGCATCATGTAATTGTCAGGGACCGACCGGGGTCGAGAGCGCCCGGGTGTATCGCCCAAGGCTGAGGGTCCGGTAGGTATGACACGGGCACGTGTAGCAGCGGGCCCGAAGCAGACAAGGGTCCCTGGCCACTAAGACTAAAGTGGGAAATGTGTTATTGTCATTATCAAGGGAAGTGTAAGCTACTTGCCTAAAGTGGGAAATGTGAGAAGAAGGTTGCTTCTCAGTTCCCACTTAGGCTGTGTTTATATACATGTGGTTGAAGGCCATGTGGGAAGCGCCACGTCATCCGAGCACACAGCCACCTCCGTCTGGGTACCTCCGTAAGAGGTCCTAGGAGCGTCCGGTGTGCGGGGGTCGTCCGGTGTGTCTGGGTTCGGGCGCGTTACGCTGCAGCCGGGTCAATGGTACATTGATACAAAGGAAGTCGTCCGTGTGATAAGAAAGGAATAAAGAGGAGAGAGAATAGAAAAGAAGGAGAGGAAGGAAGGGAAGGGAGAAAAGGGGAAGAGGGGGAGGTCGGGAGGAGTGGATGGTGGGGCACCGGGTTAGGTGGGGCCGGGTCAGGCGGGCGTGCCCTGACAGTAATGGCCCGAGTGAAATCTCATTGACCCTATCAATGCCGTAGGCATGGAGCTCTTGCACCAAGGGTTGGGAGACAAATTCACTATAAAAGTGTGAACACAGAGTTCAGTAAGTGTTGGAATATCCTCAAGACTGTCAGAAACGTTCTTCTCAATGTTTGTTAATCCAGGTTTATCCTTTGAATAACAAACATTGGTCATGAATTTCCGATATGAGTTGAGGTTGGCTATTATATGAGCTGCACCAGTCCCAAAGGTGCCATAGTGCACGGCTGATATGTTAGGAAATTGTTGGATCTGACCACATTCTTCTTCCATGAACCAATTATAGGCATCCTGTTGTCCCTTCTTGTCGTCCTTATTTCGGAATATTGCCCCTGCCAATTGGAGGAATTTGACAGCACCCCCAACACTATCACCTTCCACCTGCTCACTTATGGCCAGTGGAGCACCATCCGGAGTGTTCTGGAGGATATTTTTGTTTGGCTTGTTGTAGAACTTCATCGGGGCTACATATCCATTTTTAGCCCACATTTTGTGCATGTGCTCATGTCCCCCCTTGACAGTATTCAAATCTTTGTGCATCCTGCATCCAATCCAGATCAGTTGAGACATCATACGTTGCTCTTCCTCAGGTAAGAACCCATACCGCACTTTCCCCAAATGCTCCAATGTGTTAAGCTGCATTCTGTTCAGGATCTCAGCCTGCTCCACCTCTGATAATGAACTCCAACTGCATCCACCACCCTCTACCTGTGACATGCTGTGCTCTAGCTCCTTTCGGGTGATCGTGGTAGCAATACACTTTGCCTGAGCATTCATCCAATCCCAATATTCCCGGCCAAGCTCTCTGTACCAGGCCGAGAGTTTGAGATTACGAAGAAGGTCAACAAACCGCTTCTGATCACTTGCATGGTCAGTGACTGTCCCATTTATTGCACGGAAGATATCATCAGGTTTGACTTCTTCTGCCAACCTCAGACTCGGAAGGCTCATATGGGAAGAACAGAATTGTTCTAGTTTCCTTTGAAGATTGGATAACTGTTGGGCACTGGTATGTGATGGTAATGACTCGATTCCGAGGAAGAAAGTCTGGTGAATTGGTGGATTTTGTGTCGGTGTGGAATTGTGTGGCGGATCAGCAATGTCCATTGTGAAATGAGATCCTGTCAGGGCACGCCTTTGGGTCGCTAGCGCAAGTAGCGCATTGCCACATGACCTGTATCTCCATCAGCTTCTACTTCTTTTCTTCTTCTTCATCTCCGATCTGATCCGATCTGCGGCTGTCAGTTATGACGCCGCATGATCTTCTATCATTCTTGATCCGATACTACCGGTTATTAGCTAGTTGACTAGTTACCGCCTCTACTGTGTATATATGACCATGTGCTGGGATGGGCATGTCCCCCAGCTTTGATATCAATTAGGTTTCTGGGGCATCCTTCGTTGCGAGCATGCACGACCCTGACAGATCCATGGTAGTCAATGTGCTTGTGCTGCATTGAATCACCACTATAAGCAATGCCTAGTTGAAAAGAATATTAAAATCTTGCCACACTAGTCAGTGGCAAGTGAAAGTTGCTCAATTTACCCTTTGCCTTCTGTGCAACTTCCACTATCTGAGCTCCTGCCGCTATCCCTGCTTCTATCATGATCCGACTGCATGTCCGTGCACTTGGAACACTATTCAGAGTGATTCCAAAGAACACAGAACATTCTTTGATGACCTTTCCAATAGTCACATCAGGGATATTAAGGCAACAGAGATGGCAGACCAGAGATCGGGCCTTAAATGAATAGATGCTGCCGTACTTCAGGGCAAGCTTCCTATGACATTTGATTGGGTTGAGGCTGTTCTTGAGCCTCGATTGGAGCCTGCCATTTTGTTGTTGGAGAGCATATGATTTCCTCTGCTGCCGCATTGAAGATTTCCTCAACTTGGTAAGTTTTGATTCCAAAATTATTGACATTTCCCTTTCTAAATTCAGGCACAGATCCAATCTCTTCATATCCCTCATCGTTGTTGCTTTAATTGCTTTGATTTCAGCTTGAAGTGCTTGGACTTTCGCTTTTGCCCGTTGAGCAACCTTTTTCAGGTTTCTTTTGTCCTTCTGCAAGCGAGGAATTGTCCCCCCCAAAGTATTGGAATGGGAAATAGACTCTATTTGTGTAGGCGCTGGGACAGGGACATTCGAATTGGTATGCCAAGATGGTGATAGCAGCTCAGCAGTCGGAGTGATGGATCCAAGAATTTCGCGTGTTTGAACTGAGACTCTAGTCTGGACATTTTTGCTCAATCTATGAGCACTTTCGTCTGTTGATTCCCCTGACTGGTTCCCAGCCAGTCTAGCTCCATGAGCCTGCATGCTAACACGCGGCAACATCAATGGTGGCTGGACAGCAGAAGTCCCAGTCATTGGTCCAAAGGTTCTGCGGCTCCGAGTGGATAGTCCTGGGCATACATTCTCGTTTACTATGTGACCTCCCCCCTCTGTCTGTCGTTTATCCAAACCAGTCCTCCAAGCTTTATTAATCTGTCGGGTTTGGGGAGAAGAAATTGTTTTTTTGGAATACTCCAAGCAGCTCTATCCCTTGGCATTTAGTAAGGGGGTATGGGGGGGTTGAGTTTCAAGTCCAAAGTCAGTCTAGCCAGAAAGAGAAGATGCCAGAGTCAAGTTGGGCAAGCGCGCGTCGGTAAACCCTGACACGTGATCCCTATTTGCGCCTGTCCGGACATTCTGGGAAAGGTGAGTTCCAAATGTACCTTCAATCCCTTCCTTTTCCCTCAAATTTTGGCATAGTGGTAGATGTGTTATTTACCTAACTTTTGGCCACTCAGATTTTTCAAATTCTACTTGGTTCCAAAGTTATTCCTCGTCCATGAGGCTGTATTTTGTTGCATCCCCACATAAATTAGTGATTACTGCAAGTGGAGGCCCAAAACTTCCAAGAAGTATTATAATAACATTGGACTATTTTTTGGTTTAGTCTTTATATGAGTACCAACATATGTTGCACTGGGTTAGGGCCCGCATCCATCTCAGCTTCAGAGCAGTGGAATGTACCTTTCCACTTCTTCAATTGACTTCAAACTTGGCACAATTACTCTATGGGTGTGAACGCAGATTTTGGCCACTAGGATTTCTGAGAATCACCCAGATGCATGAGAAAGGCTCGTACATTTCCGATGTCCCATAGTTATGTATAAACCTGTTTTAAAATGGGTTCCCATACTATATATGCATTAATGTTATTATCATGCAATAATTATACCAACACTTAATAGAAGTTGTGAAGTCAAATGAAATGGTTTTCGGGTGAAGCGCAGTGGCCATATTTTAGCATCACGTGAGATTTATGTTTTCTCAGATGTCTTCCCTCATTTGCCGACCCCCATAGTTAGTTGCCATCCTGAGCCAGAAGTCAATTCAGCTTGGAATAAAGCTCAGGCCAAGGGTCATGTCATACTATGTGAAGACTTGGACAAGGTTGTATGGTGGGAAACTTTCCAAATGGTCCGCCGTATGGTAGAAGAAGGCCTTCAGCACCTCTTTGACAAATATTCGTGGAAACCAGACGAGTCGGAACTCGATGATTTTGCTTGGGCTTGTTGTGAATTGCCTATTATGGCATCCATCCGTGTTCGTTATGTCTGCCAGCAGAGCGGACATGGTCGCACCCTGCAATCGGTGTTCAAGGGCTTGCTCGACCTCCGTGACCTCCCTGCCAACCTCAAGGAGGAGTACTTGTGGATACTTCGACAAGCCTATATGCCGGATTCATCTGAAATTCACCCAGATGTAGCTGAGAAGTATTGCTTAGTGGTCAGCGCGATTGTTGTGGCACATGTGCTGATGAACGTCTCCTTTATGTCACAGCTTTTCAAGATCGACGAAGCTGAGATCCGTGCGACATTGGAACCAATCAGCCCCATCGTCAATCTTCCCTCAGAGGATGCAGAGGATGTCGCCTTATATCATGCAACAGTAAGAGAATTCATCACAGGGGAACCAATTGGCGATGTGAAGGACAAGATATTCTTCATCGATGACGTGAAAGGGTATTTCATGGGATTGCCGCTCCTTCGGCTCTTCAACAATTATTGTGAGCAGGATGAATTCGGGATGCCTACGAATCTCCCTTTAGGAGATGAAAGGATATGGGAGGAATTTATGGTGAAAAAGGAGGATTATCGCAAACGCTTCTACTATGTTATTGAATACTTACTCTGGCACTTGGACCCTTCACAACTTTTTTCCCAAAAGTCCAATGAATTGCAGAACGAATTTAATTCCTTCATCACGCAAAAATACCTCTTGACTTTCATGCACCTGCACTGTTACGGATACGGAGTCTCCAACGACCATATCCGTCGCATGGTCAAAGACTTCCCCTCTCTATCATTCCTCCCCTCTTTCTCCCTTCCGTCCTCTATCCCGATACCCTATCCTCCTTACCCATTCTACCCCTTTCCCCCCCTTGTGCAAAGCTTTCCCCATTGGGGTTTTGGTGCTGGCGAGGTTATTTGTGTTTCGCGGGATTTCCTGCGACCTTACCATTTGTAGATAGTCACATGTCTTGTACGGAAACCGCCGAAGGCGGTTCCCGCTAACTAACAACTGCTCTACAACTGTCTTGTGTATCGTCTTCTGTAACAACCCTCCCTGTGACTCAACTGAACCTGTGTGACTGTACAACTCTCAATATGTCTTATAAGTCTGGTTATATCGAGTCCTCTAACGGCCCTCGTTGTGAGAACTCGAGGTCGAGAGTCAAAGACTCTCGACATGTGTATTGTCCTATTGAATCTGTACCCTATGGGTCCTCGTCACTCCGCTCTCCCCCCAGTACTCGACATACGACGTCACATCATGATCATGGAGATCGTGAATACTTTGAGGCCCACTTTCCCGTGATGCCGGCACGTTCGCTACGCGAACGCCAAGTCGCTGCCCATCCACCGTCTGTTCCCTCCTTCGTCAGTCATCATGTTTCCCTGCCAACGGTACGTTCCCTTTGGGAACGCCAAGTCACCGAAGGCCCTATTAGTCAGTCCTCATTGCACGCTTATGACATCAACCCGCTACCGGTACGTTCGCACTGCGAACACCAAGTACCCGATGGCAACTATACGAAGTTCTCACCCATCTCACAAGTCGCGACCTCGCACACGGTACGCTCCATTGAGGAGCGCCAAGTACCCATGGCTGACCATCCGTCCTGGCATCTCCAACTACCTACCATCAATCCCTTAATAGCTCACTACATCACCAATCGCGATCGATGGGAATTCGATCGTCCACTCCCAGGGAAGACTGGGATCACTCATCGATTACATATCCCGTTATGGTACAGACCAGATATGACCTTCGTCATCCCACTATAAGAACGGATCGAGGAGTGGGGAATTTCCCCCATCCCTGTAACATGCACGTTGATTCGTGGCTATTTGGAGTATCTGGTTTATGGCCTGACGACTTACATCAACTCAAGGTAAGTATAAACTATTCATCCGATGCTTTGTCTGATGCCATTGTTGATAGAATCACAATTTAATCCAACTTCTGGAAACGCTAAGGGTTACAGATTACATTGGTAGTGCACCATGGAATCTCTATCGGTTGGAATTTCCTTTCACCCCACCTGTTAGAATGGTGGAAACGGACGACTCCGGAGTGGAATCGGAGACTTAGCGTGGAGGGACCTTGGCCTCAGCGACTCAAGTGGAGCGCTGTGCCATTGCTGTTTGTCCATTTGGTCCTTAATTTCACAGTAGGTGAGCAGGAAGTCTCTTGGGGCATTTCAGGTCGATTTCGGACTGAAACCAAGACGAGTATGTACAAGCGCGATATATATATAATGGAAGGGGCAAAAGCACAAAGAGAACAAAGGGTGACCGAATCGGAACGAAGACGTCCGAACGGAACAAAGGTAGAGGAGCGGAGCGGTACCGAAGGTCATAGGGCAAGACCTGTGATACGTCCGAAAGGAGGTAGAGAGGGCGAGGCCAGAGGGCAGGAGGATGAGGGAAGTGGGGATGATGACTAACTGGCTAGAATAGAAAGAAGCAGTAGTCCAAATAGGGATGAAGGGAAAATGCGAGAAATACATTACAGGCGGCGAGAGTGCCGAAGGCAGTCCGCGAAGCTCGGGGGTTGCGGAGCTTACAGAGGTTACGGAGGCGGGGTTGGAAGTCCGAGGAATATTGGCAATGGTGTTTACATAGTATGAGGTCACCAATGCAATGGACTAAGGCTGAGGTGGAGTCAAAGTCCGAGGTGGGGACTATGACGGAGGCTCGGAGTAAGGTACGAGCGGTGTCCGAGTGCGAAGTACGGAACAGCGGTGGAAGGTCGTAACTTGGCGGAAGGGTGGCGGAGGAGTAACGGAGGGAGGAGAGAGGGGACAGGTAAGGGGAGAAGGAGTGGCGGAAAGGAGAGTAGTCAGGTCCGAAGGTGAGTATCGGAGCAGACAGGGGAAGCGTAGGAGGGTGGCGAGAGGGGCAGTGTTCGGTCCGAGATGAGTATCGGAGCGGACGGAGATAGGGTCGGGTAAGGAGGAGGTGTGTTGCCAGGACGAGGTGAGTATCGGAACGGCAGCGGTAGGTTATGACTCCGGAGGTGAAGAGGTGGAGGTCCGGAAGTCGGGTCGGGGTCGGGTATGCACGGATATGACACCACCCTCATCGCCCCTTTACAAACAATACGGCCATCTCGCTGATCCTGTCCAGATCTTCTCCGCTTTTGGTGAGTTCTCTGGTGGCACTATCCCATGCCTTTATGCAGGTTTGAAGGGGAGGAAGCTTGAATGAAATAAATTCTTTGATTGTCAGGGTTTTGTGGGGAAGTAGGGTCCGATGAGAAATGTAGGGATATTGTTGTATGCGATGGTTTCCTCAGCACAGGAAGCAATATGGTTGGCAAGAGTAAATCCATCCATTTTTTACTGAGCAGAAAAATTGGAATGGGTGGACAGCAAAACACGAGATTTTTTTTTTCATATCAAATATTCTCAATTTATCTCGGACTTAGGACTGAAAGCCCGTCACCCAGGCACTGCCAGACTAGGTTTGTCACGCTTTTCTGACCTTGGCAGTTGGCTGTCACGCATTACATCAGCTTTGCAGTTGCGATGTCCAGGGTAAATCTCTGTCACACTCCCAACCCATGCAGTTGTTGGTCATGTGAGTACAGTAAATTAGACTTGTGTGCACTCAGTCTAAATGCACTCTTTGTTCTCTTTTTGCGCATGGCATTTTTCCCGGTGGTGCTTAATCTTATGCGCCGTACCTGCTGTCGGCCTTACGCATACTGTGCCTTCTGAGGTTACAGTCATGCCAATTCAGGTTTTTTGCCGCTGCATCCCGGGTCGATTCTTCTGGACAATCTCATCCGTGAGTTTCGTCCGCCTATGCTACAGGGCTCTGGCCCTTGTATACCTTATCCTCTGCTGAAGGCATGATCTTTCTTAGTCTTTTCTTTTGACATGTATGCTGTTTTTTGACGAAGTCTTTCCTTCGTCTTCCTTGCTTCCAGTAAGCCTTTCGGTCTTGCCGAGGGGGAGGTGTTGTGACCTTCAGTTACTCTCACACTGAGGGAAAAGATTCCATGACAAAATCATGCGGATGGGAGGATTTCGTGGAAAATCTTGGCAAGGGGTAGGATTTTCCGTGACAGGATTTTCCCTCGATCCTGCTGCATGACAGGATTGGGGTTCCAGGTTATCTAAAATCCTGCATGAGGAGGATTTTATCATCAAAACTTATATACGCCATAATTTTTCAGCTATAATATTACTACCTTGTAACACATGTTATGACATATACGGATCCGCTGCGATCTACAACTGCCCACCTCCCCAATCCTGAGTTCATCATGTCCGGTTTTGCGATTACGACACATTTTGATATTGATGTTGATTTTGGAAGGTGGCCAAGCCTCATTTCTCTTCGGCTCTTCGGGTGCATCGCGCACGCTCATGTCCCCGAAAACTTCCAGAAAAGCTGTCGAAGGAATCCACATCAGATTTAGGTGAGCGCTTGGGTGCTCTATGATCATGAGAAGCACTGGATTATAAAAGCGCGTGAGGTCGAGTTTTTCGAAACAGGGAGTAGCAAACATGTCGGGATGGAAATGGATGATAAGGAAGGGTAAATGGGAGTAGGAAAGGAATCTAAGTGCATCATAGAATGTCAGAATGGCGACTCAGGGGCAAAAGTCAGAAACAATAACGCGAGCACACCAAAAATTGACCAATTAACCAAAACTCGTGTACCCAACCCTCAAGATCCATCCACATCAATGCAAAGGGACCGCACAAAGAAGCCCCATCACTACAGATGCCACTCCTCATCGATTGAGCCCAAAGTGCCCAGAAGATTTTCCAAAGGCACCTGATATAGCGACTTTACTGGGAAAGTGAGGCAGCGGACAATACAAATGGCAAAGAGGAACCTTTATTCATGTTTCCGACAGCAGAAGACCCATCTTGCTTGCCGCAAAATCACAAAGATGCTAGTGGGCATCTACGAGCTGTGGCGTTCCCGAGAAGCTGTGGTCCATAGGAGTGATGGAGCCCTTAGTTTGGACCTATTAACAGATACAACTGCTGGACACAGAGTAGCAGAGACCCATTAGTAATGGAGATGTTGCAACTGAGGGAGTTGGGCATGCAGCACTTCGATGCGTTGTGTCGATCTGTTTGGCCCTGTTTATGATGTTGGCCCTCAGGTTAATTTCAATCCCAATCTCACACTCCGTGATACAACTCACTTGCCATGCCTCAATCTAGCCAGAAATGAGGAATTGATCGCGGGCAGGGGAGGCTAGAAGCGGCACGTGAAGGTGTGCCCTTTCTCTTGGAACAATGCACTTATGTGTGGTTCACATTTGTGTCATGACCATGCCATCTTCATAATATTGGCAGAGCTTCTGGCGGAAGTTAACACGTGTAAGGAAACATGAAGACCGTTGTTTTATCTTCAACAACTGACTAGAGTCACACAGCATGAAAGAAACACGTCCAGGGCCAATTCCAATGTCACATGGCTCTGAGATAGAACGACCATAATGTGTGTAAGCCTTCTCATACTATCAAATCATTGAATGCTTACCAACGTGTCGCTTCGACCTCAAAACCTGTCACTGTCAGAGACCAGGTTGAGATGAAGGAAAGTCTCCATGGCGGAGGGCTTCGGCCTCAGCGACTTATGCCAAGAGCGCTGTGCCTAGTAACACGTCCGTGCCCTAACTTACTAACTGGCAACCAGAACTGAAGGGGGGTAACTCTAGTCGATTTTATTACTGAAGTGTAACCTATGTACAAGTGGGATATATATATGGTTACAGCGAAGACGGGTCCGCAAATGGCGGAGCCAAACGGAGCAGAGCTAACGGGGTTAAACATTAGCCGACTGAATATTACCGACGAGTCGGGTCACGGGGTTAACGGAAAGGCGGGCGATAACCCAGAAACGGAAAGGAGGGATAGGCCCAAAGGTGGGCTCTGCAGGGCAGGCAAGTGTATTGCCCAGCGGAGGCGGAGTGCGCTAGCGGACGTCGGAGCTGTCCGGAAGTCTTCGGGGCTCCGTACTTAGGGAGGTGTAGGTAATAAATTGAAAGGAGGGGGTGGTGACCATCGAGGGGTACTGAGAGGATTGCGGAATAAGGAGCTCCAAGGTTAGTAGAGAAGGAGTGGAGGTAGACCGGAGGGATCGGAGGGACCGGAAGTCGATGGCCGGTGTAGGAGAAATAACGGTCACACTATGGAAACCCATTATGGAAATATGCCAGATAAATCACCAAACCTCATACGACAAGTAGATATGAGAAAACAGAAGGACACGAATTTTTACGAATTTTTACGAATTATTATGACTATACGTGATAAATCGAAAGAAAGAAAAATAGCAAAAATACTTCAAGCTTACCATCAACGAGACGGAATTCCTGGGGGAATTTATAGCAAATATTAAAACAAGAATTAGGACAATCGACCAAGATTTGACTATAAAAACAATCAGAGAACCTCCACAGAAACTACTTTCCCACGTCCGCACACGTAGCCAAGGATGGAAGTACCACGGAACAAGGATTCCTCAGGAACTAATGCAAAATTCAAAGTCGTGTTTATAATAGGAAATGTAGATGTCCCCAAACGGACCCAATGAGAGTAATTACAGGGGAAACTACCCATAAACGACGGAGATATGACTAAAACTCCTGCAAAACGAGGACAATATCTAAAAGGCAAGCGCGAAAATTAACCAGTAACGACCGAGACAAGTTGATAGGCCATTAGAAAGGAAGGGATCTAATCTTAATCCTCCCAAACTTTCATAATAAAAGGATCATGCTTAATGAGATATCCAATAACGGGAATAGCGACATCAAAAGTCCGAGCTCAGGGAAAAGACGATGTTTGCATAGGATCCATAATTCAAACATACAACGAAATTTACACGGAAATTATGAAAAATGGGAAACTATAGTTATGCAAATTTTCAGCCCAAACGGTCCAGCCGTTGTGAAGTTATACCCATGACGGGAATATAGAAATCCGCATCATGTGTAATGACACGTGAGGGTGGTGATGCGCAGGGAACCAGCCATCGGAACCGAGATCCGCACTTCGGCAGATCGCGAAGACCAATTTCCATCCAAATAAGGAAGAGCCCGGTCAAAACAAAGCATGG